CCAAACATTCCTGAAACACTATGCTCAGGTAGCTCTGATAATCATCTCATCGCCGATGTGGCAAGACCTGCTTAGAAAAAAGACACCATGTTGCGATAGCGCAGATATGATTGACGGGAGACTATTTTTTGAGGTTCTGTCGACTCTGAAGCACATGAGTTTTAAGGACATTTTGAGTCCGTCTGCATCGGCAAAGATTGACGTGATCATGAATCTTCTAGGAGACAAGTGCGGAATTGATTTGATCCAAGACGGAAAGCCTCTACAGGCCAATGGAACCCGACAACCGGTGGTCTCCAACACCGGTCACCAATCTGTACCTGTTTCTATTCTCCCTTTCAGCAACCCAGTGTTGAACCCCCATCTGAAGGATATTTCCCTCGCAGCCGACAATCACAACGAGGAAAAAGACCCCGGTGCAGTGTCTCAAGTCTTCCGAGAAATCAGCCACTGGCACAACCACAAAAAACTGTTGAATACAAGTGGGATGAAGAATATGACGGATTGGCAACATATGAGAGAAAATCGCCGGAATCAGCGCCTCATGACCGAAATGAGGAATTACGCCGAGAGCCTCACCGGGGGGCACCTGGAACCTCAGGTAATTGCAGGAGTACCGAGCAAAAAACAGCATAAACCAATCAAGTCACCACCGACGTCTACTGCTAGAGCAGCGGGGCATGAGTGGAAGCACGAGCAAAAACACAAACCGCACAGTCGTTCTAAACCAGGGCCTTCTGCTAGAGAGCAAATAGCCGCCGCGCAGAAGGCGGAGGCAGCTCGCAAATCGGCCCACAAGCACACGGCGCAGTGGAAATATAAGAGCTCGGAATTCCAACAGAGGGAAAGTCTCGTGGAGCGTTACCTGGAAGCTAGCAAATTCCTCAAGGGGCTAGACAGCTCAAAAAGACAGGTTCTGGAAGCAGAGGTGTTGACATACACCGTGGCCACATTGCTCGAACTATGGGCGCGGCGTTGTAGTTCCCATAGGAAAAATGACTCCACTCACGTAGTCGCCTTGATATGGAACGCAATTCTACGAATTGCAAAGCTGAAGAGAGGAGTCACTGAGGAGATTGCCAAATCCATCAAAAAGACCATCGAATCCTTGAAGCTTCCCGTCATTGAAATCGCATCTCAAGGCAACGAAAAACTTTCTTTTCGGTTTCCTTCACTGTCTGACATGGATGGCAACCTTGCCATTGAGCTATCGCCGGTCGAGTTCCAGCTCATGCATGCAGGGCCTTATTTCGACCGCAGCATGGGCTCACGAGCAGACCCACGTGTTTTTGACTTTGAACCGGATGAGTGGCAGCGCAAGATTCTGGATTTGATTGATGCCCGGAAGAGTCTCTTTGTGGTGGCTCCTACCAGCGCTGGCAAGACATTCATCTCGTTCTACGCAATGAAACAAGTCCTTGAAGACAGCGAAGACGGGATCCTGGTCTACGTTGCACCGACCAAGGCCCTCGTGAATCAGATTGCTGCGGAGATAATGGCCAGATTATCTAAGAGCTATAAATCTCCCGGGAAGTCTGTGTGGGCAATCCATACGCGTGACTACCGTATCAATAATCCCGTCGGATGCCAGGTGCTGATCACAGTACCCCATATCCTCCAGATCATGCTGCTGGCACCAGCTCATGCAGACTCATGGTCTTCCCGGATCAAACGGATTATCTTTGACGAAATCCATTGCATAGGGCAAGCAGATGATGGAGTTGTTTGGGAACAGCTACTTCTCCTCGCCCCGTGTCCTATCATCGCACTTTCAGCGACAGTGGGAAACCCCAAAGAATTCAACAACTGGCTTAGTCTTACACAGCAATCAAGCGGCCATGAGCTACAGCTAGTCGAGCACAAGGCGCGCTGGTCAGATTTGAGAAAGTTTGAATTTCACCCACCGCACAGTTTTTCGTTCAATGGCTTCTCTAAAATGAATGGTTTGAACGCACTCGGGCTAGATGCTAGCGCACACATGGCTTTTCTACACCCTGTCGCAAGCCTGATTGACAAGTCCAGGGGTATCCCAGACGACTTAACTTTGGAGCCACGGGATTGTTTGTCGCTCTGGAAGACCATGAACAAGTATCAAACTGTCGAATTTCCGCTCGATCCGTCCCTAGACCCCGCGAAGTCTTTGCCAAACGTCATCTCTAAAGCTGATATTATCGAGTGGGAGTCTAAGCTGAAGGCTGTGCTGAAGGAATGGATGGCCAAACTCGGATCACCATTCGATGCAGTCTTGAATGAATTGTCGTCCCGAGTGCCACTAGCAAGGGCTTCTCATGATGATACCCAAAAACCTGGGCTTTCCCGCGAAGTGAAGCAAGGCAGCATCCTGAGCACTACGCTTCCGTTAATCTGTGCACTTCACGACCAAGGCGCGCTTCCGGCATTGATGTTCAACTATGATCGAAGGAAGTGCGAGCAAATCTGTGAAACAATAATAGGCGAATTGCAGCAGGCCGAAGATAAATGGAAATCTGCCAGCACGGCATGGGCAGAAAAGGTTGCCAAATGGGAGGCGTGGAAGGAAAGCCAGCAGAAACTAGCCAAGACCAAACCACTGAAGAAGACCAAGAAAAGAAGTTCAGATAATGACGAAAACATGTCAAAAGACGAGCAGGCAAGAGAGGAGGCTTCCACCGAGTCAAGCCCATTTGCATCCTTCGACCCCGAGGCGCCACTGGCTCGCTTCTCCCTAGCTGACGAGAAAAAGCTTTTATATTCCGAGTTTGAGGTTCTCGCAAAAGAATTGAAAGACCGCCTCGTCCCGTCGTGGCTTATTGTTGCCCTTAGACGTGGGGTAGGCGTCCACCACGCCGGTATGAACCGTAAGTATCGACAGGTCTGCGAGATGCTTTTCAGGAAGGGTTACCTACAATTCGTTGTCGCAACAGGGACGCTGGCCCTGGGAATCAACATGCCCTGCAAAACTGTTGTTTTCGCCGGCGATTCCGTCTTCTTGACAGCGCTCGGGTTTCGCCAGGCGGCCGGCCGAGCTGGGCGCCGGGGCTTTGATGTCCTTGGAAATGTCGTCTTTCAGAACGTTTCCCATGCCAAAGTCTGCCGTCTGCTGAGTTCGAAACTTCCGGATCTCAATGGACATTTCCCCATCACGACCAGCTTAGTCTTGCGGTTGTTCATTCTCCTTCATCAGTCGAAGCAAGCTCCATTTGCGGTCAAAGCAATCAATTCGATTCTTTCGTGCCCTCGCATCTACCTTGGGGGGCCTGAATCGAAGCATACAGTGCTGCACCATCTACGCTTTTCGATTGAGTACCTTCGTCGTAACCACCTTTTAGATGAGGTGGGAGCTCCCTTGAATTTTGCCGGAACTATATCTCACCTCTACTATACGGAGAACTCGAGTTTTGCATTCCATGCTTTGCTCAGTGGGGGATACTTCCATCGTCTCTGCAAAGATTTCCAGAAAAATCCAGAACGAGTGCTTCGCACTTTGATGCTGGTTATGGCGAATTTGTTCGGACGCCGCCATATTCGACCATCTATTCTCGAAGCCCAACGGGCGGTGATGGTGGACTCGCCTTCGGTAGTGTTTCTCCCTGCATTGCCCACGGACGCGGCGGAGATTTTGCAAGCCCACAATAAAAATACATTGGACATCTATTCGGCATATGTTACTACATTTGTCGATCAACATATTACCGAGCCAGATTGCATTCTACCGCTGTCGCACGTCAAGGTTGGAGGAGACAAGTCTGCCGAAGAATTGAGTCCTTCTCTTGCACTGCTACCCCCTACGAAGGTCAACTCTGCATTCGTTGCTCTCTCGGGACATCGCGATCATTGGAGCAGCATTTCAGATCTTTGCAAGAAAGTACGCAGTGGAGTATGGCTCGAGCAAAATGTCGTTCCTCACGTAGGGATAAGCGACGATGGAATGGGTCCGCTGAACGCCTACCTGTACGATTTCTTCCGCCACGGTAATTTTCATGCCTTGGAGACAGCCAACATGATTCGCAAAGGCGATATTTGGTTTGTATTGAATGACTTCTCACTTATTCTCGCCACAATCGCTACGACCTTGGAAAATTTCTTCAAACAGTCGTCCGACACTGACGACTTGCTAGATGCCACCGGCAGCGGTGAAGCATTTGAAAATGAACTGGAAAGTGAACTAATGGAAGATGGGCCTGATCCTGGGATGCCGAAGCAAGGTCATCGCCGGGTCTCTAGTGGTGACAAGATATCGGCGTCCCTCACTACTCCATCGGTTAGACCTAAGAAGGGAAAAGCGAAAGTGGCCGATAGCTGGGAAGACGAGGTCGACGACAATTCCACAGAAGAAGAAAAAACTTCCGAAGATCCCATCAGCTCGATAGAAGAGGACAATGCCGGAAAGGACTTCAGACTGCAAGAGGGAGGGTTGAGGGAGGTCCGGGCGGCGTTTCGGATGCTCCAGAGCGAGTTTAACGTGAAGTTTAGAGCCATGTTTGCATAATTGCGTCTGATATGTGCCATCTAGCAGATACATTGTGAAATTGGAACTTTATCTTGGCTATTGCTTGAGTTCCTGCCGAATCGTGGGATTGCCCATCTCGGATCCGGCGTGATATGTCGCCGTCTGTTGCCTACGTGTTAGCAGTTGGTTATGGAATGTATATCAATGCTCAAATAATATGAAGATGTCAAAGTTGTACTTTGAGGAGGCAGCGTAAGCTAGTCAGTTATGAATTGGACCAAGCGTATTAATATGTTGTTTTCGGAAAAGCAAATGAGAAAAATCGGATGCGTTTGCTGGTATGCTAGCGTATCGTAATTCAGAAAAAAAAAAGGGTTTAGCTGTACAAGCGAGTCCAAACCGTGGATGTGCAGCGTGAGATCGTTGTCGACTATACTAAAATTTGAAGCTATTCAAGTCACGAGGTATAAATATCGACTAATCCGGAATAGGCTAGCGTGTGATATTGCCGACAATTTTGCAGTCCCACCCGACCGCCCGCCTCTAATCTTATCGCCCGCCATCGTTCACTCAATCTAGAATTTCTCCAAATTCAAACCCCACCGTTCCAGTCACAGCTTGCGACGATGGGAAAATCATCTAAAGATAAGCGCGACGCCTACTACCGGCTCGCCAAGGAGCAGAATTGGCGCGCGCGCTCTGCGTTCAAATTGATCCAGATTGACGAGCAGTTCGACCTCTTCGAGCATGAGGACCCAGACCAGGTAACACGGGTGGTCGACCTGTGCGCCGCCCCCGGCAGCTGGAGCCAAGTCCTCAGTCGGGTCTTAATTAAAGGAGAGAGCTTTGGCCGGAGAGCGTGGGTAGAGAAACAGCGCAGAGAGCAACAAGCGCTAGCAGAGGCCGCCGCCGGGACGACAGAAAGCCAGACTAATGGAGAAGACACGCCGGAGCTGAAGCCGCGCAAGAACGTCAAGATCGTCTCCATCGACCTGCAGCCCATGGCGCCGCTCGAAGGCATCACGACGCTCAAGGCGGACATCACCCACCCCTCCACCATCCCGCTTCTTCTCCACGCGCTAGACCCAGAGGCCTACGACCCAGCCTCTCTTTCCTCGACCCAGCGCCAACCCAACCCCGTCGACCTCGTCATCTCGGACGGTGCCCCCGACGTCACGGGTCTCCACGATCTCGACATCTACATCCAATCGCAACTCCTGTACGCGGCACTGAACCTCACGCTGGGCGTCCTCCGCCCCGGCGGCAAGTTCGTCGCCAAGATCTTCCGCGGCCGCGACGTAGACCTCCTCTACGCGCAGCTGCGCACGGTATTCGAGAAAGTCAGCGTCGCCAAGCCGCGCAGCAGCCGCGCCAGCAGTCTGGAGGCCTTCGTCGTGTGCGAGGGGTTCATCCCACCGGCGATCCACGACGGCCTGCGGGGCATGGAGGCGCTGAAAAGCCCGCTGTTCGGGGGAGCCGCCGTGCCGAGCTCACTGTCCGCGGACGGGAACCTCGCGGTGGAGATGACGGACGAGGATGCGACGGATGCGGCGCCTCCAGCTGCACTGGCCGTTTCGTCGACAGGCGCCGACGGGAAAACGGAGGTCCGCATGCTTCACGCTGACTCGCACGCCTCGTCGACCGCCGAGCCACTCGCTCAGAAGCTCGTTCCCGAGAAGTTCGCCGTCGAGAACCGGTGGATCCCGCGGTTCATCGCCTGCGGGGATCTGTCCTCGTGGGACTCGGATGCGTCGTACACGCTGCCGCCGGACCATGTGAGTTTGGATCCGGTCCAGCCGCCTATGGCGCCGCCTTACCGGCGGGCGTTGGAGCTGCGGAAGCACAAGGGCGGGGCGTATGGGAAAACGAAGCTGGGGGCTGTTGGGCGGGCGTGATCCTCCTCAGAGGTTTACATGATGTTTACGATGATTTTCTTACTGGTTCGGTTTCGGGTCGATTAGCCGACTGAAAGACGGGTGCTTGGCATGAGTAACGGCAGGTATATATACTACTATGTATAGAAAGGACGCATATACTTTGATAGACTTGCATTCCCATGGAAAGAAAAGCATAAAAGCGATCATTAGTCATGATTGAGTCATGATGCAGATATAAAACACACTATTCCCAATCAGTGCTAGTGGTGATCGACGTCATTCCCTCTCCTGAGCGATTGAAACAGTTGATAAGTCTGGCCAAGACATCATCTTCATCGCAACATACATCACACCATCCCATCAGAGAGCATCCAATCTCCTATTCTATCCCACTTATTCAACAATGGCAAACGTAGCCCTCATCGGTGGCACCGGCATGGTGGTTAGTAGACGATCCATCCACTCCTCCCTCTGTTCCACCTAACAATGAACACACCCACCTACCTCATACACGACATCCACAAAACTCAGAAAAGAGAATAAACTCCACTAACAACCACGCTCCTTCCACCCAAAAAAAGGGAAGCCACATCCTCACCACCCTCCTCAGCCACCCCTCCATCAGCCGCGTGGACACCATCTCGCGGCGCACGCCCGCAGCAGCCAGCCAAGCGCAAACGAAGCTAACAACCTTCGTCGAACCCGACACCTCGAAGTGGGCCTCCGAGCTGACCTCGCTAACCCCCACGCCCGAGATCTTCATCTCCGCATTCGGCACGACGCGCGCCGCAGCAGGCGGCTTTGAAAGCCAATACGCCGTGGAGCACGGGCTGAACGTTGAGATGGCGCGGGCCGCGCGCGACGCCGGTACACGCGTTATGGTGCTTGTCTCGTCGACGGGGGCGAACAAGGATGCGAGTGTGGCGTATTCGCGGATGAAGGGCGAGATTGAGGAGGATATCAAGGCGCTGGGCTTTGAGCGGACGGTTATTTTGAGGCCCGGGTTGATTGCGGGGACCAGGGACGAGAGTCGGCCTTTGGAGGCTGCGGCGAGGTTTTTGGCGGGGTGGGCCGGGAAGGTCCATGCCGGTTTGAAGGATGGGTGGGCGCAGGATGCGGATGTTATTGGGAAGGCGGCGGTTAATGCGGGGGTGAAGGCGCTCGAGGGGGATGTTCCTACGGGGAGTGAGAAGGTTTGGTTGTTGATGGGGAGTGATATTATTCGGGAGGGGAAGTAGTTTTTTATTTTTCTTTTATGGTTTTTTATGATGTTTTACTTTGTGTCTTGCTCTCTTTCCATGACTTTTACTGTGATTAGTGTTTGATACTGTATGTTTCTAGTCGGATATACACATATATTGATGCTTTATTCGATAACCCTAATAGAAGTACCAGTAGTATTATACACAACGAAAACCAAAGTACCCAAGAAAAAAGAAATCAACTAATACTTCTTCCTCCACTCCCCCGACTTATTAACCTCCCTATTCTTCCTCGTCGTCCCCCTCTCACTACTCCTCTCCTTATCCTCATTCCTCGTCGCCCCCTGCTCCGCCTGATTCTGCCAATCATTCGTCTCACTATTCGCCGGGCTCATATTCAGCGGATTGCTCGTCTTGCCCGCCTGCTTACTCTCCTCCTCGGTGGCCTTCATCTCGCTCTCGGGCGACGTCTTGCTGGGGTCGAAGGCTGCGGGGTGGCTGGCGACTTCGGCGTCCGTGCCGGACTTGGTGACCTCTGAGCGCTGCGGGTCGAGCTTGGTGCGGTCGTGGTATTTGTCGCTGGTTTGGTCTTTTGTGGCGTATGTTCGGGTCTGAGTGAGGAGGGGTTGGGTTAGGCGGTTGGAGGGACGGAGGGTTTGGGGGAGAGCTAGGCGGGTGAGGCGGGTTGTTCGGAGGAGGGTGTTGGTTGGCATTGTGGTTGTGGTTGTGGTTTTTCGTTGTATGTAGTAGAGGATATGTTAAGAGTAGGTTGAGTTGTATATGTTGTTCTCGGACGGGGCTGAACAAGGGGTAGGTAGATGTTAAGTAGTTAGAGGAATTGACACCAGAGATATGTCTAGATAGTTTCTAAATCTCAATACAAAATCAAGAAATACAGCAAGGTGGACTGGTCACTGAGAACAAGACTGTCTGGATATGCAGTCATATTGACGTCATGTCCTTAACAGGACAAACCGGGTTTTTGTCGCCTCACCAGTCAGGCAGCAAACATGATATCTACGACTCTCCCTTACTCTACAGGCAATATTGACCTACGGTAGGGAGTCGGTAGAGCCTCATGTGTTGACTTACCTATCAAGACCCACTCACAACTACTAGCAGACGAGATGCACTCCACGTTGGATTATCCAGTCCGTCCCCGCGTAGACTCACCCAAACGCGATTGGCCTTGGATAGTCAGGGTCAACCAGAGGCCGGACGAACTAGATCGGCCACGTCAATAGACTATCCCCGTCTAGATTCAAGAATGAGGCACAAGCATGCTGTGCCGCAATGTGATGACTCGTGCTAGCACGACTCAGGCTACAGATCGTTTTCAATGGCGTCCCTCGTGTCATGCCTCCCAGGGGAATGACTGACCAACTCATGCGAGTTGTCAAATCTAGAAAGACAAAAAACAGAGAGAGAGAGAGAAAAAAAAAATAAAAAAATAAAAAAAAAAACAGCACGAGTGGCGGGCCAAGGCGGGGATAGAAGGAGATTAGGCTGTATGTCTCATGCTGGGGAAATGATGGAGCCGGATCACGCACCCGGACTGGTCCATGACCCAGGAGAATCGCACTGCATCAGGCAATGACAGAATGCGTTGTGTCGATTTCTCGAATGGTGTGGCTTGCGCCAGGGTGCGTCCACAGACATGCACGGCAATGGAGCCCCGAGCATGAAGACCGCAGGATGGATGTGGGCAGCTGTCAACTTGCAGCTGCGAGGACCCGCCTGATCCTCCCGTCGCGGGACTGTAAGCCCTTGCACATGAGCTCATCAGCCCACAAATCCAGCGGACAGGGATCTGCCTTAGCTGCAGATACATCGTCGTCGATCTAATAACTCCATTGGCTGTGGTTTGCCGATAGCCATCTAGCTTCAATCGACCCACCAGCCAATCCGAATGGGTAGCTCGGGTTGCAGTCGAGGGCCCTCCTACTTTAATTTTCCCAAGGTCGGACGGGCTCTTGCCATTTGTCGTTGGGAAACACATGGTGCGTAACTGCGCAGAGGGCGCTGGTGAGTGCGCGGTCACGGGACCGGAAGAGCCCAGCATGGTGGACCGTGTACCTATGTGGGTCATGTATCTCAATTTCAACGTCGACGGAGAACCTAGCACCACAATGTGCTGGGGGAAGAGCAAAGATTGCCATCCAGACAGGTCAATTGCACATAATTCCACCCGTTGGGTAGCATCAGCGATCGATATTGTTCGGCCTGATCCTAGTTGCTCAAAGTATAATTGCCACACCCAATACAGGCTTAGGAGTCTCCAAGTAAGACAGCTCGTCCGAAGATTGGAGGGTGGCAAATCCCAACCGGCGATGGACAAGGCTGCACCCCCGTCAGGGTGCACAGATGAGTGTGAACGCTATTGCATCTTTTTGCGGCCGTCAGCCGGGCTGCTGAGTTGGCAAAAGGTATCTCGCCGTGGATCCGCACTCCCCAATGGCTTAGACAACCCGAGTCGTATAGTCCAGTAGCTTCGTGTCATGGAAAGGAGAAGGCACAGTCATGGAGTGCCAACCGAGGAGTGTCGGACAGACGGAGTCCCGGAACCGTCGTGCCCTCATTCGCTAATTTCCAGGAGATTAATTTCCCTCCAAAAGTCTCGCGCTCATCATCACTCGAGACGGCGAAGTGAGAATTCTCCGCAGGAAGAAGTCCAGCTTCAGCCCGAGGAGTCAGAATTCCTCGCATCTGGACCAGACGAGAGGCGCCACGTCAGAGTCTCCGAGCTCTAGTGCAGATGCATGGGTTCAACAGGAGGTGTCCCGTACCACGATTTGTATCTGCCACGGCCGGGGCACAGAACGGATACCCTATCATCTCCGTCCAGAAAAGCATGTTACTGAAGACAAACCCTGCACCTGAGCGGGGGTTGATGCGGGATTATTCGTCTGCAGATGTGAGAGATCAGCTGAAAGCACGGCACCCTATGGGACTTCAGGTCCATCATGCCACTGGAAGTAGGACTCATCTCAGAGGCCCATTTCCAAGGGGCAATGGATACCAATCGAGACTTTCGAGTGACGCGTCTTTCGCCACTAGACACAGAATCACCTAGCCCCAATGGCCAAACGGGAACACGCGGAGCCCGTGAGGCAACCATTGGCAACCGGATAGATATCCCTGCGACGATGGGTCCGATGGATCAGGGGGGGGGAAAGAAAAAGAAAATCCTTTTTGACTTTTTCGAAATGGAAAAGAAAGGTGGAGGCGAGGTAGGGTTGCAACTAGACACAGAACCACGTTTGGTTGGGAGTACTAGTTGCAACCCAAGGAGCAAATGATGAAAAGATACGTTCCATGGGAGACATCTTCCCGGAGGCGGAACTGCCCTGAAGCAAAAGTCCGTATCAGTCTTTATGACGCTATATGGCGACCATATCAAGACTAATTGGCTGTAAGTGACCGCCAAGTAATCATGGAGGGTGAGATATCAAACCAGGATACCTGAGCACAGGCATCGAGCACACCGGCTTCGCACAGGGGCCTGCTCCCTTTCCTGTCCTTTTTCCTTTTTCTCGTTCAGCTGGAACGCTAGCAAAGGTTCCAATGTAAGACGGCATGACAGCTGGCACAAAGCAGGAGTGATTCATGCAGGAGCTTTGATTCAGCTTAGGGGGGGTGGGCAAAACACGGCCATCGAATTGTCGTTAGCCGGCTTGATACGGACTCTGGACGCATACGCGAAGCGGGGAGATGGCGATTGAGTGACCCAGGCTGCAATGATGATCCATGTAACAGGGCCAGAATGATCAGGCCGGGGTGAGGGATTTTCGAATGTTCAACCCAATCTAGAAAAAGTGGTTCCGCCACGACAGCAGGGTGCATGCATTCGTGAAGCATCCGGTGATTACGATGGACCTGGCAAGAAACCGTAGTGCCCATCTCGTGTCTCCACCGCTAGGCAAGGCCATCACAGCCAACCGCAGGGACCCGGTTCCAGGAAGTGGTGTGAATGTGATGACAGAGTGCCGTAGACGATAAGCCATCACAGGTTGAGGGGGTTTGATCGACAGTGGACGTTAGGAGCAACAAGAGATGCCTGAACCGTGACATGGGAGCCTCCCACCAAGCATAAATAGGCCAGTCAGTCCCTGAGGCTAGATGATTCTGAATCGATAATCGTTTCAGACACAGCTTTCTTGATCATTTTTTATCAAAAGAAAAGCTTCGTTCCCAGTCAGAGGTGTTTCAACCCCATAGAACTTCTATCGAAGCCCGACAGGTCTTGTTCACGTTGAACCTATCAAGCCCTTCAAGCGCGGTAGTGCCGAACGAGTGAGCCAATAGAATTCAACGCAGCAGGTGAAACGACAATACTTCTCCGACAGTAAGTGTGTTTGATCCGGACCCAAGGGGGACCATGGTTGACCCATCTGATAGGCATGTGCTTCTACAATCAAAAGCGATTTGCCTGCGGTGACTGGAGCTGGACGAATTTCGCCCACCGGTGCCATTACGAGTATCGCACGGGCGAAACATGCGGAATGAAACTTGTGAACGTGACCGATTATGAGAATATTCAATGTCGCCTCTGCGAGAAGATTGAGACCAAGTTCCGCCGGCGAAACGCCGAGGTCGAACGGTTGAACCGCTGGAGACGCGAAGGGGGCACCCTCGTGGCCTCCATGGACCGATCCCAAAAGCTCATAATGGAGCTGGACAGAGAGATCGGAAAGCTTCAAATTGAGCGCGAGGACAAACGAAGCGCCCTGGGATGATTGGTGGATCTGGAAACAGAAGGATCATGCCGGGGGGGTGTCTTTGAAATGGGCATCCTCTTTTTCTTTCTCTTGTCATTCCTTTCATTCTGCTCATTAGCCCGTTCTTTTTTTCCTTTTTTCCTGTTTGATTCTTTTCATTTTTCACCCCCTTTTTTTATTTTTCTTTTTACTATTTTTCTTTCTTTTTTTTTTCTTGGTTGAGGGATCGAGTCTTTAATCAGGTGTCTCACAGTTTTGTATCCCTGGCCGGTTGTATTGTGGCATCACAACGGACATGTTTCTTCATGATGGACGGACCCGCCGAACGATTGGATAGGAAGGATTAATAGTTGTACGCCCAGGGGGCATGAGATCAGGAATCCAATGAACTTCGTTAGAATCCGCAAATCTAGGACTCGATGAAGCGAATCCACAAGGGACAGTTCCACTTGCTAAGCGCCGTGTAGTAGTTTGGCGGGAGTAGTTCAGCGCACGGCGACGGGTCTTAAAATGTTGACTGGTAGCAATGTGACTAGTACTGTGGAGGTGCAACTGAGCTGAGAATCTGCAGAGAGATGCGAGAGTTTCAACATTTCGATGAAACGCATCTCCAGGTCGTTGTTGTTCTAGAGGTTGACATATGCTTTCTTCAGGGAGCGGTGAACAAACCAACAGTCGAAGCCCCGCGTTTCCCCATCGCTTTCTATATCTGCACGTGATGTGTCTGGAACGGGTTAGTCGGGCCCGTGACTGACGAGATCCATCGTGGGTTCTTCAGGTGTAAGTCGAAGAATAGTTGCGTTTTCAGAAGGTATATCTCCATACCTGTTTTATTTGGATTCCACCGCTCCAGCTACATTCGGGATCGTTCGCATCGTTTCAAGGGTAGCGTATTCCGACCCTCATAGGTGCCTATTACACGGTGTGGAGAATAATAATATGATCGTGGTACCCAACCAACATGGATAGTGAGCTGGAATACGAGCATCAATTTGGGGTCTACCTTGTGTAAATGAATGCTGTAGGAGAATGGGCGTCGATGCGGTGAGGATGCAAGTGGATGTGGATGTGGACTCGAGGTTGGAACGGGTATATATATGGGTGGTTGACCCCCCTGGAAGTGCTACACACTTGTCTTCAAGTTATAAGAGCATGGGTACGGAACTACGTGGACCATTCATCTTGCACAACCCGTGACAAAATCCATCAGGGTAGGGCGCGTGAAGAATGCAATAGCAAACAATGCCTTCGAGGATGCCCGTCCCCTCAACCCGTCAGCGCGGCTGCCACGTCACCCGTGGACGTCAGTTGCGCTTCAGATGCAGCAGTAGTGGGCGGCATGCCTGTTTGGTGTGGGATGGCCCGAGGTTTCAGTCGTAACATATATTAACCCATGGGCTTACGATGGGAGGAGTACGGGCGAGATTCTGGAGCCGGATTTGGTAACAGAACACATGGGATTATCTCGATCAGGTCATCGGACGCAACATTAACTCATTCCTTGTCTAGCACTTATTTTAAGTCACCAGCCTCGGGCTCGTCATCGACCTTGGCCAACCCGTGCTCCTTCAGGAGAGCGTTGATCTCGTCGGCGTTCCACAGGTGGTGGTAGATCTTCCCCTCCTTGGTCTTGCCCACGGTAGCGAATTCAACTGCAGAGACGTCCGGGTTAGTACAGGAGACAACATAACGTTGATGGATAGCCACTACGAGCACATCGAATCAGGGCAGGCAATCACTCACTCTTCTCGCTGCTGAGCTTGGTCGAATCCATGGTCTTGCTCAGGACCTTCACGGCCATAGCACAGGCCTCCTTCAAATCACAATCCTCCTTGTAATCTTGCTTGAGTAGACTCTGCGCGCTTGCGTTGTTCGCTCCCACACTAGTCGCCTTCCAGCCGCCGTAGTTACCACTGGGGTTGCTCTGGTACAACTGGAACTCGCGGAGGGGATCATAACCGGCGTAGATGAACGATACACCGAACGGACGGAGACCACCATGCTGCGTATATCCTTGCTTCAGATCACACAACCGGCGCACGAGTTGTTCGCAGGGGATATCTTCGTTGTAGGTGAGAAGATACCGCTGGGCGGCTTGTCGGGCGTAGTTGATCAGGATGTTGGCGTCAGCCGTCATACCAGCAACAGCTGTAATCATGTTGCTTCAAAAAAGAGTCAGTTATCGGGTATCATTATAGCTGATCAATTCGAACGGAAAAGGCGTACTCGTTCAGGATGTAGAGTTTCTCTGCGGATGTGTCCTGCTCGAGCAGCTTGCTCGTCACCTTCTTCTCGGCCGCAAGGACAATACCATCCTTGGCTAAGATGCCCAGCGCCGTGCCGGCATGCGAGATAGCCTCCAACGCATATTCGACTTGATATAGACGACCCTCCGGAGAGAAGATGGTTGTCTGTGGACGAGCGTTATCGGGTTAGCTGGAGCTGCGAACGGGCGGAGGGACGGGAATCATACCCTGGAATCGTATCTCCGAGACATATTCTCTGTGTAGCGAGTTCGCTTTAAATCAAATTAAAAACGAAAGAAATCAAACTGTAGATCGGAGAGAAAATCGGCAAGCGAAGGGACTGAGAGGGGACCGTGGGAGCTGGACAAAGCGATGGGAGTGATGATGGAGACGATGATGATGGTTGGGTGAGCTCCCAAGGCAACTCGTCCTGGCGCGTCCTCTAGCCTGAACTGGGCAGGTTCCGCTGAGCTCGGGCCACCTCCTCCAAGTGTCGATGCGCAGCTTCGCCGCAAATCCGCTCCAGTAACCACCTCTTTCAGTTTGTGGACATGCACCTACGCCTTTTGATATAAATTATTTGCTCCTCGCCTGCTGCGACGGTCTTTACAGCGACGTATCGACAATGCTCAGATCCACCTACGCGCCTCCCCCTCCACTACCGCCAGGATGGACGGAACACAAAGCACCCTCAGGTCAGTCAGTCTACCAGACCCGGTGCCGGGCTTCGCATCTAACAGGTCGCAGGACATTCGTATTATTATAATGCACAAACGAAGCAATCGACTTACAAGCGGCCCCAATCCCAACCGGAGCCAGCACCGGTACAGCAACATACGGCGCCGGCCCCTCCATTTCTGACACCGGACACCTTGCCTCCATTTTCCTCTACACAGTATGCGCCGCAGGGATTTGGTTTCGCTCAGCAACCGCAGAATATTCCTCACGGTGGCCCAGCCCGGGGAGGATTTCGCGGTGGCTTCCGCGGCGGAAAGGGCTATCAGGATCGCAGAAGGGGGCCAGAGGACCGACCGCGATCGAAACATACTATACCCGGGTGTGCGCCGTGGGTTCTTGTGAAGACAAGGCTTGGGAGACGATTTGTCTACAATACGGAGACCAATGAAAGTTTTTGGAAATTCCCGCAGGATGTGCTGAAAGGAGTCGTGGAGTTCGACCGGATGGAAAGAGAGGCAAAGGAAAAGCAAGAACGGGGTGAGAAAGCTGAAGAGGAGGAACCACCCGCGGAAGAAATGGAAACGGCCCCGGAGGAGGAGGATCAACGACGCGATTCGAGAGAGCCCCCGGTCACCCAGCCAGCAGGGGAGGACAGCGACGAATATGAGGAAGTGGAGGTCACGGACAGCGAGGACGAAGAATCGGGACAGCCGTCCAAGCGGACGAAAACCGACGACGGAGAAGACCAGCAACCGGTTGAATTCACTGAGGAGGACATGGAATACCAACTTGCCGCCATGGGCGAGGAATACGGACTGGATCCCGGCGAATATGGCGACCCTGAGGCTGAAGACTGGGAAGAAGGCGCAGAAGGTCTTCCCCTTACGGACGAGGATTCCACGGCCCTTTTCCGCGACTTGCTCGACGACTACCACATCAACCCGTATTCGCCGTGGGAGAACATCATCGAAGAGGGCCGTATCGTCGAGGACTCCCGGTACACGGTACTCCCGAACATGAAACGACGCCGGGAGGTCTGGTCCGACTGGAGCCGAGACCGTATCCAGCAATACAAGGAACAGAAAGCCAAACAGGAAAAGAAAGACCCACGCATCAAGTACCTGGCGTTCCTGCAAGAGTACGCCACGCCCAAGCTCTACTGGCCCGAATTCAAACGCAAATACCGCAAGGAAGACGAGATGCGGGACTCTCAACTCTCCGACAAGGACCGCGAGAAGCTGTACCGCGACCTGATCTCGCGGGTCAAGCAGCCGGAAAGCAAACGCAAGTCCGAACTCTCGGCTCTGCTTAAATCCGTGCCCCTCCATGAGCTCCACCGCTCGTCGAACCTGGAGGCTCTGCCTACGAGCATCATCACGGATGTGCGGTATATTGCGCTCCCTGCGAAAGTCCGCGACCCTCTCATCGAGGCTTACATCTCTACGCTCCCGCCTGCGCCGGAAGTGCAGCTGACCGCCGAGCAGCGGGAAGAACTTGAGAAGAAGCGGGTGGAGCGCGAGAAACGTGAGAAGGCGTTGGCCGAGCGAGAAAAGCAGGTCGGGGAGGAGAAGCGGAAACAACGCGGGGACCTCCTCCGTGGGAAGACGCTTCTCCGAGAGGGCGAGGCGGAGATCGAGGAAGCCATGAGAATCGACAAGGGAGGGCTCCGGAGCTACATCGAGGGGGAGGGAGCAGACCAGGCGCCACCCGCCGAGTAAATACTCGAGATATATACCATCAAGCCTGATAGAAACCATGTAACTCTATTAGTACTATTCGTCGATTTCTATTCTATCTAGTCTTCTAAACCCCCCAAATAGCGGATCATCATTTTGTAAGTTCAATCCAAAGTTGCTACAAAAGGTACAAATCACAATCAAAAAGCCAGCCAAGATTTCGTTCGCATCCGGGTTCCCCCCTTGAATATTAGACGGAGAGTTAAGAAGCGCTGCGCGCGCGGGGATTGTTCATGTCCATAGCTCATTTGGGTATCAATCAATAGGAAAAGTTCCAGACCTCGGTATGTATGTTATGTTCGAAATGACGCCGTTCCGTGTTCTACTCCAGCCCAGTTGTCGTACAGCCTTTACCGGAACCTCCAGTTATCCCAGTCGTCGTCATCATCATCGTCTTCGTCGTCGTCGTCGTCTTCTTCTTCCTTACTTTCGTTGGCAGAATTGTCTTGTTTCTCTGTCACCGTAGTCGCCGTCGGCTCACCGGGTGCCTGCGTCTCATCCTCCCCCGTCTTCTTTCGCAGCTCCTCCCGCATGTGTTTCAGCCGTCGAACCCGTTCTTCGAGCTGCTCCATCTCGTCAAACTCATCCTCCATGAACCGCGCCGCATCTTCCCGTTCCCCTTCGGCCTCCGCCTCCCGACTGCGCGATTTCGCCGCCTGGGCGTCCCTCTCCTGTTGCGCAGCCAGCTGTTCAGCCGTCATGGGAGCAGCGGAGATAGTCGCCTCCGCCGTAAGCGCAGCCGGAGCCTGCGGCAGACGACTCGGCGCCGCAACCTCCCGCTCAAAGGCGGCCCATTCGTCCTCATCGATCGTCCGCTGGTCCTGGGTCGTGGTCGTCGGTTGGCTGCTCGGTGCGGTCGTCGGTGGAGCTGTCGATGCCTCTGCGCTCGTCTCCAGTTCCTCCTGTTCGTCGGTGGGGAGCTCGGGTCCCGCGATCTCTTGCTCGTCGACTTCGGCTTCGGCTGCGTCTTCGAGGGCTTGGGCGCTGGGCGGTTGGACTATGCTGGCTGGTTGCAGGTCTGCATGGGCGACTGCCTGTCGGATCTTCTTCCTCGTCAGGTCTTCTCCGGAATCTACCTTGCGCTTCTTGGTGACACGATTTGCTTGTTTGCCGGACTGGGATGGGCTGCCGCCCTTGCGAGAAGCGAGTTCATTCCGGAGTAACGAACGGACATCTGCCATCGTAGGGAATATAACAATAGTGATGATGAAGATAAGAGTCTTGTAGTAGTGGAGTAGATGATATGTGGAGTAAGAAGAGTCGTCCTAAGTGAGAAAGTAGTCGATGTGGGGATGAGAGATCTGATCTGGAGACAAAGAAGGCTGAGCGCGCCAAACGATGAGCTAACGCGAGGGCCTGGATGCCAAGGCCACCGTCACGTGTATCGTTCTGAGTCAGCATGGAAGGGCCTCGCAATGTCTTGGCGAAACTCAGGCACTCAATTCGCTTTTCCTGCTTTAAAAGAACGATCTGCTCTTTCTCTCCTCTTTCTCTCCTCTTTCTCCTCCCGTCGTCTCCTCTCTCTGTCAACTCTCCTTTCACTCCCCATCTTCCGGACAACTCACCCAGAATCCATTCCAAGGTGTCGGATCGCGTCATCTACCCGATTGATACGCCCAAGTCAGCGACCCCTTCTATTTGACATCATCGACTTGTCTCAGACGCACACCTTTACGCGACCCCACTCGCGCTAAGCTCATCCGCAGTGCGCGCGACACCGCTCGTCAAGAGTCCCACCACCCACCTTTGTGGTCGGCATTGCGCATCGTGTTGGTGAATTAATAACAACAAAGAAAGAAACAAACAAAAAAAAAAAAAAGAAGAAAGATCAACGAAAAAAGAACGGCGAGGCAGGTTAGGAAGGGGAAGTAATACCGTCGTGGATTGTCGCATTGAAGCCAACAGTCCCCGGGTGATTCTCCTGTGTATTGCTTGTTACCTAGTCCTCGGGTGTCGTAGAAACGCGATCTGGGTGGTGTGTGGCGCATATCTCGTGCGGTGCCCCAAAACACCCCCGTAGAAATTTGAGTCTTCTTTTTGCCGGTTATCAACCACCCCACACCCGACTGTCACATACAAATCGATCATGGCTGGTAAGCAATTAGTGTACCCTAGATTGTTGGAAGCTGGTTGAGCTGCCCCATCCGGACCGCTACGGCTATCGCTGCGGTGGTGACGGAAGGGCGCCAGGTCCTCCCATTCCCTCTCTTACACACACACTGACACTCCCCCTTCTCTCCCCAACCAGAATGACTTGAAAGTGAGCTAACAGCAAGGCGACAGACGAGCCGCGACGGTCCGGTCGGTCAACAAAGGGCCAGCACAAAAACCTCGATATGGTATCCGACACTCCGAAGAAAGGCAAGTCCAAACTCCACAACAAGGACAAAGCCGCGAAGACATCCGCCGAACCTACACCTGGCCCCAGCGAGGGGGAGGACGAGGAGGAAATCATCCGATGCATATGTGGCGAATACGAGGAGGAGGAAGATGTGGAGCGGGACATGATCTGCTGCGACCAGTGCCTGGCCTGGCAGCACAATGACTGCATGGGCCTCCAATTTGCCAAGGGGCAGGAACCCGACCAGTATTTCTGTGAGCAGTGCAGGCCACAGAACCACAAGGACCTCCTGGAGCGCATGGAGCGGGGCGAGAGGCCGTGGGAAGAGGTCGCCGAGCGACGGCGCAAGGAGGCCGAAGAGAAGAAACACTCGCGACGGAAGAAGGGCAAGAAGGGCGGCCGTCGCGGTCGACCCAGTGAGGCCAGAACTGATGCCAGCACGCCGACCCGTGGGGCCACCTCGACCACGCCTGCGCCTGCGGCCAGCGCGACGGCTCAATCGCCGAGGTCGCCGGTGTCTGAGAGGACGGCCCGGGGCCAGGATACACCGGGAAGAGCGTCGGAGAAGCGCAAGTTTGACGAAGACCAGGAAGCCCCTCAGCCTGAGTCGGTGCGTACAACCTTTCCCCCCTTCGTGGGTTTTATACCGTGTTTGACTAATGGATTACTCTACAGCGTCCGAAATCGAAACAACCCAAGATCTCACCCCCAGAAGATGCGCCCATGCCCGATGCTGGTCCTACCGCCGGCGACGCTGGTCCTAGTGCCGGTGCTGACGCGGAGGCTGATAATCAATCTGGGGAGGGCGCGGAGAAACCGACTGAGCGGAAGAAATCCGCCGAAGCGAAGCAGCCGAGTGAGACCAAGAGAGTCACACCGGTGAAGAAAGAGCCCAGCGCACAGCCCTCTCAACCAGATACGGCGGTGGAGCCAGCGCCCACCAAGCCGCTGAAGCCCCTGGAGGAGATCACCAACCCGGCGCGGAAAAACGTTGCCAAAGCCCTGGTCAACCTGTTTGTAGATCAGATCACGAGCGCGCAGAAGCAAAAGTCATACCGCGTGCCAGAAGGGAAGACGGTCCAGGAGGTTGCGCAGCAGCATGGTCTTGCGGTCGAGGATGCTATGTATGACAATATATGCGCAGGATCGGGCGAGCCCACCGACCCATATAAGCAACAGCTGCGGACGATCTTGTTCAACGTAAAGAAGAACACTTCGCTGCGAGACCGTCTGCTCGTAGGTAGTCTATCGGCCGATGCCCTCTCCAAGATGAGCTCCCAGGACATGGCCAGCGACGAACTGCAGCAGAAGGACGCCGAGATCAAGCGCGAGGCCGAGCGCCAGCACATCATCGTCCAGGAGCAGGGGCCCCGCATCCGACGCACCCACAAGGGCGAAGAGCTCATCGAGGACGACGTGCAGAACGTGGCCAGCGAGCCCGTCTTTTCGACGGCGCCGCGTCGCAACGTCGACAACGAGGCGAGCCCGGGCTCTGGGAGCCCGGGGAGTCCCACGGGGAGGCAGGCGGGCGAGAAGAACGGCAGTCGAAGATCGTCCAAAGCAGCCGAGAGAAAGACTCACGACGAGCACTTCCCGTCCCGGGGCCACTCGCCCGGCGGCACCAGCCACGACGCCGTCTTCCCCGAGGTCGCCACCAACATCCGGGAGCCGGTGCCCACCAGCAAGGCGCAAGCCGACGCCGAGATCGACCAGCTGCTGCGAGACGACGAGCCCGACTCTCCGCCTTACTCCCCGAAAGACTTCCACGACGAAGGTAGCATCTGGCGGGGCAAGGTGGTCATGAACCCGGTCGCCGATTTCACCTCGTCGGCCAAGCACGTCGGCGGCGCCGACCTGAGCGGACGCATCCCCTGGAGCCAGCTGGTGCCCCCGACGTTACTAGTGGACGGCCGCATCGACATCCAGCTGGCAAGCAACTACCTCTGTGGCCTGCGCTTTAGCAATTCCACAGACGTCACAGTAATCTCCATCAGCAGCCCCGAGTCCCCTCGGGAACGCGCAAGCTTCGACCGCCTCTTCAACTACTTCCAAGACCGCAAGCGCTACGGCGTCATCGGCAAGCACCCGCTACCAGCAGTCAAAGACACCTACATGATCCCCATCGAAGCCGGCATGACCAAGAAACCCGAATTTATCGAGCTCCTCGAGAACAACTCGCTCGAAGACCCCACCCCCGCCCGCGTCCTCCTCGTCGTCTTCGCCGTCAAAACCGGCGACTCCAACCCACCCTCCGTGCAACCGCCCTCGCATCAACCAAGCCAGGAACCAGGCGCCGCCGCCGCAGCCAGCCCCCTAACCGCCGTGGCAGACACCCCACAGCAAGCGCAATTCCTGACCCCCGGCCCGCGCGCGGCCTCCCAAATCTCCGCTACCTCGACATCCTCCTTCCCCGGCTCGACCCCCGCCCCCCAATTCTACAACCAAACGCCGCAAGCCCCGCAATACTCGCCCCATCAGCCCCTCCAAGCTGCCCCCATCCCGGCACTCCCAGTCGTCGGCCTCCCAGCCGCTGTGCAAGTCCTGGGCCCGCAGGCGACCAGCCCCTCCATCCAAGAACTCCTCCGCAATGCCCCCAACGCGGACGTCGCCCAGCTCGCTATCGTCAGGGACATTCTCCAGCGTCGGCCCGAGACGGCAAACGACTACGACTTGTTGATGCAGGAGATCAGACAGGCCACGGCGGCGGCTAACAGCAACGGGGCGCAACACCATGCTTCGTAGGCTTTGGTGTAGCTCGGGTGTATATTAGTTAATGTGGTTACTTGAAGCTTGCATGTTACACGTGGGGGAGGGCCTGGATGTCACTGTTCTCTGCATCTGTCTTTTATCATCATCATCATTATCCTTATCTTGCCTCGCTTTTTGTTTCGATTGAATGAATGTACTTGTTGTGCGTGGTGCGCGAGAACGGGGAAAATGGGTTATCTTATTTTATCCTTTTGGGCTTATTTGTGTTTATTTTTACTTTTTTCATGGGGTATTAACGTCGACTATGCTATTCTTGTTTCCCCTTCTCTTCTCCCCTTCCTTTGCTTTCTTTCTAATAGCTCCTGTATTGATCCGATCCTGTGATGAACGAACCTGTCTGTTTCTACCATTGCCGTTGATGCTGCTTTGAGTACCTAGTGTTACACCTTGAATTAAGCTTTTTGAGCACCTGCATGATGCAAATAGCATGCTTGTTATCACTCCGCTACTCCGTTCTTTCTATTACAGTATAGTATAATATATCAATCACATTGTAGAGGTCGTAAGGCTCGACACTCGTCCCGCCAACCACACTTGACAGACTAGTTTGGGGGGGGAGGGCACAGTGGAAAGAAACGCCTGCGCTATGCAAATCCAGAAATGAACAGAAGATGATAAAAAAGAAAAAAAGAAAAGCAAGAACCCCAGGTCCTATCATAAAAACCAGTAACACATCACCACCGCCCACCACGCTTCTTATACCCACCACCACCTCCTCCACCATACCGCGGACCGCGCCCACCCCCAGAGCGACCACCCCCGCCCCAACCACCACCACCACCAGGCCCATCGTCATCATCGTGGTGGCGCACCGGCGGCGGCCGACCCTTGAGCTCCTCGCTGAGCTTCTTGAACCCCTTGCGCATATCAGAGTATCCCATGTGCATCTTGCCGAAGAAGTGGTCCGCGAGACGGCGGTCGTTGTCGAGACGGCTGAGGTACGCGCCGCAGACGTCGCAGACCTGCAGCTTCTGGTGGCCGGACGGGCCGGAGGTGTCTTGGAGGTTTTTGAGCTCGCGCTCGCAGGACTCCTTCTGCTGCTTCGCGGTGCGCACTTTGTGCAGCTCGTTAAGGGCCTGTGCGACGGAGCCGGTTTCGCCGAGGATGGAGATCTCCAGGAGTCCGCTATTGATTGTGTTGGCGAGGTCGGCGATTTGTTTGAGCTGGGTGGGTTTGCGTTAGCTTTAGCTTTTCCTCTCTCTCTCTCCCTGTTTCACTCTCTATGTATGGGGTAGGTATAAACACACCAAATTATTCGTCTGCCGGATCTCATCCGGCGTCTTCTCCAACCGACGCTGCGCGGACTCAATGCGCCGATCACAGTCGTCAATGTACTTCTGCATATCGCGCATATAGTCATAGTCGAACCCCCACTTGGCCTTCTCAGCCGCCGACGCCGTCTCGTACTCCGTTTTCAGGCCCTCGCTATGCACCTTGGGACACGGGCCGAGATCTTGCTTGGTGTTGGTGAAGAGGTCATGCGGACACGTGCCGACCAGATATGAACGACAGACTTTGGAGTCTGTGATGGAGAGCTGAGCATTTCGAGAATTCGCGCCGAGGCCGATGAGCTGGTCCGCTGCATAAAAAAGAAGTGAATATATTGTCTTGCTTGCTTGGGGCTTTTGGGCTTGACGGCATGATAAGGTCCTTAAGGACGCGACGTACCTCCCATCAGCTGCTCGAGCAGTTTCCGTTGTTCCGCCGCCATGGTTATCCGGCTTTGGATGGTGTGGAGGGGGAGGATAAGGATGGATTGGGGGAGTGGCGGAGCTGATGCGAAAAGATGGAGATGGCCGAGCCGTTTAGCTTGCTGGCGATGATTCTTTGCGGAGGACGCCAAGCCTGTATGTGCTTATGTAAGTCTATACACTGAACACAGAGTATGTGTGATTGATGCTCATACAAGTTTTGAAGATTATGAAAAGTTATGGTAAAATCTATATAACATGGGGCTATATAGCTGAGATCTGTGTCTCCCTACTATAACAGTAAATGCAGACCCTTGCTCATGGGACCGAACATGCGTGTCATGGTGATCTTGTTATTTCCTGGTAAGTCAGTGACTATACTTAGGCTGAACAGTGAAGGGCAGTAAAATTATTCTTAAGCTAATAGATAACCATCCGGTTTTGGTCTTATCAGATAAGGGTCCATTGGCGTAATGGTAACGCGTCGGTCTCCTAAACCGAAGATTGCGGGTTCGATCCCCGTGTGGATCGTTTTTTTGTCTTTTTACCTAGTTTCCGCTCTCTTCGGTCACCTATGCTATCAATGTCTGTTATCACAGTCCAGAAACTCACGGTATATCTGCAAGAATACAAAATATCGCATTATATATATCAACTCATCTTGTGTTATATCTTTTCTTTCGTTCTCTAACCAAAGATCGGACCCATCGCAATCACATCGTTAGTCCCGCAATAATGGGGCGGTGAATCTCCAATCACAGACCGCCTTCCCCTTTTTGACAGGAGCTAGGACATCAACATGGCGATTGATAAACTATGGACCACCCTTCAACTCCGTCATCAGTATCCAAGTACACATCTTCTGACGCCCTTCGTCAAAAGACTCAAGGCAGACGGTGGCAAATCCCGCTCACCAATCCCTGTCCAATCCCGCGCTCGCGATCGTTGTCCAATCCCCCCGACTCGAGTGATCAATCTGTCCTATTCTGAGCGACTCACCCAGCATCAGCGCACAAGTACTCTTGCGTTAAGGATGACGTGATGCTTGCCCGCGCTCTCTTTTCTCTGCTCGCCTTCGTTGCGCTTGCACCGTTCGTCTCCGCCGCTTCAGACTATTATGAAAATCTCCTTCTACAACCTTTACCGCAATCAGCCCTCCTAGCCTCATTTACCTTCCGGGGCAATGAGTCGCAACAATCCTTTGACGAGCGACACTTCCGATACTTCCCGCGCGCCCTAGGCCAGATTCTGCGCCATACGAATACTAAAGAACTTCATCTCCGATTTACCACGGGACGATGGGACGCTGAAAGCTGGGGTTCGCGCCCCTGGAACGGGAGCAAGGAAGGCGGCACGGGGGTCGAGTTATGGGCGTGGATTGATGCGCCGAGTGACCAAGAGTATGTGCGACGGCTATGCGACGATTGACGCGTTGACCATTCCAATCCATATTATTTTCGGGAGAAGTACTGATTGTTCCAGAGCTTTCGCGAAATGGATCACCCTGACGCAGTCACTGTCAGGTCTGTTTTGCGCCTCGTTGAATTTCGTTGACTCCACGCGGACCACTCGCCCTGCGGCTTTGTTTGACTCCACAGGCGATCATCCCGCATCTAGTAATCTGCATTTGCTACACGGAACGCTTCCTGGTGAAGTGGTGTGCACCGAGAACCTGACGCCCTTTGTGAAACTCCTCCCGTGTAAAGGGAAAGCGGGGATTTCTAGCCTGCTGGATGGGCACAAGTTGTTTGATGCATCGTGGCAGAGCATGTCAGTCGACGTGCGTCCTATCTGCACTAGCCCCGACGAGTGTGTTGTGCAGATCGATCAGACTGTTGACATTGTGTTGGACATTGACCGGTCTAAACGACCTCGAGGTTGGTACCTGTCCGTACCCATGAATCGAGTCCTTTTCTGACTGCTTGTAGACAACCCGATCCCGAGACCTGTTCCCACTGAAGAGCTCGTGTGTGACACATCCAAGCCCTATCACTCTGAAGACGCGTGCTACCCGTTGGAGAGCGCGGCCGAGAAAGGATGGAGTCTGCACGAAATCTTCGGCCGTACCGTCAGCGGGGTGTGCCCTCTGGCCGAAAATGCCAACGACAACGAGCCGATATGTCTGCGCGTGCCACATGACCGTGGCGTGTACATATCCCCTGGCGCGACGGAGAGAAAAGACGAGGCGGGCTTCTCGCGCTGCTTCAGTCTCGACCCTTCCCAGCCCTTCGATCTCCTCGTCCAGGAGCAGGACGCCACGGTGCAAGTCCCCCTGGACGAGCCCGTCCTCCGCGCCGAACGGACCATTGTCGGCCACGGCCAAGAACGTGGTGGCATGCGGATCATCTTCGACAACCCGAGCGACGCGCACGGCGTCGACTTTGTCTACTTCGAGACCCTCCCGTGGTTCCTGCGTCCCTACGTGCACACCCTCCAGGCAACGATCACCGGCCGCGATGGCATCCGACACCAGGTCCCCGCGTCCCAGATCATCCGCGAGACCTTTTACCGGCCGGCCATCGACCGCGAGCGCGGCACCCAGCTCGAACTCGCCATCTCAGTACCGGCCGCCTCCACCGTGACGCTAACCTACGACTTCGAGAAAGCTATCCTGCGCTACACCGAGTACCCCCCCGACGCCAACCGGGGCTTCAACGTCGCGCCCGCGGTGATCAAGCTCAGCCAGAACCCACCGGTCTACATCCGCACTACGAGCCTGCTCCTCCCGCTGCCGACCCCAGACTTCAGCATGCCTTACAACGTGATCATCCTCACCAGCACGGTCATCGCCCTCGCGTTCGGCAGCGTCTTCAACCTGCTAGTCCGGCGGTTTGTCTCCGCCGACGAAGCAGCGGCACTGACGTCACAGACGCTCAAGGGCCGGTTACTGGGCAAGGTTGTCGCGCTGAAAGATCGCCTAGGTGGGAAGCAGTCGAAGACGGAATAGGCTGGTTTTAATTTGTGGATAGAGATGTCGTCATCAGTCATTCAATATATATATTTGTTCGTATTAGTTTTCAACCACGGGTTCAATTTCCCATCATTGATAGCACGTTAGAAAGTATCGTATCACACATCGCCTTGCAGCAGTTTCCATATAAACATTTAACATGCAAAGTTCCCCAAACGAATCCACTTTTGCCTCCGCGGCAATCACACTTTTCAAGCATCAACTTCGCAACATAATCACATCAGTTACTCATACGTCGAGAACCTAGACGAGAACACAAACGATTAGCCCACGCCCTCATATAACCAACCTAACCAACCCAACCACCAAGGAATAGCTCACAAGTTATTCACCGAATCCTTAGTAGTATCACTCGCCCTCCTCCACCAACCCTCCTGGCCTCTACCCTGGTCCATGCTGCTCTCAGAGCCTTGCCTCTGCTTCTGCTTATTCTAGCCCCGCCACACCGTATTAGCATGATCCTTCTTATCGCCACCAGACAGACCAGTTCAAAGAATAGAAAGAAAGAGACAAACCTCAGAAGCAGCCGTCCCTCCCTTGGTCCAACCTCCATCGCCTAGACCCCGTCCGCCGCCGACGTTGTTGGCGGGCGTCGGCTGCAAGCTGGCGCCGCCGCGGATGGAGCTCGAGGGGTGGTTCATCGAGGAGTTTGCGCCGGATTGGACCATGGTGGTGGTGTTGTTAATGTGATATTTTGGAATATGTATGTATGTATGTATGTGTGTGGTGATTATGGGCTGGGGTGGTTGGAGTTGCCAGTATTGATGGTATTAGCAATATTGGGTGAGACCATAGCGATATCGATGAGAATGCTTGGAATCCGAAGAGTATTTATTATGAAGAAGCAACTTCGTGGAGTCGTTGTTTGGGTGGTGACCTCATTATGAACAATATGTGGACGATGTGATTGGCACGCCACTTTACATCCAAGGTTCATCGCAGCAATAAATCATAATACCGTACTGAACTACGCGCCGTAACTACCTGTACAGCCGCAAAAAACAATAAATCAAACACACTCCCACGCATCCTCATCAGTAAACTTCCCCGGACCCCTATACACATTCCTCCGCGGATAGCGACAATGCCTCCGCGTATACTCAACCCTCGAGCCCACCCCATCCTCGAACCTCGCCCCGCGCACAGTCTCAGGCGCAACGCCCTCCTCAACCCACCTAACAACAGCCATAAGAACATTATCCTCAGGATCGTTCCCAGCATGCGTACTCGCCCCATTTCCAATCCCATACGCCCCATCGCCATCCCCGCAGTGCGCCATCCCACTAATAGGAAACAAGCGATAAAAGTCATCCAGCCTGGCGGACGGAAGCGCCATCGTCTCCGCGACGCGCGCATAGTAAAGCTTGGATATCTCCGAGCTAATCAGATGGTCCTGCAGGCCGTGGTAAGTGAGCAGTTTGCCTCCGGCGTCGCGGAATGCCGATAGGTCGGTGGGCCACGTGTGGACGTCGAAGGGGTTTTGTTTCAATGCTGCGGCTGCGTCTTGCACACTCCACTGCGACGCGTCCCAGCTGGGATCGCTGTATACGACGTATTGCCACCATTCGCGGCTGAAGATGAATGGTTCCCCGGTGTACATGATTGTTGAGGCGCGCGTTTCGGACCCGGGCTGCATGCGCGGGTAGATGAGTGTGCCGTTTGCGCCGTGGAGCGGGGAGAGGATCTCGCGGACGGTTTTGGCTTGTGTGCCTGTGAGTCTTGAGGAGGAGGAGGAGTCTGGGTCGCAAATTATGGCTTCCATTGTTGGATGACAGAGGTCCGGGTCCTCGATGATGCCGTCCTTAGCGCCGTCCATGTCGTCGCACTGGCGGAGGATCTCGTCGTGGGCGAGCTTCCACTCCGCGGGGCTCAAGTATGTCTCTGAGCCTGGGGCGCCTGTGATCGAGAAGAAGTTTGCGCTCCAGGAGAGGAGGCCGAGCATGTTGAAGGCCGGGGCGCCGGCGACAACGCCGTCGAAGTCGTCGGGGAACTTTTGCGCCGTCTTGAACCCTTGCCGGCCGCCGGTCGAGCAGCCGATGTAGTACGATTTGTCGAAGCCTTCGTCGTAGAAAAGCTTGGTTAGCTGCTTGCCGATCACGACGCCGGTGTGGATGGACCGGTATGCGTAGTCTTCAACTGCGTCGGGGTGCTTGTAGAAGGGCTTTCCGGAGGTGCCGTTGTGGCCGTTGTTGGCGCCCACTGTTGCGAATCCCATGCCTGTTGTGTATGCGAGGTCGTAGTATTGGATGCCTGGGTGGAGAGGGGGTTAGTTAGTATACTAATATTATAAGGCTCATGTCAGTATTGGGAGAACGTACAGCCACCGAGCCCTCCATTCCCAGTGCTCAGGAACCGGCCGGTGTAGTCGCGTGGGAACCACGCCTCGAGGGTGATCTCGCTGTTGTCGGAGGTATATACTGCCATGGCGACTCGACACATGTCTGCGGACACCGACTGCGACGGCGCACCGCAGCTGGGGTCATTGTCGGGTAGTGAGAGGTTGGTGCCACTCGCGACATAGTCAACAAGATTCACACGCACATTAGGTAGGTCGATCTTGCTGGCGAAGTCGTCACAGCGAGATTGGAAGGCGTCTCGGCGTGCTAGGGCTATTAAACTTGATGTGAGCAGAGACGAGATAAGATAGAATAACATCGTTTCAGCCGTTCACATCCGTGTAAAAGGTGCTACTCCTTTTCTGTAAAGAGGCGAAGGGGGGTGACAAGCTCAAGGGGCGAGCTCAAATCTATTTATAATGCGCGTTGGATCTCTTGCGTGTAGTTCATTCATCGTCTCCCTGTACAACCAACGACCAGTGCGAACAGACATAGGCTGCTGCTGAACCCCGCTGAAGTTGGATGAAGGCAATATTGAGTGACAAAAAAGTCTATGGCCTCGGTAATTAGCCGAATGGACTGTAACAAATCCAGCGTGGGGTGAACAGGTGGTGCTCTTACCCAAAAGGACATTCGAATGCAGCGAGGTGGGTTGTTGCAGCGGACTAAGTTTAAGGCTTTTGTAGTTTGAACTGTGCATGCTCACTATATTTATCATGAGAGAATCTACCTTACGTTCATAGATGCTTTACATAGCTATATAATAGTAGTACGACTCTAAACATCTCTGACATACAGTTGATATATTGTGTTGTTATGACATGGATCCGGAAATATTTACCGTTAGACAGTGAAAATATATTGTTCAAGATTTCAACTTGCGACACCGAAGAGATATCCCTGTAAATTCTCACTTCAAGACCTTGACTCTACGTGGGTGATATGACAGGGGTATAATTTCCACAAACCAGGTCCAGTCACCCTGTCATGGACCCCACCCACATATATCAGAAAGATCCTAGCCTGATATGATGTAGCCAACCACAGTAGTGAACTCGGCAATTGCAACAATCACCACCAGTCAATTGACTCAGTGACATTTTCTAGGGTTAGCTAGATGTCTGAAACCATGAGGAGTGTGATGACTACTGCAAGCATGCATGTAAACCCTGTCGAACTATGGACTAGCGGCTGCAGAAAGAAAAGAGGAAATCCACCCCGAAGTTGTTCCACCGGAGCCCGATACTTGATTGTAGTATACTAGTAGTAATTACGAAGTAGTATTCAGAGTCCCACAATTAGACGGCTTATTAGCCGACGGAGGTATGAACAACTGTCACATCCAGAGCCTCCTTGCGGAGAAGGAAGATACAGAAACCAATTTCATTATTTTTCAAACGCAGATATGATTGAATGTTTACCGAGCGATTGCCGTGACTAAATCTCAAGTGCGTCGACGGTGTGAGGATCTACGTGGCGTCGGACGAGGCTGCAGTGTAATCATGCAGTCAGAACTACAGATGCGTCGACCGTGCAGAGCTCCGATGACGACCGTTTAACGGTGTTGTCGTAATTCTGTAGAGCTTCATTGTTTAGTTCCTCCACACGGTTTGGAGTCTCGTTCAGGCCTGTCGCGTGAACTGTACGTGTGCATCAGCGGATCTTTTTTATTTTCACTCATCTGTCGGCTCCATAAGTACAGCAGCAAATTTGAAAGTCTAGGCATGTTGGGCAAATGCGCATGTTAGGCTTGGGTGTCGATCTCCTTGGACTAGCGCCGTAGACACTATCTTTCGCATGAGTAACGGGAAGAAGTACATAAAAAAAAAAAAACACTAAATCACTAAATCGATAAATCGAAACCGGTTTCGCAGTGGAACTGTAAAAATGTTTTAGGTATTGATAACTCTTGCCACAAGTTGTGGTTGGATCATATGGATTTCCATATAATGAAAGGGGCTGCAATAGGATCAGCTACGGTCTATTTGGAAGGCGCATGTAATCTCACCTGTCCCCAGAGCAAGCAAAGCGACGGTAAATGTTGGGCATTGGATTATTGCATAGATGAAAAACATGCCGCATGCTATCCATGTGGAGTATTGCCAGGGAAGCCCGGCCAAACCAGAAAACCCCTTATATCTGGCTGCTGCCTCGTCGATCATGGCCTGTAGATTTGCAGCAGCGGCAGCTGTTTGGCCGAGCAAAGCGTACGAAATTTGCAACTGCATGTGTAGGCTGTCCTGCAGCTTTAATTGTGCCTTTGTTGTGTTGAACTGTCGGACCTGCATTGTTTGAAGGTCTTCTGCTCTCAAGCGAGATTCCTCGAGAGATGTTTCGAAATTCCGTAGCCGCTTCCAGAATTAGATGTATACCACGAAACTTTGGGGATACGCATACCTCAGATATACTCAACTCTTGCTGCATAACATTCTCCAGCTTCGCAGCCAGCCATTCCTGACAATTAGCTTTTAGGTCTTCAAGGTAGAGCCCAGGAGCTCACCAAAGAAGCATCGAATGCACCGAGGCCGTGTGAGATTTTGACCACTTCATTTTGTAGTATTGACTCTAGCTCGCTGTGGATAGCTGTGACAATATCTTTGTGTGATTGGGCGTCTTGTCGACGAGCCGTTTCTAGTTCGTCATGCCGAGCGAGAACTTCATCATGAATTGCTCGTATGATATATTGTAACCCATCAGCTTCGCGTGATATATTCTGGACATTCTACACGGCGTCAGATCATTTCATAGGTATAAATGTGAAGGTACAAACCTTCTCAAACGTCAAAGCTCCCGTTTGGAAATTCTCAAGGGCTGAAGTAAGCGCGATGATTGCAGATTGAGCGCTGACTTCAATTCCCTGGAAGATTTTTGCTAAGAAGCTTTTGAAGTGCGACTCCGTCTCTCTCATTTCATGATGCATCCTCATCTGCATGGCTTCCGTCACGTCCATAAATGTTCTATACTGAGAAGACTGCGCTGTAGCTGCCCGCAGAGCGTCCTGCAGACCATCGTTCAGTTTCGAAGAGCTTTCAACTATAGATCTATAAAGCTCCAAAAGCTCTTCTTTCTCACCCTCGATCCTAGCCGCTTGGCATATAACTACTGCATTTTGTCTGTTGTTGCTATATGACGTCCACCATTGCGGACGTGATTCCAAAGTCTTCAGACAGCCTTCTAAAAGGGCTGCTGACTCCTTGTCCACGGGACTAAGGGGCGGTTTGCTTCTGGAGGGAATACTGAACATGCGTTTCCCAGGCGGCCCCGACACAGTGACCGGAATGCATAGACGGGGAACAGATGCCCCAGCCCCGTTCAGCTCACAGATAGCCAGTCTTGCTGCATAGAAGGAGCGTACACGCTCTAAGGTAACATATGTTCCTGAGTCCGGGGTATCACCAGACTTGTCTCCCAGAGATTGGCATGACATGACCAGCTCCGACGCTGCCATTCGATTGCAGGAAGGAGATGTCTTCATTGACTCAAGGATTTGGATTGCTCCTGTGTAAATTGCATCATGTTGTTGTGGCTTTCCTTCGAGAAATGTGACTAGGTTGATGCCTTCGCTCGGGCTATCCTTTGAGACTAAGAAGACCTTGATTAGCATAGTGAAGTATGTGTATCGGGAGACGGAGATTACCAGTCGTCGCCATGCCAGTAGTGCAATAACATGCCATTAGTATTAAAGTTCTCGCAAAGCAAATATATGAAAGGGGAATGCGAAATGCAGTCGAAAGCTTCATCGCAAATCTCAAGGCTCGATGGTATTCTCGAGATCGTCCAGCAGTGAGATGGTTGATAATGATAGAAAGAATCGAAAGACAGGTAAAGAGATGTAGCAATTATAGACAAGCACGTTTCGTAGGTTGGAATAGTCTCTGAGATCAAGTCCTAGCACAATCAGTAGTCGTATAGTAGTTGGTGGTCGTCACGAGAGTATGGGACTGGTGAGAATGACCATTGGAGAAAGGGAAAGATCATGGGAGAAGTGAACACGTCGTGACACTGACTGGCAAGACCCTCCAGCCCACACCGTCATGCTATACCATCTATCCCAAGAGAGAGAGAGAGAGAGGTGTATGAAAGATATAGATCGATATCACGTGGGATCTAACCGAATGGGGAAGAACTGGCCTATATTGACATTCCCCGCGCTAACCCGAACGGGACGATCCGCGAGGGGCAGTCACGGGACCGCCTATCAACAACGAAGCGCAATGACGTTGGAGGCTTCATTCATTCTCTCTTCTCCAACTCCCCCTCTCGACTGTCTCTCCCCCGTTGATCTGCTCGCGAGACGGGCTGCCTCAGTGGTTGTCCTGTGGGTTCTACTTGCCAGCTTCTTGTCAGACATTTACCTCTACGGGCACGCGCATTATCGAACGACTGGTTGTAACACGTCACCCGACGACTGAAGTCCTCGATCGATTCGCAGCACAGTCGCATTTGGTCTCGGGATTTTATTTTATCAGGAATACTGCTCTCGCATTTGGACAGGAATCGCGATCGCGAATCCAATTCTCGGTGTTGACCGTTGAGCGCACACTGATACGAATGTGAGGACACGGGCTGTCCTTTGGTTATCCGCCCCCGCATTGCGCTAAAACCTCACTGGGCTTGTCCACAACTTGCTTTGTACCACAGACCAGGATGTTCCACTCATCGGTATGTTGACATTACGCCGTGCGTGTGGCACTATCTACGCAATGCCTTGTCTTTCCTCGTGACAAGCTCATGGGTCAGGTACTGACCTGAGATTTGTAGAAACCGTATTCGGCCGTGTCCGTCCAGATTGAAGTCCTCACTGGCGAGCAGTATGAGGTCGAAGACTCTAGCGGAATTGTTGATCTGATTGAAGCCATCCGTATCCAAGCCAGCGGACCGACAGAAGCGAGCCGCGCATTGCGAAAGAAGCTGTCAGTCCCACCTCACTTTACCTTCACCTTCAACCGACTGCTAACTTCGCTTCAGGAAGTACGGGAACATCCACCGCCAGCTACGGTCGCTAACCATTCTTGACTTCTTGATCCAAAACACCGGCGACCGCTTCCTCCGGGAATTCGCAGATGAGCCATTACTCGAGCGATTGCGGATCGCAGCCACCGACCCGGTCTCCGACCCCCTGGTCAAGCAGAAGTGCAAGCAACTCTTTGGACAATGGGCCGCCTCGTATAAAAACACCCCGGGCATGGAGCGCGTGACGGCGCTCTACCGCCAGCTGCCGAAACGCAAGCAACCGGCCACTCAGGCCAAGGCCAAGGTCCTACGGGAGTCTGGCACTTCCAAAGACCCGCCCCTGGGCCACAGCGTCTCCATCTCCGCTGGCAACGGGCCATCGACCGTCGTCGGCAACTCCAAGCACAAGCACTCGAGCAGCAAGTCCCTCAAGAAAGAGAAAAAGGAAAAGAAGGAAAAGAAGGAGAAGAAAATATACACGCGCCCATTCAATCTCGAAAGAGAGAAGTCCGAGATGCTGCAGACGCTCGCATCTTCCTCCCTCGCCAGCACCAACCTCCTGAACGCGCTCAAACTCGTCAACCGGGAGACGCACCGCGTCAGCGAAGACGTCGAGTGCCTGCAGCGATTCGAGACCTGCAAAGAGCTCCGCCGCCAGATCCTGCGGTACATCCAGCACGTAGAGAGCGAAGAGTACCTCGGCAGCCTGATCCACGCCAACGAGGAGCTGGTTACGGCGCTGATGGCCTTCGAGGTGCTCGACAAGAGCGTCGACTACGACAGCGACAGCGACCAGGACGTCCTCGAAACGGGCTGGACCCCGGACCGCGACGACGTCCCGGAGGCCTTTGCCGGCCTGTCCATCAACCCGCCCAAGCCGCCCCGACCCGCCCGCCCACTAAGCATGCCCGTCGGCTCGTCCCCGTCGCAGTCGCGGCCCCGAATCTACGACAGCGCAAGCAGCGACTCGGACTCTGATGAAGACGACGACGACGAGGACAACCCTTTCGGCGATCGGAATGCCATCCGCACTCCCCGCCTGGAGCAATCCCAACCCACCTGGTGCGACGATCCCTCCTTCCTTCCTCAAAACAACCCCTCACTAACTCTAGTCTAGGAGAGAAGTATGACAGACAAACAGCTAGAAGCAGACTTTCGCGGCCAATTATCTCATGTCATTATGGCCCCACTGACAACCCCCGGAACGCTGAAGGTCATATGGACATCCAACGAATTTATTACTGATGAGATACGTGCACGAAAATGAAGGACTTTATCGTATCTGAATGTGGGCGCGAGCGTAGTAGTTAGACTGGAGGTCCGGCAATCCGGACATGTACCACACAGTATGAATCCAAATTAGAACTGTTATTATTATCATTCTATAGTACAGTTTGTCACACTTACTCAATCACAGAACCACTACACTGCCTAGTAAAGTGCACTACAAGCATAGACGTATCTAATCGAAGCTCTACACAGTCTACATTCCCCAGCAAGAAATAGCAACAGTAGTCTGTACCAAAACCAGCCATTACACATTTAATTCCAACACAAGAGCGAATCTATCCACAACTTGATCGAACAGAAAGTCAATCATCAGACATGAGCATAAACATAAGTATAAGCATAAACATAAACATAATTCATTTCCCCCAGAAAAGGCCGTACCGTACACCTGCATGCAAAGACGAGGCTTAAGACTCCTGTACCCCGTGCGTATTTCCTTCCCTGTGCAATTTGTTTATCCATGCCGAGCGTATAAAGAAGAAAAAGAAGAGGAGAGAAAGAGAGGAAGGCAAAAATGAAGACGAAAACTAAATGGAGAGAAGTAGAAGTAGAAGAAGGTCACAGACAGGGGTATTATGAATATAGTGGAGTGGACGATGGTCCATGCATGTTACCGAAAGGAGGAGAGAACCCGAAAGTGAATCCAAAGGATATGCAGAGGAAGAGAAGGGAAAATGAAGAAAGGCAAGGAGAACGTATTATAAAACCTTCGTTTTCATCCACTCGCTCGTCCCCACGCCCAGATTAAGGCCATTACGCGCCCACCACCGGCGCACACGTTCCTCGGCGCCCGAAACCGGGTCCGCGTCCTCGAGGGCCTCCTCGATGTCACAGGTCTTGAACTCCACGCGGAGCCCGCTCCGTCGCCACCATTCGAGGACGTTGTCGTGGCCGTTCTTGGTGGGGCCCACCAGCACCTGGCAGTCGAAGATCATCTTGGCGCCCTTGAGCTGGTGCCAGAACTCGAGGACGTGGACGTGGCCGTGCGTGCTGGCGATGCGCGCGACGGACTCGGCGTGGCTGTATGGGATGCCCGATGCGTCCCACCAGGCGAGCGAGGACGCGCGGCCGGATTGCGCTGCGAGGAGGACGGATTTGCCCACCTTGAGTGGGATGGGATTGCTTGCTGGCGCGTTGGCGGAGGCCTTTTTCCACCAGTCTAGAACGGCGATGCGGCCTTCCGCGCTGGCGGCTTCTAGGGCACGTTCCGTATACCGGAGCTCGAGACCGGAGGTGCGCCACCACTCGAGGACGTTGACAAAGCCGGCACGCGACGCTCCGTCCATGGCATCGGCGATGTAGTCTTTGGTAGGGAGTGCGGGAGCGTCGCGCCACCAGGTCAGGATATTGGGGTTGCCGTATATGGCGGAGGCACGATAGGGGATGTTCGTGAGGCGAGAGGTGGTCCAGAGAAGGTCGAGGTGGTGTTCCGTGAGATAAGACAGGATGTCGGTTCGCGAGAATTTGAAGACGAGGTGGCATGAGAGGTCGGAGAGTGGTTTCCACCGGGGCAGACTATCGATGCGCTTCTTGATTGCGGCGAACGACCCCCGTAAGATGGTATACTCCAAGGACGCAGGGGTCGACATCTTTAACAAGTGGCTCTGCCACTCCTTGGGCACCGGTAGATTCGCCGGGATCCCAACCGCTTTCGCGATTTCCCAATCGTGTAATTGTTCCTCAAAAATGTTCAACCAAAGTTCCATCGGCAACGCCCGGGACCCGCCTCGCATCATGTCCGACAGATACATCCGATTCCGCGTGATCGTCGCGACATTGTGCAAAGACTGCTTCTCAGCCGGGACCGCCTCCTTGGTGGAGGCGTCCGGGAGCGAGGCGGGTTGCGCGAAGGATAGCCCCAAGGTTCGTTCAAGAGTGTGGTGAAGCTCCTCCAATCCATTCCAGGGTAACTGAACTAGCTCCTCGAGATTTTGAAATTTCCACAAAACAGGCGCGACAACGCTAATCCACGGCCAATACTGGCGGACCTCCCCAAGCTGCCTCTCAGTCAACGGATGATGCCACTCCGAGACCGTCATGCCAGGAATCAGCACCACTGGTTTGGGCGACATCCACCCACGAAGCAGCGCCAGCGTCAGGGTGTTGGTCAAACCCGACAGCATCGACCCCAAAGTGCCTGCATCGACCGGGGCGACCAGCAACATGTCGGCCCATTCGCACAGCTCCGCCGCCTTGGCCTTCAGCCACTTTCGCGCCCCCGTCTTTTTCTCAAACTTCCGACTATCCACTGTATCCGAGTAATGTGGGACTTTGTTGATCCCCGAAAGGAGGGCGGACGGTTCGTCTGTGATCAGCCGGAGCTCGACGTCGGGGTTCGCAACGAGTGACGGGATGACATGGTCGACAAAGGCGCTTTCCGTGGACAAGAGCAAGCGCTTACGACGAGGAGGAGTAGACGAGACGGTTTGATCTAGGGTGTTTTCCTTCGTGGGTAATCTGGTGTTCGATTTGCCGCCGGACTTCTCAACGACCTCCATTTCCGGTGGCCAGGCACCTTTTAGGACGACACTTGCGGTGTTTCCAGAATCCGTTAAACTTCCCGAGTGGAACGCTATTGCCATCGCAATCCCAGAATGTAGATGTCAGAGGTGGGACAATTGGTTTTCACTGTCGATTCCCCAACTCGCGGAGTAGCTTGCGGGAATCTTAGAGGCTCGGGAACGTGGAGGTCAACAGATGAGCTGGCGTTCAAAAAACGAGGAACTCATACAGTGTATAATTATGATAAGCTGCAGTTCAGAAAACAATAAAGATAAAACTATAACAGGAAAGAGAAGAAGAGAATATCCGAGTAAGTCAAAGAGAGTGCGACAGGATCAGGTGGGACGAGCGCCTCGGGCCAGTCGAAGTCAATTGCAGCCCAAGCAACTCTCGTGCGTCAGGCCACACTCTGCGACACACGTATTCCGCAGCCTACTAGCTGAAGACGGCCAAGAAAGAAAGAGACAACCATCCAACACACGTGGGCAAGAGATAGGACGACTGATTGAGAGGAGGAAGCGGTGTAATGGAAAGAAGGCCGAATCTCCAGCGCCACTGTGAGCCCGCTGCTTATATAATACGATTATGCACCACTCATAACGTGCAGATCACTAACCACTCATAAGGACAGTGGATACGGTCATGTCATACTCCAGAAACAGGACTTGGCATTGGTCAATCTATGAGCATCACGTCTGTAAGACTCTATGTAACAAATCAAGGCTCTTCAAATATAGACGAACGATGCACGGGATCATGTCGCATAGATACCTCTATGCTGCTCATTTATTCGTCATCCGGATCCTGGCGCGCCATGTTCGAGTGCAGCTTGTGCTCTCGCATGGCCGAACTTCCAATGGCCCCGAGAACACTCAACCCCAGCAATGCGATGAACACAGCCCGGAGGGAGTCCATGTACGCATCCATCACTCCGGGTTTCCAGTCGCCGGGAAGCTTCTGGATCTCGTCCAGGCTGTCGCGGATCCGAGAGATGACCTCGCTAGCATCCTTGCGATCGCCGAAGCGAGACCAAAGCCCGGAGATGAGGATATTCTGGAAGACTGCGGAAGCGATGGAAATGCCGATGGTGCTCCCCGTGCTGCGGAACGCGTAGGACGCCGACGTGATCACCGCGTGGTAGTCATGGTCCACGGCCGAGATCAGTGCAACGAGGGTGATCGTCAGCATGCTGCCATAGCCCCCACCCAAGAAGAAAAAGTAGATAAAGGGAATCCAGGCGGGTGTGGTCAGGTTCAGCGTGCAGATCATAATACTGGACAGAACGAATGTGAACATGCACACGTAGTTCATCGTCTTGTAGCGTCCCGTGGATCGCATGATGATGCCGCATCCCAAAGATCCGATCGAAGTTCCCAAGGCCTGGGGGATCAGCCGGACCCCAGCCGAGGTCGCCGATAAACCTTGGACCTGGAAAAAGAGCGGGAGGTAGAAGAGAAGTCCAAAGATCGCCATGGTCGAAAACCAGTTCGTTAAGCACGCCGACAAGACGGTCCGATCGAGCAAGAGTCGAACAGGAATCACAGGTTCGGACGCAACGTACGCTTCGATGTAGACGAAGATCCCCAAGAACACAGCGGAGAGTGGGAGTGTTGTTAGGACTAGAGGATGTGTCCATGGCACCTGGTTCCCGCCCATGTTGAGTCCCAGGAGAAACAACACGAGCGTAATGACCAGGGTGATTGCCCCCAGAAAATCGACCCGCTTCAGTCTTCCCTTGTCGGTGTATTTCACAGGGATATCGATGGTGACGGCGACCAGAACACAGGACACAACGATGAAGGGAACTTGGATGAGAAAGGCCCATCGCCACCCCAGTGTATCATTGATCCATCCCCCGAAGACGCCGCCCAATCCACTTCCGGCCCCATAGCAGATGTTCCCAACACCCTGCCAAACACCACGTTGCCGCAGCGGGACCAGATCGGACGTGACAAACGTCGAAATTGCCAAGAGACCGCCGCCGCCAACCCCGGCAACAACACGGCCCACCACGATGGTCCCTTGACTCTTCGCAGTACCGCAGATGATGTTTCCGGCTGCGAAGAACACATTGGAGAACACAAGACCCGTTCGTCGGGAGAAGATATCCGTCAAGCGCCCGCTAAGCGGTTGAAAAGCGGCATTAGAGATCAGATAAGACGTAGCTAGCCACGAAAGTAAGGACAATGAATGGAAGCTCGACGAAATGGGCGCCGTGAGCGTGGCCACGATGGTAGTATCTGTCACAATTAGGACTTGAAACACCTTTGCATGGTGAAATAACTGGGGAAATCATCAATTACCCAGAGCAGCCAAAAACACGCCCACCCAGATACTTCCTAAGATAAGGATCAATTCCTTGGTGCTGCGCTCCTGGGCCAAGGGAACCCCAGATCCATCGCCCGTCCCCGCATGCTGGCTCGAATCTCCAAGAAGCGGAGTTTGCTCCGAGATCGGACCAGCATGGGCCGGATCGGCTGGTACAGCGTCGACAGTGCGATCTGAGGGCATCTCAATCTACCGTAGAGACGGTTGGTCCTTGAATCCTCAGAGACCGTGATGGAGTGATGGACGCGGGGAGACAAGCACGGTGCAAAATAGTGGAGGTGAGGGGTTGTTGGAGAATCCGAGGTTAGTCAGCTCGTCGGCACAAACACCATATCCGACCCGATCATCTATCGACACCACGGCATGACGCGATCCTGGATGGAGAAAGGGACAGTAACGTCTGGAGACTGTCGAGGAGTGGTGTTCAAATTGGTCCAGTGGTCCATGGATGCCATTGAGATTGGCTTTCGGTGCGGATAGATCCCTTTTCTATCCATGGTTCCCAGATGGAACTTACTTCGTCGTAACATCGATCAGCCATTGAGATTCTATTCCTGAGACAACAATTGGACAACAATCGGAGGACTGGAGGAAGAGAATGAACCGATCATGTCTAATTTAATCCACAACTAGAGTCAATAGCGTGACGAGTAACAAGTTGACACGGGCGACAACTTGAAACAGGGGCGCATCTCATTTTATAAGGTAGATAGATGAGGACAAGCTCAATCCTGCCCTACTTGCCTGCTCATTGGAGGTCGTCGTGCCGGGAAAAACGGAATAGAAGTTCCTACTGAATATTATAATAGTCACAAATCCGGCGGGGTTTCAATCCATGCCTGCCGACCATGGCTCCTGATTTCTCCAGTTGCCCGGCCTCTTTTTGAGTTCAAGGGAAAAGCGCCTGCCCCAATGATGTGATAAAGTTCTGCATCGTGGCACCATTTCCTTATTTCCTTGAGAGACTCCGCAATGGCAATGGTCCTAGTGTAGTGATCTGGAGATAAGCGCCGAATAAATAGCGAACCAAGTCTCCTATAGGAAGAAGATCATCCCAGAGCTGGTAGAGCCCGTCCAAACCGACAATAATCCGATCATCCATCCAGAGCCCAGGCAAGTATACCATCCATGGCGCCCGGTGGAAGAACGACAAGGGTACGTCTTCCGTCTCGGCATGCCATCGAGAAAGTCAAAGAGCCCCCGGGGAATGTGTCGTGCGCCCGTCAGTCCTCACGTTGAGGTTGGGGGAAGCCAATATCTGGCAGCGGCCCGTTAGTCTGCAGCACAGCCACGCCACGACGACCCTTACAGGAAGAGCTAAGGCAGGATCAACTGGCTATCTAGCGGTATGGGGTAAAGTACCGCGTAAGTTGAGGGACCAATGTGGGGGGGGAATGATGCCATTGCGTCTGGCTAAAGTATACTTGCTTACACTTTACTACCAGTAGCAGCGCGCCGCAGCCAATCGTGGACCTGGTGTGGACCCGGTTATCATCCTCTTCTTAACGCGGAGGTGACGGCGGCAAATGAAGCAAGAGACCCAACAAGTGCGCACTACTGAGGAAGGAAAAAAGAAGAAGGATTGAAGAAATTAAAAAGGAGACAAATGCGCAAATTAAGGGCCAGGACCGTGCCCATCACGTGGACCCAGGCGCATCATGATTCCCTCCAGTCGTGGATCATCGTCCGACCATCACTTCCCTTCATCAGTTCTTCTTCTTTCCCACCTCCCATTGTTCTCTTTGACTCCACCGGTGAATCTTACTGCATTGCAGGTTCTTCACTGAATATACTCTATTCTCTTCTGTGAAACGCCTACTTTTTCTATACCAATCACTACCTTATATTACACTTCAAGCTTGGAATTTCAAAATGCCCGGTGTTCGTGAGTATACCCTTGCCGTGAGTTCATGGAGAGTGACACTCTCTGACATGGTTGCGAAAAGCCCCCGATGCGCTCGATCAGTTGAAGAAGGGCTTCAAGGCCATCTTCCGCAGGAAGAAGAAGCCCGCCCAAGACGCAACTGCAGCCCCCGCAGCGGAGAATAAGCCGGAGAGCAAGCCGACTGAAGCAGCTCCCGCAGCAGGCCCCGCTGACAACAAGCCTCAAGAGGCCGCTCCTGCAGCGGAGCCAAAGCCTGGTATGTCGAAAATCATACTCCAAGCTAATAAGTCTGCGAGCGATATATTAACGGAAGATGAAGAACAACCAGCTCCGGTCGAGATGCCCGCAGGAGACGTCGAATCTAGCAAACCGAAGCCTGAAGAAGCCAATGCTGCGCCAGCTCCCGCCCCCACCCCAGCTGCTGCCCCCGAGACGACGACGGATGCTCCTGCGACCGAACCCAAGCCTGATGCTCCCGCACCCGAGTCGAAGACCGAAGCTCCTGCTCCGGCTCCTGCTGCTGCCCCGGCTGCTGCTCCAGCTGCTGCTCCAGCTCCCGAGTCGAAGACCGAAGCTCCTGCCCCTGCTCCTGCTGCTGCTCCCGCTCCAGCCCCTGCTCCTGCCGATGCCCCTGCTCCTGCTCCGGCTGATGCCCCTGCCCCTGCCCCTGCTCCGGCTGCCGCTCCTGCTCCTGCCGATGCCCCCGCTCCCGAGGCGAATACCGAAGCGCCAGCTCCGGAAGCAAAGACAGAGGCGGCAGCGCCTGCACCGGAGGCCGCACCGGAGGCCGCACCCGCAGAACCAGCAGCCGAGAAGCCCGCTGAGAAAACGGAGCCCGCACCAGGTAAGTCTCAGTTAACGCCGAACATTGTCTAGAAGATAGAACTGACGGAGCGTGGTTGAAAAGCTAAATAAATGCCCTACGAGTCCAGATGGATCTAGAGTGGCTATGGCACCAGACCTAGTCTTACCCTGACCATCCCCGGTACTCTTTGCTTTGTCTTGTGCCTTTGCCCGCATTTCATACCCCAGCCTTGATTCTTCGTTCAGTTCAAGTGTGCTTTGGCAATTCAAGCTGTTTCACCAATACCCTGCACTTAGGCCTAGTATAACAGGCCAGATAATGATCAGTTGATCCGCTATCCGTCTGTATGCGTAGGAAGTCCCATGGTAGACGGGAGTCCCCATAGATGGTCCTGGGACCAGCCCAATAGACGTAGATCAATCGCTTCCATCCTGGGAAAGCATGTCTTCATCGACAGGCGAAGCGGGCACATCTTGGCCGGCAGCCGCAGCAGCAGCAGCCTTCTCCTCGCGCGCTTTCTGCCGGCGCTTGATCTTCTTCTCACGATTCTTCCGGGTCCGCTTCTCAGCGTCTTGCTTCTTCGCGTCCTCCGCAGCAGTGACTCGCTTGCGCAGTTGAAGCCGTCTTTTCTTCCCCGGCTTCTTCACAGACTTTGGCGTCTTCTCCGGCGGACCCATCACATACGTGACAGCAGACCCACGCGGTAACTTGGTCTGATCGCGCCTTAGACGAATCACCTTCCACGGAAGATGGCACCCGGGCTGCAGAACAAAAAGTCAGTCACACCATCACAGACACCAAAACACGCTCATCTCGCAAGCTCAAACACCAGACTCACCCAATCCACCTTGGCCCAAGCCCGCATATCCTCCCCACTAACAGCGACTTCCTCAAACTGGCTCCTCTTCATCTGGAATTCAGCATCCTCACCAACCCCTGTAGTCCCAGACAGTAAACCCGGCGCGGTAAAGTAATACTCCCACCCGCGGAACGGGTTCACAATGCGTCCTTCCCCGGACCCAGCCGCACCAGGCGACGGGGACCTCAACCGGATACGGAGCTTCTGCGTGCCTCCTTCTCCCCCAGCACTTGCGTCCTGTGTTCCGGGCGTAGTGGTGTCTGCCGTGGGGTGTGCCGCGCCAGAGGGCGCGCTGAACAGACGGAACTCGAATTCCTGTTCTTCATCTTCGTCTTCGTGGGGCTGTTCGTCTTGTTGGTTTGCGAGGGGTTCCTCTTTCTGTTGCTCGGGGGTCGTCGGGCCGAGCAGCGAGTCGAGATTTAGCAGCTCGCCAAGACGCTGGTATCCGTCTGTGACTGTGTTTTCGGGCGCTGGCGAGGGTGATCGCGATGACGAGGCTCGCGAGAGGAGTTCGTCGCGACGGACGCTGGGAAGATGGACGTTAGTTGGGTTCCGGTCTGGTCGCTGGTGAACAAGGTAGTAGTGATACATACCGTTTGGCATTGGGCACGTCGAACATGGTGCCCACTAGACCAAAGGGTCAAATATACAACAAGAACCGGAGATAAGAAAGAAGTTCCTATCGGACCAGATTCTGCACGCGGGTGAATTCCACCAGCGGAACAAAAAACCCGAATGCGGAGAGATCCGATCGTGAGGGGCAGAAAGTGGCAGGCGGTGAAGCACAACGTGGCCTCTTGTTTGGATTAGCTGTCAACATAGTTAGTGAGTACTTGCTCGAGGGGAAGGAGACATGATAACTTACCTCTGGTTTAATTCCATTCTTCTCGAACACGCTGTCTGTTTCGTCCTGTGAGTCAGTCAGTTGACAGAATTACTTATCATACACCACTTCACTGCTGTCCTTCGTTGAACTATTCTGTCTATCTTCATTGACTGTATACACGGACGATCTCTCATACCTCCGCAACTATGGTAAGCCCTCCTGTCCTCTTTCTCTCTTGCTACTCCGATCAGTCAACCAAACTTCCCATTCTACCTCACTCTTGATGATCAAAGTAGACACTTCAACATTGTATTAACAAATCAGGCCCAAACTCCCCAACAGCGCCGCGCAAACGAGAAGTTCGCAAAGCACGAAGCCGCAAAGCGCGGCAAAGCCCCCGGCAACGTCGCGAAGCCCAACAAGCAGGTCACCAAGCCTTCCATCTCAAAAGGATGGGTCGGTATGTCTTTCCTGGTTTTATCCTCACACATAATGCACAACTCACCATGTCAATCATAGTCCTCCTGGCCTTCGTCGTCTGCGGCGGTCTCCTCTTCGAACTGTTGAGAGTCGTCCCCGAGATCTGGGGTATGCTCACCCGCGTCCTGGGTTGAGTGTGCAGCGTTATTCTCGTTGAGTTGAGTTTCAGGGTGAAGGAAGGAGTGATGGGCTTACAAACTTGCTGGGTTCTTATTCTATTTTTGCATGCGCTGTATTCTATTCTAGTGGTGTTTTTTTTATTATTTGCTTTGTTGTTTTCTTGATAGGCAGGTATATCTTACTACGCGCATGGTGCATTTGACATTAATCTGGGCTGTGTAATTGGTGTGGTAGCACTGTGCTACAGAGGTGCGTTAACGAGCCGAAGTTTCAAGTATACACGGATGATATCCATTCTGGAGAGTATGTAGAATATGATGGGAGATCCACGAATGATTGGGCTCGCCGGTAGCCTGTATGAATGCTAGACGCAACGTCCACCGTCCACCTGAGAAACGCATTAGACACCGTGCAAAGAAGATGGGATGGATTCGTCTTACCTCGAAATTCACCCCCGTAATGAAGTCCGCCTCGTCGCTGGCCAAAAAGCTGCAGGCATTGGCCACGTCGGCCGGGGTGCTGGGACGGCCCAACGGCACGGTCGACACGAACGCCGCTCGGTTTTCCTCCGTGTCGGGCTTTCCTAGGAATAAGTGCGTCCTGTGTTGGGTTTACATCGTAAGCATGATATCGCCCCGAGAGTTGGAGACATGGATAAGGCACTTACATTCCAGTGCTCCCTACAACAGGGCAAACGCAGTTGAACCGGATCTTCTTGGGTCCATACTCAACGGCCATAGACTTGTTGGCGGTACACACCGCCGCCTTGGAAGCATTGTACCATGTCAAGCCGGGCCGTGGACGCAGAGCAGCCGTGGAGGAGATCTGGACAAAAGAGCCAGGCCGGTTGTTTTGAATGAAATACGGGACGATAACGTCGGAGGACAGGTAGATCGACTTGACATTGACAGACATGACCTTGTCAAAGTCCGCGTCGGTGACATCCCCCGTGGGTTTATTGCTGTATGTGGCGCCGGCATTATTGACGATGATGTCGAGCTTGCCGTAGGCGTCAAGCGTGGCTTGCAGCAACGCCTCCCAGGATTCCCGTTTCGTCACGTCCGTGGAAACGAAAGTCCCGTTTAGTTGCGCAGCAGCTTTTTCACCGGCCTCCTTGGACAGTTCGGCGATAACCACCTTGGCGCCCTCCTCCACGAATTTGGCGGCAATGCCATATCCGAACCCTGAGCCGGCACCCGTGACAATAGCCACCTTGCCCTCCAAGCGTCCGGCTGCCGCGCGGATCGTCATTTTCAAATTAGTGTAGACTGAAAATAGTACTGAAATGGAGGTTTCGCTTCTTCTCCCAAGAATAATCCAACGCCAAAACAGTCTCACAGTAGGTGGGTGGACGCAGGACGTGTGCACTACTTATTAGCGCTGGAACGGCCATCATGCGGGGTTGACCGAGGAGGGGTCCAGACATATCCCGGATCCAAACTCTGTCTGTTACTCTGCAGCGCGGAACCAGCGCAGGCAGAGGGGGGGTATCACGGCGTTCTCCGCATATTCGACACTGGTGGAGCCGACCCTTTCTGTCTCATCACCGATCTTCAGTCGTAAGCCCCACCGTCTTGCCTCGTGGGGGCGGCATGGAATATTTCCGACCGTTGTCTTGACCACTCATTCACCATAGAATCGATGGAATAGAATGACGGCGTCCAGTCAAGTCGGACTTGACCCGATTCCTTGAGCCAGGCAGTGCTGGGGCGCTAATCCATCCCGATTGAGGAAGTGTACCAGTACATCAGGCCATCCTATCCTATGATGGAGTTGTAAATCCCAACATGTAAACCCACCAAGTAATGGTATTAATTCCATTACGAACTGTTGGGTCAAGAACGGCTGCCGGTCCAGCCAAACCGTTGGAACAAGAACGCAAGAGTGGAAACACAGCAGAGAAGGAAACAGATGAGGATGTCATCGGATGCGCACGGACCAGATCACGCATCCACCGCCAGCCACTTCGGTCTGCAGGAATCAAGTCCTTCCCTAATTCTACTTCTAATTCTAATTCCTGTACCAAAGTAACCCCCAGCATCACCGGTTGATGCACCCGACAATCGAATCAACAGGTGTCTTCGTCAGTCGCATCGCCTGTTCTTCTTTCTTCTCGGCTTGATTGCCCTTATACTCCACCATCAACCGAACCACCCGTCGGGCACCGTTATCGCTAGTCTAGGGGGGCCGAAAAAGATTCATAATCCAAGATCAAAAATTTCTACGCCCAAGGGGGGTGCCTTTCCATCTTGGATGTCTTGCGCTGCTTTGAACCTACGATAGGCCTGGCCTTTACTCGGTACAAATGGGTAACTGTTCCTCGTGCCTGGGCCTCGGTCGCCGGGATAGTCACGATGTAGGTTCCCTCATACATAAGCGCTCGTGCGATAACATGCGACTGCGACGTCATTCATTCCCTGGTATAGTACATGAATCACATCGCTAACAAACACTTCCTCCTTATCTATAGTCCGAATCCTCGCGCCTCCTCGACGATGACCCCTACCAAGCGGGCTACGGCTACGGCGCTCTAAACCACACCAGCCAAGTCAACCAGCCGGACCCGGGCTACGTCAAGCGGGAAAGAGAAGCACTAGAAGCCATCTGCCAGCGAGCCTCGGAGTGAGTCAACCCCCCTCCAACCGGTCTCCAAAATGCGATTTTGACAACTGACCTACGTCCGTCCCCAGCTCCGTCATCGACATCTGGTCTCTCCAGCCGCAACCGCATCTCCAACCCCAAGCCACCCTACGTGGATCCGCATCGCCCTCTTCGACCAGAGGCGCCTCCTCCAACGAGGTCCCCATTCACATAGCGACTGACGCAGAGGCAGAAACAGCGCCGTCAACAAACGGGAAAAATCACGGCCGCGAGGCCCCGAAGCATTGGGGTGAAGTGGTAATCAACCCGCGCAAGCATAAGCAGGCGCAAGCCGATGAAGTCGCCAAACCGGATGTCTTTGGTGTACTCAAAGTGACATGACCATGCCATCTCATTCGGGCGATAGCCTCGTTGCGATAGACGGTGGAAGAGGAGGAGGATAAACGATCCGACGATTGGTAACTTTCCATACACAAAAGAAAAGAAAGAAAAAGCAAAAAAAAGGAGGGACGATGAAACAGTCACGCTACAGATTCGCATCGACTATGTTTCGCGTCTTCAAAATCTACTATCTCCTTGCTGCAGCAGATCGCCGGTCGATAGTCCCGTCCTATCACATCACCACCAGATCCTGATTACTACCTACCTACCTACCTTACTCTTCCCTGCCGTGGTCCACCACCACCATTCATTCTCACTTTCCATGTCCTTTTCTGTCATGTCTGTCTTGTCTTGTCTTGCTGTCTTTTGTTTTGTCTCCACCCATCTTGTTCCATAATACCCTTCTACTTTCTTTTCTTATTTCATTTTACACCGTTCATGACAATTGACTTCTGTGAAGCCTTGTACCAAGCCTTACCTACTCTCTCCCAACTCCACATTTCCATTTGTGTACGTGACTTTGGTGCGATTTTCCTTTTTGTCATTGCTGGGGTAGCATTATAAAAATAGAATTGTCAAGATATGGGAATGCTCTTTGCATCGTCGATTCTTTTCCTTGCCGTTGTCGGACTCTGGTTCCAAGAGTCTATACACAGTCAATAGGTCATTATGGAAATAAACGAACAGACAGAGTACTTTATGTCCCTAAGCCGCGCTGGGCCAGTAAGTAGTATTCACAATCTCAATGCTGAAAAAGATCCATGGACAGAAAATGAACAAGCCCCGCCAGGATTGCCAGGCGTAAATAGGTACAATGCCAGAAGTTGGGCCCACTCTGGGGGTGAATAGACTCTGTGGTCGCTCAGAAGCCTGTCCGAATCCTTGACTCCGTCTTCGCGACCGATAAAGTGGTCGGTTGCACCATGAACGTCAAAACGCCATTCACAAAACGCCCACCCGAGTAACATGATAAAGAGGGGAGAATAAAAAGACAAATGTAGTGTGTCGGTGTAAGGAAAAAAGCATGCAGTATTCACACGTCCCGATCCCAAATGCCATAACCATCATTAATGGAAGATGCTAGCAGCATCAGTGTCTAGACATCATCCATCGTCCCCGCGGGTTCCTCCCCGCCGGACTCGTAGCTCCCGGCGGAACTTAATTCGTCTTCCGACTCGGTGTCTTCCCCGACATCGTCGACGGCCTCCTTGCTGGCGTATTTGGCCACGTACTCTACCGCTTGTGAGCAAAAGCATTCAAACCAGGGTGACGTGCGGCGTACCTTTTACTTTGGCCTCGTAGCTTTTGGGCTCCCTCATCAACATTGCAGCCGCCTCGCCGTTCAACGGGTCTGAAGGATTCGGGTAACGAAGGAGCTGGGGGAGGAAGACTTCGAAAATGTTGATCATGTCGTACATCGGCGACCATGTCTGGTTGATGACATCGAGACAAACTGATCCGGAGCTAGGAAAGACGAACAGACGGGTCAGCGATAGGGATGGCAACACCATGGCAGTAAGCGGGGTCATACAGTTCATCGATGTTAGGATGGAAGATCCGGTTGACAAAACCAATGCTCGGGCTCTTGTAGGGATATTGATCTGGTAACTCGACGTGGATTTTCCAGTGTCCGCCAGTGAACGGTGCTGTATTCAGTCAGCGATATCGAAGAGACGGACCTGGGCGATGCTCTACACTTACTCTCTTCTGGACCCTTAAACCGAACGTAGAACTCCTGCCTATCAAAAGAAACCGCTGTAAGGATACGTCCATGGCCAATATTCATGGGAGATGAGGTATTCGTGCACATACACTAGCATAGGTTAGTACCTGCAGGGCGGGTGGCAAACAATGAAACCCACTATTGTCATTGACCAGTGTCACTTCATAGTCACTCATCAACCTGGATGTAATGTCAGTATAAATCCTGCATCCTTGATCCATCGTCTATCTGATTCGCTTTGAGCCCATTGAATGGGAGACGGGGACACCCGGGGGGTCATCGCTGTCGAGAACGTAACGTACATCCTGCCACAGGTTAGTCACAACCCATCGCAAGGTCAACAGGTGGTATCGAGCATACTTCATAACCTATGTACCAAAGAAAGAAAGTAACATGTTAGACCCCATGTTGCTGTAATCACCAGGACTAGGGGCCATGTAGCGACTCACATCTGTCTCGATTCTTCGTTTCGGACTACTCATCTTGGCGGATGTGGAGGGTAACCAGATCAGATAAGAGGAGTTGATGGTCCGAAGAACCGTTGGCGGTACGAAGGAGAATGACTGAAGCCGAACTGGCGAAGAAGGTGGCGTCTTTGACGGTGCTCAAGATAGGAGCGGGGAAGTAACGGAGGAGCGGGGGAGGGATTCCTAGTAAGCAAGTGGATAGGGAAGGCGAACAGTCCGGAGTAGACGGGTAAGGGAAGATCGAGACACTGCTGGAGATAGAAGTTGAACCAAAGGCAAGGGGGCAATCCAAAAGGGGGAGTTGAATGAGGGTGTGAAGAGAAGAAATAACGAAGAGAGGAGAAAGAGAGAGAGAGCGGGGACTGAAGCAGCAGCAGGTACGGTATACTACCCGATGATTGTACCTCATTAGGTCACGGTATCGTATGGTCCCGCCGTCAGTCCCGAAACGGGCGGGATTTATTACATCCATGACCCCATACTTGTACCAAGTGGATCCACGCCTTATCATTGAATGGGATTATCATTTCAAGTCAGGTCAACAGCTCTTCAGTCAGAAGTTGTTCCATTCTCTAGGTACTGATTCCCCCAAACTCACTGATACCTTAATCGGGGGAAGTTTTTCCTGCTCTGTGGGCAGTATCAGTGGCAATGGTCCACCTGATCATACTTCCCGCGGAATACCAATAATACAGACTCTGATACCGAGTCAAAGACGATCGTCATTGATCCCTGGTGGGGTGAGATGGTAATGGCCGGCTTATCATCCATCAGGTAGTAGTGCGAACTGCTGGGCATCAGGGAGCATGACGATACAATGGCGTGCGACGATAGTCCTGCAGCCAAACAGCGTTTTTCCCGCCTGGATCTGTCTTGTTGGGCGGAGGAACTTGCATTCGTCAGGTGTCCGCGCCATGTCTGACCAGGTAACATGACCTGGTGGCTTATACGACGGCTCTATAGTCGGGCAGCTTGAGAATTGATGCATAAGTGCCTCGCGGTGGCAGAGTATTTCGGCCAAATCGTGGCACATTTTCTCATGGTCGTTGGGTCTGACATCATTGGCAAGGTCGGTTAGTGTGGACGGACCTCAAATCGGAACTCGTGGGGTACAAATATGTCACGGTCAGAAAGACAAACAGACTCGAAAGGTAGATAGAAGAAGTGACAGGTCAGGGTGGAAACAGACGAGCAACTGGTGGTTGGAGGGATTGGACAGTGGTGCCTGAGGTGTCTGTCCAGGAACAAATCAACCATCAGGCTCAGGAAGGAGCTTAACCTCACCTTCAATTCTTCCTTGATGATTATCCATCACATTTGACACAGGGCTTTTTCCCAAACATTTAATGTAGACAGATACTCGGTCAATAACATCTGATCCATACATCTAAGCGTCGTTTAATATCCTAAACCCCTCGCGAGGTGAAGATGGAGTCATCTTCCTCCCGAGACCCCTCCGCCCAAAACTCCCCAACTCCAGAGCAAAATGCCCCCAGCGCATCAAGACCCAGTCGGAGTCATCGATCGTCGAGTCGGACGACCGCTCAAGATCTACCATTGCACAACAAAAATGCTCCCATTCCAGACGAGAAGCAAGGCGCTGATCTACCGTTGACCATGTCAGCTTCGGTGGTATTAACCAGCCTGCCACGCGATGCGCATCAAGCCATGGCAGACGCTGAAGCCGTGGACACGGGTAAAGGTAGGTAGAACCGGAGTTTCCACAGTTCTACTATTTCATCTACCGATCCCTTTGCTTGTTTACGAGGGAGCTGATCATGATTGCGATGTTCAACCCACTACTAGTACTAACCCCCTACAGTGACTGTTCGCTTTCAACCTCTGCCGTCGGCGCCCATTCTCAAAAATCGGGTCTTCAAAGTCAGCGCGTCGCAAAAGTTTGAAACGGTGGTCAAATTTCTCCGGAAGAAGCTCGACTGCAAAAATACCGATTCGGTGTTTTGCTACGTGAACAGCGTCTTCGCTCCGGGGTTGGATGAGGGTATTGGGGGGTTGTGGCGAGTAAGTTTTTTTTTTTTTTTTCCTTTTCCAAATGATGAAGGTCGAGGCAATTACTCTGACTGAAAATAGTGCTTCAAAACGGATGATCAACTCATTGTCGCTTACTCCATGACACCTGCGTTTGGTTAGAGATGCGAAAAGTACTTTGCAATGATACCCGAAGAAACGCAATTAATTATTAGACAGTACTCAAAATGTGCAACGTTTGTAGCGGCCAATAGATCTATCTCAACTATCACGAAAAACAAGCAACAGGATAAGGTATCACAAGTCATGATGGTGGCCAATGCAAGTCATGATATGTCCAGGTTAGCTGTCTAGATGGACAAAAATATGCAAAATGAACACAGTGGGCAGAAGGGCTCCAAATCTATTTGGTGGGGATGTTCTCGACGGCCTTTTCAAACTCCGACAGCTCATCCTTTGGGATGGGGTATGTGTATTCCTCCGAAGGATACGCGCGGCTCTTCACCTCCTCGCGATACTGCTCAATGCCCTTGATGGCCTCGCCCCAAACGTCGGCATATTTCTTGACGAACTTGGGAAGGAATCTGCCCGGAGGAAAGTTCCCCGTCATGTCGATCTGCACGAGGACCTGTCCCGAGCAACCATTTCCCGCACCGATGCCGATAGTGGGAATGTGCAGCTTCTTGGTGATGATCGCGGCGACCTCAGCCGGCACGGCCTCGAGCACGATCATGAACGCTCCAGCCTCCTGCACGGCCAGTGCATCATGCAACACCTTGAGTGCGCTCGCAGTGGATTTCCCCTGGACCCTGAACCCGCCCAAGGCGTTCTGACGCTGTGGTGTGAGCCCCACGTGGCCGACAACCGGGATTCCCGCCTGCGTGATGCGCTTGATGGTGGGAGCCATGGCCTCACCACCCTCGAGCTTCACAGAGTGCACTCTCCCCTCCTTGATGATGCGAATTGCGGACTGCAGTCCCTGCTCCGGCGACACCTCGTACGACCCCATAGGCAGGTCAGCAACCTAGATCGAAAAAATTAGCCACTGCACCAACCACACGCAATGCCTCAACCTCTATGACACACCGTAAACGAAGACTTCGCAGCGCGCGCTACACTCCGACAATGCAACAGCATCTCATCCATGAGCAGCTCGCTCGTATCTTCCATCCCCAGCGCCACCATGGCCAGGCTATCCCCCACAAGGACCATCTCCACGCCGGCGGCATCAGCCACATGACCACTAGGGAAATCATGCGCCGTGAGCATCGCAATAGGCTCCCCCTTCTTGTAGAGTTTTTGAATCGTCGGCAACGTCACTTTCTTCCTCGGATTCACCGGCGTGCTCCCCAACGGCGAGTGCGAACTGTATCTGACGGAGGCCACCGAACGGTCGCCATTGGAGCCGGTCTGAGCCAGCGGAAGGATCGGACGAGCTGCAGCCAGAAGAGGACGGACGGGCGCATTGCTAGATAAAGCGCGCAGCGGCAGAACCATCCGCGAAACCGTCCTCGAAGCCATGTCTTTGTATGTGATTTGACAAAAAGCAAAGCTCACACGGTGACGAAAAGGATCGACACAGCCAAACAGACGATCAATTATTGCTCCGCAATGATAACAACTCTTTAAAAAGGGGAATGACGAAAGACGAGGTCTGAGTGTGGGGGAGGAGAAGAAGAAGTCAAGATGGTGGTGTGTGTGGAGTGCAGTGACGTTTTTACTCCGTATCGGAACCCGTGAAGAATATCAATGGAACGAGCTTAAACTTTCTCCGCAAAGGCAACCGAGGTAACCTTAGATTGTCCGAAGGATCGGATCGGTAGCGGGAGGAACTGCGATGGTTCATGTATGGTTCCCAGATTGTACTGAGAATTTAGTCGAGTAGTGCAGAGTAGTGTAGTGTAGTCGTAGTAGTGTAGTAGTCGTAGTGTAGTAGTAGTAGTAGTGTGGTAGGAATAGATGAGGTCGTAGTATAGTATGAGCAAACAAAGACGACTCAATAGATTGAACAAAGAAAAAGTATAAAAAAAAAAAGCACACAGTGATACAAGTAGCAGTAGATCCTATAATTCAAATAAATCGAAAGCAAAAAGCAAAAGAAAACTTAAAACTGAGAAACACAAACGCCCCTTATAAACCCAACTGTGCTGGTATATGCAGCGTAGTCCCTAGCATCCCCAGACTTGGCTTTAGTGAACATAATTTTTTTAAGGTTACGTTATGCATACTATCACTAATTATACTACCTAGGTAAGGATGGAGGGACCCGGCAGAATGGTCGGCTTAGCTGCACCTTTCGGTCAAATGGGTGATAGTGTCTTACCGCCGGAGTGGGAATTATTCTATTCCAGGCCGAGGTGAACAATGTACATAGTTGTGTACTCCGTATGCTGCTGCATCCAGCTTACTGAGCCTTAGAACGGAGGCTCTGAAAATGCAGTAGTTATTAGTCATGGGCACGCACACATCACATCCGCGACTCCAGACTGCTCGATAGCAAGATCTGGGAATGCCATGAAGGTATGGGCACGTGGCCCCTCGGCATTCGTAACCCTTGATGTACTACTATTTGCATGATTAGTACCATCTCTAATTACTGATCCCCATAGCAGACTTTGGGGAGCTTACCTCACAGACCCACAGCCGATCGCAATTCACACCTGAAAAGGCCTTCGTGCTCACAAGAGACGCCCATGAGATCAGCCGGGCAAATCCGACGCAGGAGATTGCCATCGTAGAGGGAGGGCATAACAGAAGCCGAATTATGCGTGGCAGGCTCATTGGCCGATGGGGTGGAGGATGGCTGTGCGCCAGAAGCTTCGGCAGTGTCAGGCAGGGAGCTGCACAGGCCGTGAAGACAGGCACGACCCAGGTGCACGATGTCGGCAGCAGACAGACTTTTGCTCGGAGCTTGTACACTGACTTGATCATGACGTTGTCGACCGTGGGTTTTGTTATCCGGGAAGCAGTATCTGGTGAACGACCTGTTGCACTGATGATTGGGTGGAAGTTCACATACTGAGGTTGGCGCGGCCAAGTTGCTGTCGGGGACGGGGGTTTGCAGGATGGCTAAAGTCGTGCGTTTATAAGCCAAGTCTGGGTTGGACGTTTCAGACGGAGCTTCCTCAACGGGAAGGGGGCAAGTTGAATGGGCGGGATCCGAAGTCTTCTGTAGAAGGATTAGCTTGACTGTGGGGTTCATATTGAACGATGCAACATACGCGGATGATGTACCGTACCTGCAAGGTTGAGCCTCCTGACAGGGATACAAGTAACATCTTGATATATCCACGTTTGCTGATGCAAGGCGTGTCAGGCAACCCTGGAGTTGAGATTTACTGAACTGTGACTTAATAAGTTAGCAACATTAGCTGCGAGAGAGAATATACGTGAGACACTTACAGCAACTTCAAGTTGCATGGATCCGGAGCCACTAGGTCCATCCACAGCCCCGAGTTGCACATAGGCAGTCAGGGTAAGCCCTGGCGCGCCACAACGCATCGGTGCGGTGGCCGCCTCGAAGAACTGCTGGCACGCTTTTGCTTCCCAATTTTCATCCGCCAGTGAGTACTTGAGTGAATTAGCCAGGCGACTAAGCAGAAATATGATGACTGTAACGTACCTGGAATTGAATCGACACTCTACCAGGAGGCATACTTGAAAAGGGCAGGGCGTGAGATGTTACCGAGGGCTCGATCATTGTGTGTTGAGCCTCAGATCTCTGGTCAAGAGGAACAGGCGTGGGAAACGATATGATTGATGGTCTGAGGTAGCTGAGGATAGGACGCATACGGAAGAAGGTCTGGACAAGAAAGAGGCAGAGGCAGAGGAAGTGGAAGTGGAAGAGGGGGAAGAGGTTTGGTATCAGGAAGTCACCCACCTCTGTAGTAGTTCTTTGGCTCTTCACATTTTTATTAGTTGCTAGGTTGTTCAAAAGACACTACCAATCACTAACATAGCTATTAGTGAAAACATAGGTATCAGGGCCAGGAGTAAGAGAAAGTGCTTTCAGTCACCGAAACAAAAGGGGGAACTTACTCTCCCATCATCTCTCCCAGCTTCTCTGCTCACCCTCGAGGTTTCTACTCATTCCAGCCACGACCACTAGACCAGTCAATTGATCAGCCATGAATGCGTTAGTCTCACTCCCTCATGCCTTATAGGGCCGAGCTAACATTCCCCGTGGACAGCTTAAGACAAACCAGCATCGTTCATAAAGGATCACCAAAACTGTCCTTACATTTGGATCCTCAAATTGAGCGTTTGCTTCATGGGAAGATTGAGCTTCGCGAGGTGCAACGCGTCATGATCCCTCTGATTGCCACGCTGAGCGATATTCTGGCAATCAGCACTCCGGGGCTAGGTGTCACCACCGCCTGCATGTACGGGATCATGAATGCCCTCTGCTTGGATGCAGCTACGGTTGTGCAATCGGGCTGTTGGTGAAAAGTATCGGCACATATAACAGGGAAGCCCTTCTTGGTGCCGTCCAGCGTGGACAGTACCACGCATTTGCTACATGCCCTCCTTTCTACGCAGGAGTCGACCTCAACAGCGAGATTCAGTGCGTGGTTTTCTACATCCCTCCTCCCACCATAACCCACACCATCACGGGTCGCCTCCGGCTAACCGCAGCGGGCGGCGAAATGATCACCATCCTGGACCCCGAGGCAAAGGAGGAAACGGAGCGGATGAAGGATGTCAGGCGAGAGCTACGTGATCTTCAACACTCCCACGCGTCTGTCTTCGACAATACCACGGGTCCCCGGCCCTCTCTCAACAGCTCGACAGCGGCCAGCTCTAAACTCATTATCTGCGAGCTCGCAAACGAGATGAATGTCCAAAACCTGATGGGTGCGTTGCGGCGATTCCAGCCAGTGTGCGCTGTAATTGCACAGGCTAGGCTTGAAAACCCGAAGAGTGTCACGTTAGTCCCGTCTATCCTAACAAAAAGGACTACCTACTAACCATGGGCGTATACGTAGAACGTCCTTCGTCTGGTTTCCCACGGAGCCCCTTGCCACGCTTTGCTTGAGCGAGATAGGCGGGGCCCGCCTTTGCGGAACTATAGTGATGGCTGGGTACGCACTGGAGAAGAAAGGAAAGAGATGATTTGCGGTTGTGGTGGGCGGGCACACCTAGGCAGAGGGTCCATCACACGTTAATAGGGCCTACTGCTTGGTGTGTGGATCATCTGTTGTTTGTTTTTCTTTCGTTCTTTCCGTCTTGCTTTCTTTGTTTTCGGGATGCACAAGTTAGGTATCAAGGATCCTCTGTTACAGCACTGCAGCCTCTTGTCTGGTTCGGTCAGCGTTTTAGCGGTTGGACGCAGTGCGGAGAATAGATCCCTTCTAGAAGTAAACACTTGATTATGCATGGGGATATGGCGTGTCATAGCAGCCACAGGCAGCTTAGCTTGCGCGTTCAGTCAAACAGATTATTCAGTCAGGTATTAATTCGCTGATGCCTTAGTCAAAGGGCAGGTAGTAAGTTAAGGCTCTCCGCCAGAGTGGGGATTCATTCCATTCCGGACCAAGGGGGCATGTACCTATAGATTTACTTGCAGAAGCCGAGGTTGCACTGCTTTTTCATACATACTTCTTATGAGTAGAAGTATAGATATATTCCGTACTAAGGCACTATTATATCACATATGATTAAAGTATACTAGATGTGGGCAATGTATTGAATACTACATAGTTATACCGAAGAACGACCGACCCCAGACGATTGGCGTCCACAGGGGGGGTCAAGCCAGCCTGAAGAAATAGTAGACCTCCCATGGGAATATGTCGGGACTCAAACATAGTCAGGAGAATCGAATATGAATATGAAAGAAAAATGAAGTAGGCAGAAAAGAAAAGTGAAGTAAAGTAAAGCAAAACACCGCCGATACCGCAGGCACTACACTGCGCCTGTCATGCAAACCCCCGTGGTCACGTCACGTACCCCATAAACAAACAGCACCCCGCGACGGAGTGAGAAAGAGAAGATAACAAAGATAAAGAGATATGAAGAAGGTAATGTAAGGTATTAATTGGCTCCTGTCATACAAGAGCCAATGTAAGATGTTGTTTCGAGATTTCAACCCGAGGAATCTCGATGCGATGGATGCGATAGATTTGCTTTGATAGAATAGGCACAAGCCTGTTTTTGCCTTTCCCCCTTGTCTTTTCTTTTTGGTCGTTTTTCACTTTTTTTTGTTTCATTTTGATTGTTTTGTGCCTTGTGTTCCTGTAGACTGTCCAAAATAAAGATGTTGGTAAGGCCGTGATGTGGTGATCACCGTAGTGACAATCCAAGAACGCCGGTCTGATAATGCGAAGAAAAGCATAGCAATATGCAATGCGGGCGAAATGATACGAAAAGCTATAAATCCAAAGCACTTGTAGCAAGCGAGAGGTAGGAGCTTCTGGGCAGCTGCACACCGGCCGAGAGGGACGGGACCGTCGCGTTCAACTCGCGGCGGAACATAAACGATACTGCCCGGTTTCGCTGATGCTGAAGTGATGAGACAAAATGCTGCAAAGAATACCTACGGTGTGTATTAAGTTAATAACAAATGCATCTAGGGTATATCAAGCCGTCTTCCCGGTTACTCTCATGACCATCGGTGCAATACCATGAGGATCCTGCAAGGTCATTCTTCACCGGCGCTTGAGTTCGAACAGCAAGGCGTCCAGTTCATGCCAATTCCCCGGGTTCGCTGCGAACTTGCGGTGTTTTCTGGTCCCAACGTGCTGAAGCATGGTTAGCTCCGCTCCCCGCAATTTCCGATATGTAAAATCTTACCTCGTCAAAGTCATCAAACTTATCCCTGCAGTTCTCGCAATATCCGGGCTTGGGATCCCTTCTTCGCTCCTTTTGGCTGCTTGTCCTCTTGATGGATGGCCGGCAGCTTAGACTATCATTTCCTGCAGGGTACCGGTTCTTGTCATCCGCAATATGTCCGGGCCTCTCAGGCGGGTTGAATTTGCCCGGCCAAGGGTTGCTCCGATTCAGCTTCAACATTCCCGAGGCGTCTACGCCCCGGCTGATCGGGTTCCCAGTGCCCGTGGACAACCCACCGGTGCCCTTTTCTAGTACCTTTCGCTTGAGCTCATGAACTTCCTTGCTTACACCAGCCTTGGCCCCAGGAGCTGCGGCAGTCGAGGATACCATTTGGGAACGGATGGCGGAGGTGATGTTAGAAGGCTGCACACCAGAGGCGGCGGGTTCACGGCCGTGGTAAAAGGGTCCCGTGCGGTTCAGCGGTGGGGGGGCAAAGCTTTCGGAGCTCTTCCTAGGCGACACCTTCCTTGGTGGTGGTATTTCCTGGGCCTCTGGTTCGTTTGCCTGGGTAACGGGTTCCTCACCATCGCCATGGTCCATCTCTTTACAAAGACTTCGTTCTTCTGGGGGAGGGGGAGCGCTTGGTGCCTTGATTTTGGGTTTCTGTGTGGCCGGTGCCGGAATGGCTTTGGGAACAGGTTTCTTTTCCCGTTCTTGTTGGCGCGGCCTTTGTCGCTCGGTATCCTTCCTGGCAGGGGGCTCCTCGATAAACGGGCACTTCCCTAACGGTGCACTCCTGAACTGGGGCCAAATGCCGTCTTGACGTTTGGCGACTTTAGGATAATCCCGAACCATGACAGGACGCGTCTTTTCATCCATATCGTGGACATAAACAAACGGGCCTTTGAACATGACCAGGTCCTTCAGGACACTGTGCGGGTTGCGCTCCGACGAGCCGTGAAGTTCGTTCTGGAGCACTTGTGAAAGGTCGTTGTCGCCCCTGTTCCTCACATACCCGCCCCCTGCAACATTGTTTCGCACGGTTTGCCCGGTGCCCCCGATATCTCCATCGTTGATCGTGGTAATCATCCGCTGCAATTTCTCAAAAGCCCATATCTTCATCTTCATCCGGCGAGCCCGGTGCAAAACATCCATGGATGTCTGCTCGCGTCGTGCATCATTTTTGAGGGACATGTGGAGGTGCGTATCGGCATTTTTCTCAAGTAGGGACGGGTTGACCGTCTGTAAAGTGCCATCGACAGTGACCTGTTCTGTCGGTTCGGTATTCGCTTCCGTTGGGCTGGTCGATTCATTTTCGGGGGGGATCTGGCGGGAGGTGACGACGTGGGTGACTAGACGGGAGAAGAATTTCTCCTCGCGCTGGAGGGCTGTAAGTATTCTGAAAGAAGGGGCGAGGATCACAACACGGGAACGATGGAAGATCAAACAAGGAAGCGGGTGTGTACAAGAAAAAATAAACATGGAAGTAAAATGAACATGGAACAGCTGGATGACACTTACCGCTCCCAAAGCAGTGACCTGTCTCGAGCATTTGCTACGAACATCTTCCGAGACACTGTCAAAATAAAAGACGAACTGTGGAAAGGCCTTCCGGTAGTGCCTCTGCCATTGCCTGATCGAATCAATCGTCTCAGCAGACGGCTTGTCGTGTCTCGGCCCCCGAGTCTGAGCCTGACGCTCCTTGTCTCTGACCGCTACCAGCTTCCTTTCAAATGCACTTGGCTGGCCATTGTTTGGTCGTCGCGAGAACAGCCTGGAGTCCGCGCTCACGCGGGACCGGTCATCCTCTGCCGCGTCAGCAATCTGCTTTTTCGGAGGAGGCTGGCCGTAAGGGATATCGATCTGTGTGTTGGTCCGGGGTCGTTTGGCAGGCACGAGGCCCAGCCTGTGAGGGGAATTGGTGGCATTAGGCACGTTGGCGAGTGGTCGGCGAGTCGACATATTAAGGGACGTCTGCGGCGAAGGGTGGACAGATACAGCTGCCATAAAGTAACAATATACAACAAATGCTCCCGAGCAATCGGCAGTGAGAGAAAAACACCCGCCGCAGAGGAGTCGTCCAAGCGGTGCACGCGATGGACTACACGTCTGTCTCCAAGGACAATGGCTGGATCAAAAAAAAGCCATTGTTCACGCGACGTGAAAAACACAAGAGAGTGACTTGAGAGGGATACAGACAGGCCCCAGACCTGTTCTTCCCACCAACAGAAATCCGGTCAAGTCTAAGAGAAAGAAAAGAGAGCCGTCTAGAAGAGCAAGACAGGTCGAAGTCACCACCGTCAACAAGAGGAGCAGTGGGAGAGAGTTGCGGGAGTGAGAGAGAGAGAGAGAGAGGGTGGAAGTACACAGACTAAACCCGATTGAGATGGGGAACGGGTAAGGTTTGTTTTGGCGGACGAAATCCGATGGTAACAAAACCACCCGCGTTGAAGTATCCTCAACTACTACTAGAATGCTGCTGGGCATTCCTATCGTTCCGCGCCCGCGAAGCACTCAATTCATTTCAAGTATTGTTTCTTTGTGATCTTGGATTTTCTCTTTTTTCTTTTCTCCTTTTATCCCATAAATCGCGAGGTTTCCCTTTGTTTCGCTTGTCAGTTTCCTGTATTTCTTGGTATCTCCTAGCGCACCCACTGAACCTATCAAGTGGTGGAGAAATCCAACCGCGTCTTTGATTCAAGTATTGGTATGTCGCAGTTCTCCATGACTGTACGGAGTACATGGAAGTGGGGTAAGGCTCTAATGGGCTCGATCTGAATGGATCCGTACAGCTCTTGGGTGATTTACTCGGCCATGACCTGCCAAGCGCAGGACATGCAGATCGGGGAGACGACATAGTATTCGACAAGGCGGATTCGAGACGATCTCTTAAAAGAATTCCGGGCTTTGTTCTTACTGACTCGGTATCTATCTTCAAGCCTCGTGCAGTTCTCACGACCTGGGCTCTTCTTGTTAACTGAAGTAATACTGGGAGAATCTCGACCATGACCGAGGATACAATCAGTACAGTGGGATGAAATTTGTTCAACGTCAAGCTATTCTTGCGTCTTGCATCAATACCAAGAAATTTGGCTGAATGGTTTCAAGTCCTTCATGAAGGTCTGATGGTCTGATGGACCAATGTTCACCAGCAAACAAGTGTTTGGCTCTTCTTCTGCAATCAGTATTGACACGCTGGACGCTGTCAAGGTCCGGAGATTTCGAATGGGTAATTGGATCCTTGCAATCCACCTGATATTAATTATATCAGAATTTGAGCTTCGTTCTCCATAGTTGAACATGGCGATGATGACATCAAAACTCTTTCATATGGACAAGACCAACATGCATTCTGGAGATCAGAATCATTTGCAACAACTAACACCCCATCAGAGTCTTTATAACTTTCGAACATCCGAGTCTCGCCAGGTGTCTCATACACCAAGGCCTCTATTGATGATTTCGAAAATGCAGGTTTGCCGGCATCTATACCAGGAGCGCCCCTATGTAATGTTGCGCTATACTATGAATGGTATATTAAAGATCGTCGCATTGAATATATCAAACAGGTCCTCCAGGGAGGGTCGATCGCATAGGTCCTCGAACAATTCAAAATAGCACAATTGCTAGTGGATGGAACACGAATGAAAGGATGAATGATTGGATGAATGAAAAAGAATATTCATGGACTTGCCCAACTGTTTCATAAGCTATGTCCATATTCTAGACCGTGTTGCTACAGCTCTGGACCACGCTCCGCTTGACACCCCCAATTCGACCCGCGTCATTCCTTCAATGCCTGTTTATGGCACAGGATACACTCTTCGATGGGACATATGCTTGGTTTATGGCGCTTTTGTCGAAACACATTTGGAGAAATCGCAGTTATTCAAGTAGGGCCACAAGATTTCCAGAATATACCTCGTAGGTAGGTTGACTTACTCAATTCGACGGCGAGAAAACCGTAGGTCACAGACCGTGCAAGTGTATCTGCTGCATCTCCATAGACTTGATGGGGCGGTATTTCGCTTAATTAGCCCCGGGCTATTATTATCACCATAACAGCCCCCATATTTGCCAAGAAGTTGAAGGATGCTTAGTGGAGCTGCAGAGTTATCTGCACAATAACCCATGCAAGATGAGTATTCTAATGACATAACCCCAAAGTCCCTCTTGTGAGGTCCACACTTGAACTGATCGTCATCTAGTTGCGAAATATTCGAGCGACGAAGGACTAATATTAGTATATACACTGCAGATTGAGATATTACCGGCACTAAGTTATGCAGATCGATAATTGAATTCAAATTGATACCCGGGCCATACCGACTAAGCACTAAGCGTCCTCCCGAGTAGTTAAAAATCCGCTTTAACAGGCAAGACCTCACTGTTCTATCATCACTAAAGCCACTAGCACAGGGCTAAGTCTAAGCTTCCTCCGGCAAGGCAGCTTGAGGAGCCTGCAGAACGAGTCTGACAGCGTACCTTACATGCCCAAGCGACGCCATTGCACGACTAAGTCCCAACGCTCCCGTCAGGATTCAGCGCGGTCAAGATATTCTCGAGCACAGCCTTGACCGTAGCGTATGCCGCACATTGGGGGCATAATGGAGTCATTAATGATTGGACGCAGACACCGGCCCCTCCACAATTGAAGAAACGGACGAAAAATGTCATTGTGAGCTCTACCGGTCTCCGATCTAGCTATTTAAAACCCCCGCCCCAGTTTCTCAGAGGTTCGACTCAACTCATCAGCTCATTCCTCCGTCTCTTTAATCACCCACTACTTTACAAGCTAAATTCACTCCAATCAACCACCACGATGAAGTTCTTCGCTGTAGCATGTGCTATCGCTACCAGCGCCGTCATAATCATGGCTGCGCCGGCCCCTGGAAACCAGCTCGAGCCTCGAGTAGCCTACTTGCCTGGAGTACGACCAGCCCGGTTTTTTCCCTCTGCACAAAGCTAATCTAGTTTTCAATTTGTAGCGTTGCGGTGACACGCGCTGCGACTTGGGGGGAACACTCTAGTACGTTGTCGAGAAGGCTGAACCTCTGATATTGCATGCTGACAAAGGCCATCTAGTGACTGCTACCGAGGCACTTCTGTAAGAGAACTACTCTTTTCTTCAATTTTCTTCCTCAATCATTTTCTCTCCTTGCTTTCTGTGACTGTTTGGAATGCCCACTGAACCTCTTTGATAGTGCACCAGACAAGCTGGAGGAACCGGAAAGACATGTGATGTCTCGACCAGGACTGGCCTCGCCAAGTGCCCCGGCAAGGGTAACTACGATGGGCGCACCGCCTAAGTGTGTATGTGTTGAGATTGGATGGTGAGTGCGATGCCATATTCCATAAGCACCTGCGATGAATGTCTTGCTGATTGGGCTCGCTTGGACTTATAGCTTGACGATGTGCTGAAACTGGGGAGTAGAAGATACTTCAGCTCAACAATATACTACCTATCTCCCAAGATGGGGCTCGCGTGAGGAATGGGTTAGATCCTTGAGTGTACTTTCGAAGAATCAATTGTACAGCGGGACGCAACAAATGGTCAACCCACTCCTTCGTGCTGGCTTGGCAGTTGGGGAGAGATACATCTTGCGTCTAGCTATACAGCACAACGCAGTATGTATATCGCGTTCAAAGTCTAACCCTGGCTCAAATACTACCTGTAAATTTACGTTCAGATCAGATTGATCAACTAGATAGAAAGTATATATGAGATACTTTATGTTGTCGTTGCTGCATGGTGAAGTGTATCTTTGTGGACGACCAGCTCCCGGAGCCTATCAATTGACACTTGCCAAGCTTTAAGCTTGTTTATTCTATACAAATCACTGTTCCTTAAAACCACGAGTCTATTGACCATAAGAAGATAACAGTAGCAATTCAATAACCTACTGATACAGAATATTCAATTTGCCCTTAACGAACTGCCACTCCTGTTGACTTACCTCTACTAATCGCACCGCGGAATACTATCGCACCCCACGTCATATATAGCTCTCTCCGTCTTGGCGCGTCTTGGAGTCACCTCCAACTGTCAGACCGGCCAGACCAACACCAACAGCGTGAACATCAACGACAGGCTATACCATGCTCAAACAGTAGCGACAAACAAAATATTAACACTAACCCAACTATCCCTAAACAAGAACATCAACAAGCCATCTCAATCCCAACCCGACATCAACAATAAACCCCAACCAAGCCCACCCCTCTGCCGCCATGGCGTCCAGCATCCCCGCCGCTGATCTCCGCTCATTCACAGACCACCTAAAACGCAGCAAGCGGGTCCTCGCGCTGCTAGGCGCTGGAATCTCCGCCTCCTCCGGACTGCCCACCTTCCGCGGCGCAGGCGGTCTCTGGAGATCTCACGATGCGACCGACCTAGCGACGCCCGAAGCCTTCAACGCCTACCCGGACCTGGTCTGGCAGTTCTACAGCTACAGGCGGCATATGGCGCAAAAGGCGCAGCCGAATCGCGCGCACTATGCCCTGGCGGAGCTCGCGCGGCGCATGCCGGACTTCCATACGCTATCGCAGAATGTAGATGGTGCGTTTTGTGTCTTTCTTTTCCTCAAACTGCAATAGGTGCTGGCGGTGTAGTCGTGTGTGTTGTTGACTAACTCCTGATGCAGGTCTCTCGCAACGCGCAAACCACCCCTCGGGACAGCTGCATCTCCTGCACGGATCGCTATTCACTGTTAAATGCACATCCTTTTACTGCAGCTACTCGCGTGAGAACGATTTCTCGGACCCTATCACACCCGCACTAGCCATCCCAACAGGCGGGGCCGAGCCGACGCCGTCGTCAGACGACAAGACCGGCGAAGCAGCGGGGCAGTCGCTGTCTGCCGCGATGTCGGGGGCAGAAGCAGAGGGCCAAGAGGCGGACATCTCCGACGAGCGGGTTCCGCTGGCCCCGCTTCGACGGGAAGACCTGCCCCACTGCCCGGAGTGCAAAGACGGGCTGCTCCGGCCGGGGGTGGTGTGGTTTGGGGAGAGCCTGCCGCTGACGACGCTGGATTTCGTGGACGGGTGGATGAGGGCCGGGCCTGTCGATCTGATTCTCGTGGTTGGGACCAGCTCGCAGGTTTATCCGGCTGCTGGGTATGTGGATAAGGCGCGTGCGAGGGGCGCGCGGGTGGCGGTTGTTAATATGGATCGGGGGGATGTTGGGGCGGGGGGGTTAGGGGCTGGGGATTGGTTCTTTCAGGGTGATGCGGGTGTTGTTGTTCCGGAGTTATTGAGGTGTGTGGTGGGGGAGATTTGATCGACGGTGTTTTATATATACTATGCTATACTATACTATACTATAGTTTGGTTTGCGCTTAATGTATTAATTCAGGAGGTGCATGGCTACCATACGAAGTAAACTACATCATTAACTACCTATCATCTGTATCTGCCATATCTCCCGGATAAATCATACCTAGCCACATCCCAATACCGTGGTAAGCTGACATCCAAGGAATCCAAGAGGGTAAACTCCGGTCTATCTTCGGGTAATTAGTATCTTTGACTATTCATTCATTCACCATCTATCCCACCCATGAAACGTCTTATCTCGAACACCTACTAGTAGCCGGTGAACAACATGAAACAAGTTCACGTGCGACTATACGACTGACGCAATTTCAGTCTGACATTAGTCTCAACTCTATCGGCACTGCATAGCCTCGGATCATCACCTCATGATAGTAGTGTCGGCAAGCTACCAGTAAGTTAGTCCCATGCAAACAATCTATCCATCATCTGATCTGTTTGCTTGCCTCAAGGGAAAATCGGATGCCCCTGAGGCTGGTGATCGAAGATCACCTGTGGTGCAATCATATGGGTCGACTATATTCAGTGTATACTGCCTAGGTAGGTACCTAACCTAGGTATCTGACCTGCCTTAGTGGAAGAGGATCACATCCCTGGTATGAAGGAGAGGATCATATCTGAATGGAGTAATACTCTTAGATTAAAATGATCGTCTTTTGGATATCGATGCGTGACAATCACCACGGGTTTGGGCATAGATGGGATAAACGCAATACTACTCCGTAAATAGGTAGGTAGGTGGCATTACATACAGAATGCAAGGGCTAGTTTGTTGCGCGTATACTCCACGCCGTCTGGGGAAACTATCTTTTGGGGATAGATAAGAAGCTGGGGAATGGGGACTATTGAAGACAGCACTAGCTGCCTCTACTAGGTAGCTATGACGCCTTGTTCTCCTAATTGATTTCCTTTCTCTCCTCCACCGGCCAAGAAATACGGGGTCAGACTCCGGGTTTTACCGATGCAGCCCCTTTCCGCTGCATCTATCCGCCTCCGTACTTCCTGTCGAGTTCTAGAATATCCAAAGAAAAGCACCTCCGAGACAAGCAAAAGCAAAGAAAAGCAAAGAAAAAAGCGGTGACTAGCCATTCTTTGTCTTTATTTAGATTTTTTTTTATCTTGGAAGGATGAGACATCGATTTTCTCGGAGATTGCCACCACGAACTGTGCATAAGACGCCCCTAGTCTCCTACCTAGTCTTTCTTAGGCAAAGGTAGGGGAGTGTCTCCACTACCCACTTGCGTTTGACAACTGGAAAACAGCCTTGGGACGCCCCCAGGGGCCGCCAAACGCCAAACGAACCTATGGAATCATGGATAGACCCTGGCCGGGGCGCGCCTCGCGTCGGCGTTGCAGCCTTATTCTTGGCTAGCTTCTGGACTTGTGTCGCAGGCTAAGGGGGGCCAGCTTGTCGTGAGATGAATAGTCGTGAGATGAATAGGATCTGCGCTGTGGACGACCAATGGGGAAATTGGACTTTCTCTCTCTCTGTTCTCTCTCTTTGAGTCTCTGTCCTCTGGGGGAAGACTGAAAGCTGATGGTTAAACTCGCTAAGAGCACGGAGTTAAGGTGCTTAGGTGGATCATGGATGGGGACCCGCTTAATCTAAGGTGTTGTGGCGATCTTGGTGAGATTGTGATTCTCCTTATTCTAATTTCTCTTGGACCCTTTTTCTCTACTTCTTTTTATATTTATTTTTATCCTTATTTTTGATTATTCTTCTTAGTTCTTTAGATTACACCTGGTGGAGTAACTAGAGTATGTCGTACGGAAAAATATATATAGAAATAACATGATGGGGCTGGATAGGAGCCTGTGGGGTTGACCCTTTTTTCGTCTTTTTGAAATCGAACTCTGACGTGTGAAGGAACAACAAGGAGGTCTGTGAGAAAATAACACCCCATTTGACTTTACTCTGACATAATATACTACCACCTATACGGCTCACTACTTCGTTCAACCTTCAAACACCACCCCATTCAATCTCACAGGCAGAGCTGGTGAAAGCCAGCCAGAACGAACATGAAACTTAGGGCCAGCAGGGATCTTGCAGCCAATCCAACCAGGGTGGTGGTGGACTGATCGACAGCTGTACTAGTGTCTGACTCTGCATCCAATCTCGGGATATTCAATGTTTGGACTAACCACTACCGGTAGTAGCATCGTCCCCCAGGGAAAAGTTGTCTCGCCCGGTCTAGGGTCTAGATGGATGACGGATGTTCAAGGATACTGGCAAACCACAGAATGTTGTTCGTGTTGTCTGTGATACACCACGCCTTCGCTACAGCGTGCGTACACACCGCAACATGCACCCCGTGCGAAACGTGGCGGCCACGAGACGGGGTTGGTCATGCAGAGAAACGAAGAAGCAAGGAGTGTCTTCCCTGTTCTAGATCCTCCGGATCCTTCAGCTGAGTGAGATGAGCGGCTCTCGTTTACCGATGTGATGATAGGTCAACTCTGGTCAAACTGATCATTTGGACGGCGAGTTTGCGGGGAGACAGGAGGGAATGTCCGCTTCTTGATCAGCATGACATGAATCCCAATTATTATTATGATTTCGACCTTGCGGTTATCGTCCCTGATGCGGAAACGATACTGTTCTGTCAATCCTTCAACGCCTGTCATCGAGAATCCACTCTCTCGTCATGATTTAGCGACGGATGGTTCGTCGCCCCTGATCGCTCCCCGTAGATTCGATGGAGGATTCCTTTCGTCGCTTCCTTCCTGCTTGGACTAGGTAACTGTTAAAAATCAGGATCGAGGGAGGGATTAAATCCTTTCGATAATTACACAGGACATGCTCCGTGCATGGTCCCCGGAGCTGACCGCTGGATCGCTGACGTGACTGAACAGGGACTCTCCCAGCGATGGAATGGTTGTTTGACATCTTTTGGGCAGTTGTTCGTATTATTATAGGGTTTTATACTGTCTACACGAAGTTATCTGCAATTCTTTATATTTGAATTTAGTAATGTATGGTAGTACTTGGGGGCTTTCTTCTTTACGCATGTATACTACCCCTTAGAAACGTCTCCTAGAATTCGTCCTCAGAATTACAATCCGATCGGAGTGTTTGGTTGCTCTTGATACCCCTTGTTCTATTGATTGTATTGGTTTGATTTATTCTAATAATGTCACTCAGGTCAAACTTACTACTATCTGCTACTCTGGTATCATTTGCCTGTACATGTACTGTATCATAAGCACTTGGCTATCATCTATAAAGTATAATCCATATCGTTATAATTTTATATGATATGGTTGGCTATAATTTTATTCGACTAATTCTATTAATCCTATTAACTTCCATAAACTTCCATAAACTTAACCAAAGTTAACTCCCTATTTCATTGATCACTCGCGTGGTCAGTCAACTCTCCCTTCTTCGAACAGACCCGCCTTTTTTCTCTGGACCAAACAAAGCGCTTCTCCACTCTGACTATTCCAACTTTCTCCCGCTTTAGGGGCTGCGAGGTTCCCTACCACCGAACTACCTACCTTACTACTCCTACCCTACCTACTACCTTCTACGATCTCTTCCCATCTGTCGACTTTCCTCTTCCATCCCTCCCTCCAGAAGAAGACGGCTCACTCAAGACAATCGGTTTCGGTCTCAGCTGCATGATTGATCCCGTTCGCTGTATTATTCCGTTGGGGTACGTTTCACCTGCAGAACGCTTTCTCCTTACCACTGGTCGGGAAAATGAACCCCTCCGCCCACGTTCTTCTCTCCCGTCTTTGCCTTGTTTCCTGGGAACTCAGCTAACGCCGGTTTCACAATGTCCGTAGGTTCTGGATGGGTCATTTCCAGCGTCGCTTTATATACTGCCTTGTCGCCGCGTGAATTTCACTCCTCCGCCGTGCTTTTTACTGCCCGTCTAGTCTTTTTTTTACCTTTTTTACTTTTCCCCCCATACCGACGTCTGCGAACCCTCGCAGACCGCGGAACCAGCCGTGTTACGTGATTATACCCTGCCGATACCGTCGTGGGATGTTGGGAGCTGCTCGGAACAACCGTTGCCAGGATATCTTGCTACACATCCGCCTAAATGGGAAATTCGCAGGGGAAACAGATAGCTGCCGGCGATGAGAGTGCGTACCAATGCCTGGCTCGCCATTCCCGTTCGAGTGGAGTTGGCGGGCTTCGTCTCCCGAACTGCGCGCTGATGATGTAGGAATAGCGAATCTCAATCATTTCCGCCTCCTCCGGGTGGTCGGAAAGGGTGCCTTTGGAAAGGTGCGCATCGTCGAGAAGAAGGATACGGGGTTGACGTTTGCCCTCAAATACATTCGGAAAGAAGAAGGTATGGTTCTACACAGGGTTGGTGTCGGTGTCGTTGCCATGTCGGCTAATTGCTTGCCTGTCGGTAGTCGTCCGGTCGGAGAGTGTCCGCAACATCATTCGGGAGCGGAGAATGCTCGAACACCTGAATCACCCATTCCTGTGCAACTTGAGATACAGCTTTCAAGATATTGAGTACATGTACGAACCTGCCAATGCTCCTACCATACATACCTTCCTACTGTACCGACTAGGCACTGACCTCCGAGAAGATACCTCGTGGTGGATTTGATGAACGGGGGTGATTTGCGCTTCCACATCTCCCGGAAATGTTTCACGGAAGACGCAATTCGCTTCTGGTTGGCAGAGCTGGGCTGTGCCCTGCGGTATATCCACTCGCAAGGGATTATCCATCGGGATGTCAAGCCAGATAATGTTCTATTAGACTCCGAAGGACATGTTCATTTGGCCGATTTTGTGAGTTGTCCCCTTATGGTCTACTCCTCGGACAGACGCTGACTGGTTTGTTTCCAACAGAACGTTGCCTCGGATTTTCGCCCTGGAAAACCGCTCACGAGCAAGTCTGGTACCCTAGCTTACCTTGCCCCCGAAGTGTACGAGGGAGGTGGATACGCGTCCGAGGTGGATTGGTGGTCGCTCGGTGTCACGTTCTACGAGTGTGTTTACAATAAGGTATGCATCGCCGCCTCCCTGGGAGCCCGCTTGGCCGGTTTTCAACAGTCGACTAATGTGCCGGACAGCGACCCTTTGAAGGACGGAGTCAGGAAGTGTTGAGCGACGCGATCAAGAAGGCTCAGCCCAGATACTTTGTCACCAACCCAGCGGTCACAGTCCCCTGCCTGCGGGCCATGGGTGCGCTCATGGAAAAGGACCGAAGCAGGCGGATTGGTGCAGTCAGCTTTGAGAGTTTTACCTCGCATCCTTTCTTTGCCGAGCTTGACTTTGAGGCTTTGGAACGGAAGGAGATCCCCGCGGTCTTCACACCATCTAGCGACAAGACGAACTTTGATGCTACGTATGATCTGGAAGAGCTGCTGCTGGAAGAAGCGCCGTTGGAGGCTCGGGCCCGCAGACAGAAACCGAGAGCCGAGCTCAGAGAAGACGCCACGGCGAAGGAAATCCGAGAAGACGAGCTTCACCGCTTGATAGAGACTATGTTTGAGCCATTCGACTACACGCTGGCTTCGTATAAGACGTATGTTCATGTTACCATATTGGAACGTATCCCCTTCGGATCGCTGACCATTCACAGGAACGCGGCGGAAGCAATCGCATCGGCAACGTGGGTTTTCCGAAGGGAAGGATAAGAACATAATGGAGACCCCCTTGCTAACATTATCTCCAGGAACCCGGAAGACTGCCTTCCTACCGCCTCCTCTACCCCCGCCCCCGGCACCGGCCCCGGTCCAGGGCACTCCCGTCGATGCTCGCAACCCGACATCTCCAGGAATTCGCCCTCACCTCAGAATGATGGGTCTATTGGTCGGTTCAATACTACCAATAGGGCCCCGTCTCCTTTGTGTGAGGGTGGAGAGATCCCACCGGCCCCCCTGCCAAAGGACACCTTCCCTGCTCACCCCACGTCGCAGCCACCTCCCCCGCCGCCATCGGCTCCCTCGTTCCATCGTCCGTTTCATCCACCCCCCCCTGCTCAACGTCCCCGGGGACCGGCGCGGAAACCGAGTAAGGCTGGGGGAGTGCAGATGGTATTGGAAGAAACGGGTAGCTGGAGCGAGCTTGCGGATCACAGTTCTACTCTTCCCGCGGAAGGCTATGACGCCAACGACGCCAAAGGAAAGAGCTCCAACAGTGGCATGCTGTCATTCCTGAGCCGCAAAAAGGGACGCGACAGGAGCCCGAAGCCGCAAGAACCCGGTGTTCTGGGTAAAGAGGGTGCCCGACAAATCATCAGCTGAACAAATATCCCCGCACGACACGAAAATGAAGGAAACGAATGCCACCAGAGGTGTATCATAGGAGCCGTGTTTCCAGACAGTATCGACCCCTGTCGGAGCATTGCGGCTCACGCTGGAAATCCCCTCTCCGAGATATTTCGGCCGTCTTCGACCTGCTGTACGACTGGCTGGACCATCCGTGTTTGATTGGACCCCCACATTATGGGGTACCATGCAGAAAATCTAAGTGATTAGGGTATATTGCCGTTTGTCGAATCTGGATGCCCATCAACCCCAGACGCAATTAACCATCACCAGGCTCGAGATGGAAAATTTCGCGATGCCAAGGATGTTTTGGCGTTTCCTGGTTTACCATCCTCGAATCGATGGATTATTGCCTCCACGATGTTGCCGACTCCCAATTATTCTCCCCGGATGTGCCGAAGGTCACGCAGGTTTGTGAGACTTCGGTCTTTTGGTTTTCTATTGTATTTTCTGGCGTCACCCACTAGGTAGTGACCGAACTCTTCCATTCCGTCTCCTGTGCTCCTCTGATCTTTTATTCGCTTGGTCTCAGCGTGGCAAGATCGCCCTTTTTATTTTCCCTTCCTATCGGACCTATGCCGGCTGAAGCTGTACATATAAGCGGCACAACACCGATCTGTCTGATTTGTTTGATATCTTTTTCTCATTCTATCCGCTGCGATTGGCGTGTACTTTAGTTTCTGTTTTTTTCTCTCTTGTCTTCTCGGTGGCGTTGGCATACATACATACTATGTTCCAGATTGGAGCTTGGGAATGGTTCCGTCGCAGCCATATGATATGGATATGCCTTGGACTGTGCAATGGTTGGACATACTACCTATTTTTGTCCATCCTTTTATTCGTGATGATGACTTCATCTGTGTGGAGTCTGCCTGTACTTAATGATATTTATTTGATAGATACTGAGTGAACGCATCTAGTCAATACCTACTGTAACAACTAGTATGATAATTTATCGCTTTATACATATAGGAGATCTCTCATAACCGTGCCAAAGTGAGCGGATCCACCACCACTAGGCTGCCTAAATTAGGCACATACCTAGGCCTGATCATCCCGCCCGTCAAATCACTGTTTATATAAAATTTTTTCTACTTATGTATAGTAAGTAGGCATGTTTCATTCTATGTAGGGCGCACATCCAAGAAATTATAGGAGCACTCAATGTGTCATCCTCTGACGCGCCTTGCGTCTTGTTTACTTTTTGCCTAGAGAGGCTGAGTGAGCCTAAGAAACACTAGCTTGGCTGGTCTCTTGTTGGTGGGGATGGATGGGCGCCAGCTGTGCCAACTACCAGCTTACTACGATCTAACGACCTGGCTAGACTTTGCATCTACTGCTGATTGTTTTTTTCCTATTCTTTCTCGACTGCTTGAGGGATCTCATATGCATGATTCTACCATCGATTCCTACGTTCTCATCCTCCACACCTAGCCATCCATATCCCGATACCACAACGCAGAAACGCCAACTTCAACAACCTTGAACAACAACAACAACAACAGATCTACGAGCGGGGCCGCACCGCATTACATCCGATCGATCCCATCCACCCATCCATCCATCTCATAGGCGTTCGATGCGGTTCAATCCCATCCATTGTATCGCGCCACCACACCCTACCTACCCACACAACAAACAATCCAACATCCCCACATTCCAATCGCGATAAGCTTGTGATCGTCGATCAATAAATTGCATGCCCAGACACCCCCGCACCCGCGACGGTCGCGACGGCGAGCGAGACCGCGCTTACGACTCCGACTACGACTACGATTACCACAACCACGCGCGCAGACATCGGTACCGGAGGGATGAAGATTACGACGACGATGAGTTGGAGGATAGTCCGCGACGGGAGGGGCGGTATCGTCGGGATGAGAGGGGCTCGCGTTCGAGGGCGAGGGGATATGAGTCGCGCGGGTATGAATCGCGCGACGATGCAGAGGAGTACGATTTAGCGGATGTGGATCCTGCGGTTCCGTTGAGGGGCGTTGAGGATGATGGTGGTAGACGGAGGGAGAGGTCGAGGGGGAAGGCGAGGAGAGGGCCGGCTGCGCCTGATATGTCGTCGAGAGAAAGAGAGAGGGAGCGGGAGAGACGTGCGCGCCGCAGAACGGACGATGAGGAGAGTCCTGTGCGGAGGAAGGATCGTGGGAGTCGGACGAGAGATGGGGCGCGAGAGGGCCGTCGGGAGCGGGAGCGAGATGCGGAGGCGGCGGCGCGGCGGGCGAGACGGAGGGATAAGGATCGCGATCGCCACCGCGGGGCCGCAGCGGTAAAGCATCAGAGTGGGGACTCGAGTAATAGTGCGTCGCATTTGCTGAGTGCTGATGCGCTTGCGAGGCTGGGGGCTCGGTACGATGATGAGGATCGAGTGCGCACGGCTGATGAAGCCCGGGCTGAACGGAAACGACGCCGGAAGCGCCCTGTTGTCGGTGATGAGCAGCCGCGCACGCTGGCGCCGTTTCCTGGGGAGACGCCGAGAGGGCAGTCGAAAGGTCGGATTGTGTCTGGGGCTTACTTGGAGGAGGGGAGGAGTCCCGAGATGGAAGTTCGACATCGGGGGGGTGGTGGTCCGGCGATGGAGGATAGGTGGCGGAAGGAGGGCGATTGGGATGGAAGTGGGGATGGCGATGAGGGACAGCCTCCTTTTTGGAAGAGGAAGAAGTGGCTGATCGCTATTGGGGTGCTGATTCTGCTGCTGGCTATCATCGTTCCGGTTGCTGTTGTTGTGTCGAAGAAGAAGGGTGATGATTCCGGTTCGGGGCAATCTGGCGAGGAAAAACCAGAAAACTCGAATCTGGACAAGATAAGTCGAGACAGCATTCCGGTATGTTTTGCTTGAGGTTTGTGTGTTCTACCACAGATGGGCTAATGACGATCTATTTCAGGAATCTGCCAAGGGAACTGAGCTGGATCCTTTCACGTGGTACGACTCGACTGGTTTCAACGTCACGTATACGAGCGAGACCGTCGGGGGTCTTTCCGTCATGGGAATCGATTCAAAGTGGGACGATTCAGCCCGTCCAAACGACAACGTGCCGCCGTTAAATAAACCATTCCCGTACGGAGACCAGCCCATCCGTGGCGTTAATCTCGGCGGATGGTTGTCGATCGAGCCGTTTATAGTCCCTTCTCTCTTCGAGCATTATCCGGCTAAAGACGAAGTGATCGACGAGTACACGCTTTGCAAGAAGCTGGGAGAGTCGGCTGCGTCACGGATTGAAAGACACTATTCGACTTTTATCAAGGAGCAAGACTTCGCCGAGATTAGGGACGCAGGACTCGACCACGTCCGAATCCAGTTCTCATACTGGGCAGTCACAACATATGACGGCGATCCGTACGTCGCGAAGATCTCTTGGCGATATCTCTTACGTGCCATTGAATGGGCTCGAAAGTACGGACTGCGCGTCAAGCTAGACCCGCATGCACTTCCCGGAAGCCAAAACGGGTGGAACCACAGTGGGCGAGAAGGGTCGATCAACTGGTTGCAGGGACCGGACGGTGCTGAGAACCGGAAGCGTTCGCTGGAGATCCACGACAAAGTATCAAAGTTCTTTGCGCAACCGCGGTACAAAAATATTGTGACCATATATGGCCTCGTCAACGAGCCGTTCATGCTGACATTGCCAGTCGGAGAAGTTTTAGACTGGAGCAAGGAGGCCGCTGAACTGGTGCAGAAAAATGGAATCAAGGCCTGGATTGTCGTCCACGACGGCTTCCTGAACCTCAGCAAGTGGAAGAAGATGCTGAAGGACCGTCCGGACCACATGCTCCTTGATACCCATCAGTACAGCATTTTCAACACGGGGCAGATAGTCCTCAAACACAAGGAACGGGTCAAGCTAATCTGCAAGGACTGGTTCAACATGATCAAAGAGATCAACAGCACGAGCGAAGGGTGAGTAGCCATTCCAGCCCTACCTGACCGTTGACCCCCAGTTCAAGCTCCCCAAGCTAACATCTCGCAGCTGGGGCCCAACAATGTGCGGCGAATGGTCCCAAGCAGACACCGACTGCGCACAGTATCTCAACAATGTCGGCCGCGGCACCCGCTGGGAAGGCACATTCTCCAAGACCGATTCAACGCAGTACTGCCCAACAGCCGACTCGGGCCCACGCTGCAGCTGTGAACAAGCCAACGCCGACCCGTCCGACTACTCAGACGACTACAAGAAACTGCTTCAGACCTACGCCGAGGCCCAGATGTCTGCCTTTGAGACGGGGCAGGGCTGGTTTTACTGGACCTGGCATACTGAGTCGGCTGCTCAGTGGAGCTACAAGACCGCTTGGAAGAACGGGTTCATGCCTAAGAAGGCTTATGAGCCGTCTTTTAAGTGTGGTGATGATATACCAGATTTTGGGGACTTGCCGGATTTTTATTGAGTTGTTCGAGGTGTATATTATTCTTTCTGTTTTGGATATGATACTGTTGTCATGGTTTATTCTTCGCATGTTTTCGACACTGCATTGTTCTTATTGTTGCATTTTTGATATCCTTTTTTGTTATCTGTTCATTTGTATCTATACTCTATGCAGCCTCACCAGCTGTTGTATATTGTTGAGATGATGAAACGCCATGTAGATTCTGAGCCATGTTCTGGGAGCTCAAACTAGGCAGCCTTGATTATTGGGAAGAAACCATCTTTTGGTATAGACATATGGAATACATAGCAATTACAAGCCCCGAATCATAAACATGAATCATGAAAGCAAACTCCGAGCATGCTATACCCAAACCCAGCACAAATATCACTCAACCCATAGTAGACAGTGTAAGTAACGTAACCCACAAGAAGCGTTGACCAGCAACACAACACAACAGCGACAACCAAATCCGCCAAAGAAAAGTATGTAGAACAAAACATCAGACCATAGCATAGTCTGGCCTATGGAACTTACCCTCGATTAAACGAGAAACGCGATCCCCACCCCCTCGACTCCCTACGGTCATCCCCTTTCTTCTTAACATCCTCGTCACTCACAGACCCCTTCTCAACGTCCCTCGTCTGCTGCCTCGCAACACCCTCCGTACCCCGGTGAGCACCACCATCAGTATTCTGCCCTTGAGGCTTCATCCGCGGAAACCGAGGCGTCAACGGCGTCTTAATAGCTTGCGTGACCTGGCGCGCAGAGCGAGAGATCGTCTCGCGCATAGCCCATTGGCGTCTTTTCGCGACGACGAAGAGCGCTGCGGAGGACACTGCATTATCGTGAGTGATGACCAATTGCAAAAATGGATACTTGCGGTGAAGACAGCTGGGGTGGGAGAGAGGCATAGCATACCTCCGATGAGAACAACGACGCCGACTATCGTGCAGAGAATGATCATGCCCTCTGAGGATACGCCCACAGATGACTCGGAGGAGGGCCCTTCTGCACCGGCATTGTTTTGGGCTTCGATCTCTTCGTCGATGGTTTGGGCTGTTGTTGTTTGGGAGAGGAGAGTAGCGAGGAAGATGGGGAGAATTTGGGAATACATTTTGCTCTCAAGATGCGTGTAAAGTGATTATCGGTAGGTTTTGAAGCAAGATGCAGATATGATAATAGGAAGTCTGCGATATAATCCCCAACAAAAAATGAGAAATAAACAAACCCCCCGCTGAAGAATCCCTCAATGATAGTTATACCACCACTCCATCAAGCACTGCCCCGACAACTTCACTCTCCCCTGAGGAAAGCGCTAAAAGGGTCTTCTTGGCCCCTGTACTGATAGGTCCAACGGGCGAGATCCAAGCTCTGCACGTATTTCTGCAGCTTGATCACCGCAGATTGACACTGCAAGGGGAACAAAGATAGATCACCGCAGCGAATCAGGACCCCGCATGCGTGCCTCTGCGTGATGTTGGCGCCGGAGTTCTGTGATTGCCGGCTTGGCTGCTGGGCAAGCGCCCAATGGCGGAGGGGGCTTGGCCGCCGGGATTCTTGGACGGGTTTGACAGACGGTGTGGGGTCGGCGGTTTTTCTGTTTTTTCTTTCTTTTTGTTGTTTGTAGGGCTGATTGGTTGGTTGTGGGGATTAGTTTGGAGGAGGTGGTGGATCGGTGCTAGGTTGGAGTGACTCTTATATTTCAGTAGCGATAGCTTCAACTTGGGGCTGTATCGCGTAGCATGTATATTAAGCTTTGCTTGGCTAATGCCATTGCTTGTAGTCGAAATAGTAAACATGAATGTCTATCGACAGATCGATTGAGAGTAATAAACAGTGTTCTATAGAAGAGGAAGAGTCGTCTTCATCTAGTCGAGAGGTAGGAATAGAAGACTAGACATCACGGGACCCCCAGTAATTCTGTCTGCTCAGCTCACCAGTTCTCATCTGTTCCCGACATGTAAATCGTAAACATCACCATACTCCCTTTGACAAACGTTCCCTATCTGACAAGCTTCTTCATTAAGCGAATCATCCTTTTACCATTCTCCCTGGAATACAAGATCGTATAACCCGCCCCCACTCTTTTATTGAGCTTGAGCTCTCATAGCACAGATTGACAAAAAATGAAAACAATGAATCCCGCTCACAATCCCTCTTCATCTGCAAGAGGATCTCCCATCATTTCTGTCCCTGGACAGCCTGAGGACAGTGATGAAGTTGACGAGCTTCTACTCCTCCAAATAGCACAAGCTGATGACCCTGTCTCCCCTAGGCTCAGCGCAACGATGGTTGCCCCTCAAGGACGAGCTTCATCAGTGGAACAGCAAATGCCTCCCTCGTCACTTGTACAACGCCCAAAAAGTTCTGGGATCGACGTAACGGCCTTTTCGTTTGCAAAGCCACTTCAGCATGGGAAAGTATTTTCTTTGAAACCAGCTGTCAAGCCGCAAATTACGTCGATGTCAAATAAGATTTTAGGTCAAGGGAAGTCTGAGAAAGGTGATATGAATGATACTATACAGGAAGAGAGCAATCCAAGGTAATTCCCTACTTGTGACTGACAGATATCGCTATGCTTTTGAATACTTGTCTCATAGCGGATTCAGGGTCACCACAAACAACCAGAGTCCCCCGACCTCACATTCAACATCAGAAACACTCACACAAGGCGCTAGACCCATGGAATATGTGGAGAGTCAATTTCACCATGCCGGAGATTATGAAGACAGACGTGAAAGTGGTGCCTTTCTACCGGCAGCAAATGGAAAATCGTCGGATTCGGCGAATGGTTCTCAAAGTACGTCTTTACTCACAACTAGTGATAAGCCAGACCAACATATATCTAGGGAGACGGTCTCGTGAAATCTATTCTGGATACGATCAAGCTAGACCGAGCAAAGCTCGTCCCGATGAACGCTCAGCGATGGCAGGTGGAGCTACAGCAGAAGTGCCTGATGTCCTGCATTCAACGAGACGGGCGAATGATGAGTTTAAAGTCTCAAAGGCCCATCGGACAAAAAGGACAAATGCAAAAGGCCTACCGATCATCATGAACAAGAACCCCCAATTATCCGAGGAGGATATTTACCAGCTTCTGATCAATAGACTCAAGGTGCGCGAAGAGAGTGAAGCCGCTGCAACCAACATCCAACGGCAAATGGAAACGCACATCGCGAAACTGCAGGAAGAAAACAATGCCCTGAAAGCTGAGCTTGAAACGCTGGGTAATCAACTTGAGGAGCAGTCAGCGGAAGCAAAAACGTACCGATCCCGACAGGAACTATGGAAGAAAAAACTGGCTAGGTTCAAGTATTTCCTGAATGAGCTTGGATCCGATTACAAAAATATTCGCGGCGACGCCATCCAGCTCAGGGCAGCCAGGGCCGCCTGTGATAAGGAGAGGAAAATTATCGCAGAAGACATTTCCGATCTCAAATCACGATTGACTCAAACGACTAATCTTGTTAACACAAATAAAGGTCACTCTACAGAGCTGGAGAATATGATTACCCTGTTGCAGAAAGAACTCAAAGGTGCCGACGAAAAAGCGGCCTATACCCAGCAGCAGCTGTCCAGAGAGTCCAAGAGGAATGCGTCCTTGGAGTCATATATTCGATCCCATTCTATTCATCAAGCAAAGGGACTGGAGCTTGTCAGGGTCGGCCAGCTTGAGACATCGCAGAAGATTGATTCCGCATTTGAGCTTATACGGACCGAATGGGAAAGCTCTCAGAGAAATGTCCAGTCAGCACTGGGTCGTACAATGGACGAGTGCCTGGATTTGTTGAAAGGCATGAAAGACAAACGTGTCCTCGAGCGGGTAGATTTTCAGAAGTGTCAACAAATTGCTAATGAATTCACAACCCAGTAAGTGTCGGGTATACATTTACCAATGTGGTACACTAACATGGCTCAGGATGGTTTCTATAACTGCACGGTTGACAAAAGAAATTGACCGAAGTGCTGATGTAAATAGTGATACTGTTGACACCTTGAAAGAACAACTTCAAATTGCTTATAATACTGTGGGAACGGGGTCAACGCTGCTGGAGAAGCTCACAGAGAATGACGAATCTTTCCACTCAATGCAACAAAGATTAGGTGATTTTATGTTGAGTGTCGAAGAAGTGAAAGAGACACTTTCCGGGTTTGGGTTAAAAGAGGCATGTCTAGCCGAAGAGATGGGACGTCTCGAGAAGACGATTTCTGAAGTTAAGATCCCTGAAAAGATTGAAACCTTTCCAGCAGCAGGATACGTCAGCATCGAGGAAAAGCGAGATCTCGAGGCGGTCATAGAGACTCTACGTTCTGACTTATTGCTGACTGGGGAAAGTGTGGAGGCCAAAGACACAGAGATTGAAACTTTGAGGATGTCAATCTCAAAAGTTACGGAGAAACTTCAGCAAGAAGAGCAGTGGACGATTCGGCTCAAAGCTGAATCCAATGACTTGAGGCATAAGCTCGAAGACATGGATACCAAAGTTCGAGAGCAGCTGAGTAGAGCGAGTGTCATTGCTAGAGATCAAACAAAAGCAAGATTCGAACAGCAAATGCACCAACTCTCTCGGGGGAAAGTCGACCTTGAGATGCATGTGGAGAAATTGCAGGAGCAGCTGCGTGGCGCCCAAATAGACTTGGTATTATCCTAGCTTGCGCCACAGAAATCATACTAATAGATAACAGGAGGAAAGCAAACTTTCAGCAAAAAAGGAACACGATGATCTCGAATGCCTGGTCCGTGTGGTTGCCCGTTTTCAAGGATAAATACTAATAGACATAGATGTTGGAAAAAGAGAAACAGATCCACAACTTGGAAGACTCTCGTACAGATGATGCCACCAAACTGGCAGAGAAAGAGGTGGAGATAGAAAGGTTTCGGGAGTTAGAGACCACGAACGCATTGGAGCAAGCAGACCTGCAGCTGAGACTTGAGGTCGCCAATAAAAAGAACTCCGATCTTGAGACTGAGCTAGCCGAAATATCCGGCAAAAATCTCGCGTCGTCAAATGACCACCAAGAATCAATCGAGTCTCTTCAGAAGGAAATATTAAAGCAGAGTGAAATGCTTGAAGGTGTCCAAAATAAGCTTCACGAAGCTAACGTTACCAAATCAACTCTTGAAACCGGCAAGGCCAAAGCTAAAGGTGAAATACATGCCTTGCTCCGGAGAGTTCAAAATGCCGATGAGTGGATGAGCAAGATTAAGGAGATGGTTGAGAGAACCGGTACTGCTGTACCAGATAAGCCATTTGAAGAAACTTTGACTCGTTTGGAGAAGCTTCTGCCATCAGTTAGGGCCACCGAATCTCTCGAAGCCTCATCAACGCACCAACCCAATGGAACTACTGCTGGCATGACCCCCAATGCTGCAAAGAACATTGTTTTGGCTTCATCGCCGATGTTAGGAGGAACCGCCGGACAAAACTTGGTCCAGACAACGGAGGTGATATATCGGACGCAGAGTGTCCAGAGAAATGTGGCCTCGATGTCGATGGAGATGAACAAAGTTGGCCCTGACTGGGCCAGCGGCAGGACTGCGTGCGTCCCTGATTCGCAGCCGAGTAGCATCGTGCCATTTTCAAGCATTCGCCAGCAGCTGTCACCGGCCCCTTGTTCGACGCCAGACAGCTGCGACAGAAGTATGGCGGCTTTATTTGGTACTATACCAGATAAGGCAGAATCAGGCTCGGTATCAGCAGGGAGAAATGGTGAAACGGGTGAGATTTTTCCGACGCGTGAAGATAATGATGCCCCTGAGTCAAATATGAAACCAGTCGCCAATAAAAGCAATGGACAAGAGACAACCGTGAAGCCAAAGGCAGTGACCTTCACAGCAAGTCAACCATCTCCAGGCGGAGAACGCTATCACCCCCAAAATGGAGCATCATCTCAGAGTGTAGAGACTGAAAAGCCCCGTACTCGCGCCAACCGACGAACATACAGCAAGATACGCCAGTCTGGGGCGAGTACTTCTGTCAGACCTCAGCCCCAACATGCATCGCCGGCAGTCTCTCGCAACTCTTCCCACCTTGATAACCTGGGCCCCATCCGGATCAAGAAGACGAAGCATTCGTACGAAAGCACGCCGAAAGGAGCGCAAGCGGTACCGGAATACTTGGAACGCAAGACGAGCCCCGCCAAGCTCGCTTCGGGAAGCAGCAGGCCAGGTTCTATAAATGAGAACCAGAGGAACCAGAAACCCCCGGGTCGAATGGCAAGGGGACGGAGAGCACGCGGTAAGGCATGTTTGTTTTCCATCAGAAATCGTGCTGATCCAGCAGGTGCCCGTTACAACGCGCGGTTCAACAAGGAAAACTAGTGCCGGAACGAGGGATGATCAATTGAGCAGCGACAAACGTATCCTATACATTACCATATATATCCTATCCAATCCTTGAAGTATATTGTATCGTTCTATTGACATTTATTTCCCCCTGATTTCGCAGACAAGATCAGAATGGATGTCAACGGAACAGATGGATGATTGCGTTTTTCTCATGATATAACGAACACGTTGATTGACCCAGATTGTACTGCTCTAAACGCCCAAATGCAAACCAAATAACATACAGCGCGATCACGTTCACGGTACAGTCGTAGAATGAGACCTCCGCAGTCTGACGCCGCAGCACCGCTAATGTACAATATTGACCGACCCATCCCCATCACCCATGACCCATCCATCTCACGACGTGGCGCGCACCGAATTCCATAAACCAGCGTATTCGAATATCGAAGTAACGTATTCACGGCGTATCAGGCGAGCACAAGCGATATATCGATAGGAAGATAAATAGATAAACAGGTCGATCGATCGAGAAAAGGCGCAAAAAAGATGATCACAACCGCCCTCCCCTCCCACTAATTGCTTAATTAAGCAGGAGAGGAATGACGGAGCAACAGATGAATCATCTATTTATTGCGCCCACCCTTGGTGGCCTCCAAGAAGAGCACCTGCTTCTTAACGACGGGATCATACTTGAGCATGCTGAGCGGGCGGTGCGTCCGGGGGCGGATCATTGTGCGGAAGTAGCCAGTCATGGCCATGGAGATGAGGCGGACGGCGACGGTGCGGGATTTAGCTAGTTGATTTGTATATTAGCGATGTGTTCGTGACAGGAATGGCATATAATGGGAGGGGGGAAGAGGGGGGGTACATTTTTTGGCCATGGTGGTCGTTGTCGGAGGTTGACTGCGATGGAGAAAGTCGGAGTTTGCGACGGAGGTTGGAACAATTTGGGTTCGGGAGAAGGGTAGGTCACGTGGCTTGAGACTGCCTGATTGGGAATTGCTGGATTGGGGATAGCGTCGATGGATTTCTATCCACTTTTACTCTACTTTCCTACCCCACGTATTCGTTCTGTAGATTGATGGTCTAAGTTGATACTAATTGGATTTACTTTATTGATGTTACTGTTGATGTGTTTATTACCCCACACAGTTGGTACCGGTCTTATCAAGCAGCATACCAGTAGGATCACCGTGAACAGCCATGTCCTGTTATAGTAGTTCATCTTATAGTGCATGATGGTAACACCAACCTAACCATGCAAGAAAGATAGATAAATGAGTAATAGCACAACAGCATCGGACTAGACCTGCAGATCTTGATCCATGCTTTTTGGCCAGTGCGACGATGAAGGGTGTGGCTGGTGAATGCTTGAACCTTGTTTTCGAGGTGGGCAGATAGACTCTGCCGGGGTTGGGGCAGCTGACTTGCTGAATTTTCTTGAAGATGGTAAAATAAAAGATGATGAATTAACAAATCATTGAAGTTAATGAAGCGAAAAAAATACAATCTCTACTATTATGTTGATATTGCGGGGTTGTCCATAGGGGTATCCCTATCCTGCATTCAGCTGGGATATGAATCGCGATATAGACTGCTAGAGATTCCACAACTACCTGTACCTTGTATCTATATCGATATCTCTACTGCCTAACTGTCTACATATACTATAAGAGTCTTCATACAAGCACCCATACTCATTATTATGATATAACAAAATAGGCAAAGCGTACCACCATTCACACAAAAACAAGAACAAGGAAAGACGAAACTCTAATATATACACAAAAAGAAGTAAAAAACTATAAAACAGCTCCTCCACACACCAAGCATTCAAGAACGCCTGAACACAGTCCTCATGATGCCCCCTTCCCCTTACTTTCCCCATGCAGCTGCCTAGAACGGTCGACCGGTGTTCAGATACTTGTTTGGGCGTGGGCTGGGAATAGCCTACCATTATTGTCGTCACTCTCATCCTATAGTAAAACATAGTAGATACTCATATACTAAATTTAGGGCGAGAGAAACTCGGTAAAAGCGATAAGATCAGCATACCGATCCACAAGACACTACTCAATCCACCCACAGTGACGCACATGCAAGCGCCCGCGTGAGGATGCATCTTGCCGAAGGGATGAATAATATAAACTAAAAGCTGGGAGGTATACTTGGATAGTCATATTACCATAAAGGGTGAGGATGACGAAATCTGATAGGTGATACCTGGGAACTTAGCGGGTGTCTAGCGATATAGACGGGGTCATGGTGGGGGCGTTTTACTGGGAAAGATTCGGATGGTTTGTCTGGTGATGAGCCGATTTGTTAGTTTAATGGACTAGCCTGGGAGCAGTGTATCTACCTTGGAGTATACTAGGTAGAACGAGTGGTAGATTAATAGTTGAAGTAAGGAGGAGGATGTCATGGGATCAACGTGCCGTGATCGACGAGATCGTCGCGGGGAATGTTCATCCTGATGTATATCGAGGTAAATATCCGATATTGAGATTATATAAAAGAGATGGATGTTATAGAATTATAATATAATCCCTTATATTCCTGATCACATAAATCTACATATCTATCTAGTAATATACATAGAAGTCAGTGATCTGGTATAGTACAGAATTATCCATATACAAGGTAGTCAGTCTAGCCAGTGGCAACAAAACCGGAACTGCATTAGCCCAGTTTCCCCATCCTATGACGGGATCGTGAGACAATCCGTGCATGATGTGCAACCTGCCTACCTTCACACTAGTAAAAGTACACACCAGCCACAGCGGGGATACCATCTCCATCCATCCATCCCACCCCGCTATCTGCCAGATGACATACATACGTGCGTGCATGGATGCATGCACGGATGCATGCACACCACCACCACCACCTAAAGTCTTGATTGAGCACGGGAGAGAAGAAGCCGAAATATGAAGAAATGCATCTGTAATTTGGATTGGCTAGCTAGCTAGATTGTGGTACAAGAGTCAGAATCCTGTCCTATGTACATACATGTCTGCCTGCCTGCCTGCTCCGAAGGAATCAACAGATGTGCACGGAATGGCTTGTTGCCGTCGTGGTTCCATAGTGAAATTTTGATAGCAGTTCAATACAATGAGAAGGTCTGCCCAGTTAGTGGTCCCAATGGATCTGTACATGGTTGGACTTGATAGATAGTCTGACCAACATGAGACCCAAATAGTCCGCACAGGGTTTGACTCGCGTATGGAAACAAGAGACGAAATGAAATGAGATACGAGTATCGACTGTCCTGGTAACTCCTGTCCCATCCAGAGGGGTATCGATTTGTGGTGTCCTCCCAGGAACAAACTGTAGGACAAGAAAGCGAGAAATGTGGCCGTAATGCGTGAGAATTGATAGCTGTCTTGATATCGTTTCCGTGTTCGTAAAATCTTTGCACGTAGCCCACCGCTGCCTGTTAGTTAGCGTCGACTTGGCAACAGTAAAACAGTCAATATGACTTACTATCATCTCCCAGCATCACTACTGCTCCGCTTGAACATCCACCATAGTAACATCCTGGTCCGCAGCACCCTGTGCAGAAACAACCACATATCTCGCAGCCCTCGCCGCCCTCTCCACCCTCCTCGCCTCCGCCAACCTAGCCGTAAAAATCATGCCCCGCAACGAGCGCACGCTCAACTTCCGACCTCCATACGCCATATCCGCCGTCGGCGCACGGCAATAGCGAATGCGCTCACCAAGCGGACTAGCATTCAACACACGCCGCTTCTGCAACGGGGTGACCTCGTCCGGGAACGCCTGCATCAGGAAGCGCTCAATGCCCATCTGGGGTTCGAAATGGGCGTTGCCGTCGTTGTTGCTGTTGTCGGTGGGAGGAGCGACGGCGGTGGGGTTGATGGCGGCGGCGCGTCTCTTGCGGGCGGCTCGAGCGATGCAGGGGGATTCTTGGACTGGAATTTTGGGGGTTGAAGCGCTGAGAAGGGGGGAGGAAAGGGCGCCTGGGGCGTTGGGGGTATTTATGATTGTTTGGGCGCGTGGCGCGGGGGAGGAGTAGATGGTGGGGGGTGGGGCTGGGGGCTGCTGAGCTGGGCTTGGGGGGAGCTGCGCGGGGCGGGTTGGAAGGTCCATGGATGCTTCCTTCGAGGGCTGGGTTGCGGTGCGGAAGGTGTAGGGAGCTCTCAGCTTGGTGGGGTCGAGGAGTATGTCCATGGGTGCCAGTGTGCCCTGGGGAGGAGGATAGATGCTGATATCAGGAAGTGGGCGCTGGGTGGGGACAGCGGGCGGGTAGTTGGCGAGCAGCATGGATCTGATGCTCTGCGCAAGAGAAGAGGTGCTGAGAGCAGGGGCTGGCAGCTGGTTGGGATTGTTGGACAAGTTCCCGGGTCCCGTGGCCCTGGTGCTCTGCGCTGGGAAAGAGTCGACGCTCATATCAGGCTCTGGCAGCTCGCTGGAGTCGCTGGGTGTGCCAGTGGTACTGGGGCTCTGTGCAGGGGAAGAGTCGACGCTGATAGTAGACTCTGGCAGCTCGCTGGAGTCGGAGGGCCGCGAGACCGTGGATACCATGCTGCTGACGCTTGACGGAGAAGAAGAGATGCTGCTAGCAGACTCTGACTGCAGGCTGGAGTCGCCGGGCGACTCCGTGGATATCATGGTGCTGGCGCGTGTAAAAGAAGAGACGTTGGTACCAGTGTCTGACAGCATGCTGTAGTCGGTGGGCGTGCTCATGGATGAAATAGTGCTGGCGCTTGCAGGAGAACGAGGGATGCTGATAGCAGTCTCTGGCAGCTGGCCGGAGTCGGTAGACGAGATTGTGGTGGTCATGGCATTGGTGCTCTCCACAGAGCTGGCGATGCTGATGACGTCCACCTCTTTTTCCACCACCACTATCTCCTCCTCACTATGATCATGACCATTAGAGTCAGGGTTGTCAAAGTATTGAAACTTGACGGGGCCGCTAGAATCAGATATATTTGTTAGTTACCATGCACGCTTTTGGAGTATCCAAGGGCTTGAAGAATCTCTACATACCCCTTGTATCCACGTTTGACATCCTCCTGTGTCCAGTTGTAGCGGGAAATCAGCTCTTCGGTCGAAGGGATTTTGATATCGTCGCTGGCCTCGTCCGCAGACGGACCAGACGCGGACGACTGGGCTTGATATTCTTTCCAGATTCCCTCGGTTTCCACCTCGAGTTCTTCGAGGGTTTTGCTGTTCGCGAACTCGTCGAGGGCTGGCTGGTAGCGGGAGAGGTCCTGGTTGGTGACATGTTAGGGCTAGGTTGCTTTGAGATATTGGAAGCAGAGACTAGATGGGATCGGAGATGGACTTGCCTCTTGATTGTTTGGGTCAGCGTCGAGAGTGCTCAGAAGCACACTGGTCAACTGATCTTCGCTCCACGCGAGCTCAGACATGGTGTTGGTTATCCGACTGGTGGTTGATAAAGATGGTTTTGGACTAAGATACAAACAAAAGCATGACAGGATAGATGAAGCGATTCAAAGAACACAGAGATGGCAGAGAGTAAGAGATGATGATGAAGAAGAGAGTAGACAAGATAAGAACTGAAGTAAACAGGTCTATATACTTCTCACAGTGTCTACGATCACCGTTGCTACCAACGGTCACTGTCAACAGACAGACGCTAAGCCTATTCGAGGCATTGTCTGCTCTGCAGTGACGAACCTAAGAAATATAGTGATGGGATGTCAATTTCTATTGTCTAAAAGTCTCCAGCAGAATCCAGTCGCTGGAAAGCATCATTATTCAGAGTATTTATCAAAAGTGAAGCCGAAGCGGGTAGGGCTAACTTTGTATACAGAAGCTCGGCGGCGGAATAGACCTATACAAGGATGATCGCCCTAACCAGTTTGGATACATGTGTGGCACGGGAGATGCCGGGGGGTTAGGATAATAAGGTATTGTCTATTCTATTGCAAGTTTTGTTTTATTATCTGCTTTCCATTACTTCCCTTTGTTTTTCATCTCTTTTTCTGTCCCTTTGTTGTATCATTTCCTACGCTGGTACTAAACTACGAGAGGCTATAAAGTAGACTACAGGCCTTGACCAGTTCAAAAGTACCATCTATTAACTTCCATGGCATTCTTGAATTTCTATCCTTTCCCATGTCCATACTACAGTTGCAACTTAATCCCCACCCCACAACCAAAACAAAACACATCCAACCCCACCAACAAGACGAATTCTTACTATCAATCACCTTACTCATCCGCCTCAAAGTCTAGCCAGAGCTCAACCTCCGAGTCGGCAATAAGTCGCCGACTTCCTCCTTACCCCTCTTCACTAAGCAGTAGTAGAGAGTAACTAAGTAAGAGAGTATTCGCCTCCCTAGCTGCAAAGCAGTGACCGCGTAGGTAGGATCGTCCCCACCAAGAAGCGCACGAGCATCGACGAAAACTACACCCCCACTTTGATGAGAAGAGATTTTCGCATCCTTGCTGGTTTAGAACGGGGTGAAACCGGGCTAACTGGGGAGTGTATGCATTGGATATTTGACTACGATTCGGGGTGGAGATACATGTTTAGAAGAGGTTTCTGGCTGGGGGAGTATGCATGATATTATGGGAGAATATAGTCTAGGTAGAAGAATGTACATGTTATAGAAACAGTTGGGTATGATGACAGATATTATTAGAATATCACACTGGTACACTCATCACAATACATGAAAAAGAAAAATCATAATAATAACAGTCATGGCACATAATAAACAAATGAGAAAAAAAAAAAACATAGAGATCATCCTATGAATAAACCAATCACTCGAACTTCCCCCGTGATGGAGGGTGGGGTCAGCCCCCCCCTAACGCATGCACCAGTCCTTAGGTCACCTCCAGTCATGAGTCACTTCAGGGCAACTGGTGGAGATTTGTGCATATCCTCCGACGTAATTCTCTTCTCGTCTCTCCGTTCAATTTCATTTTTACTTCTTTCTTTTTTTTTGGTCCTTTTTTGCCCTTTTTGTGCGTCTTTTTTTTTCTGGCATGTTTGTCTTTTCAATTTTTTTCATGTTGTTTTTTTTTTTGGTGGTGGACTTGATAGTACTATAACAACAATGACAATGGTGCACACCTCTAGATCGAGGAAGATAGTCAGGGCAACACGCGGTGGAGACACTGGAGAACCGCCAAGCTCGGCCCCATAAACGGGTCGAACGGGGTAGGGCTCGTGCCGGCGGGAGTCGCGGCGGGCACTAAATCGCGGGATTTAGTAGGGTCTCCATGCGCGGGTCGAGTCGCATGCAAAGCGATGGTGGAAGACGTTTGGGGAAACGATGACAAGACGTGTAATATAAAAAATTGACCCGATCAGCGGTGATATTCGGCCGGGCGATAGATGCGCGAGGACTCCTTTTGTCGCTCGACGCGGTCGGCCACGTCGGCCTCGTAGAGAGAGCCCCGGCTGGGAGAGTCACGAGGCGAATCACGAGGCGATGGGTAGACAATGACCCGGCGTCGCTTGAGCGTGCGAGGCTCCCGCTCAATCACCTCGTGGTGGATCACCGGCGCAGGCTGGGTCGCCGTGCGACGGGGTGGGATGGGGTACGTTGCGTCGTAGCTGATGACGGGTGGCTGGACGGCGGCGGGCAACTCCTGCTCCTGGCGGTGCAGGTGCAGGCCGTCTTCCATGGCCAGCAGCAGACCGCGAACGGCCAGGCAGTTGCGAGGGATCTTGACGAGGGTCGGCTGGTTGACCTCGCGGTCGACGACCGAGTAGGCCTTGCCGTTCTTGCTGTACAGGTACTCGGCGACGTTCAGCGCATACTGGTGGCCGCGATCGCAGAGGGAACCGTTCTCTTCGTGGACCCGCAGCGGGTCCACACACTGGGCGCAATGGTCGGCGTGGCGCTCAAAGGCAAGCATCACGTACTCCTCGTCGGCCTCCAGATCGCGCACGGCCACGACGGGCTCGGCGACGTTTTCGACGATAGGGGCGGGCATGGTGTTAGTGCGGCGCAACTGGGGTCGCCCGCGGGGGTTTCGTCGACGACGGAGGATATCCCGAATGGTCGGGGGGAGCGGAGGCCAAAGGAAACGAGAAAAAGGCTCGAGAGGAGACACTCTGACTGTATGTAAAGAGACTGGAGGGCGGACTTTAAGGCCGTCTCTCACTATAAGGCTTAGGGCAAGACGGGAGATGGTTTTGTTTGTTGGAGTAGGCAGTAACTATTCGTAGTAGTTACTGTGGTGTTGGATTGCAGTTGGCTGGGGCTTGGAAAGTAGGAAGTATGAGAATGTGTTTGAGGATGAGGAGTAAAGAAATGCAGGAGAGAGGGGGGGGGTGAGGAGGAACTATATAGTCTCGAGGCGAAGCCAAAGGCATCCATATTTTGGTACTGGGGGGGGGGGGGGTGAGGAACCTAGACGCGGGAGGAATCAACCACAATGACGGCATTGGTCACAGGAAGCGAGGAATTAAAAAAAAAGATTTATTATTATAATAATAATTATCATTTCATCATAATTATAAAATAAATAAAAAACACCGAAAAGTGTGGGAAAGTGTGGAAAGCGCGCAGATGATCCAAAGGTCAATCTGACAGGAGAAAACCAGTTCCTTACAGTAGTAAACCAGGCTGTGGCTGGTGCATCTCGGCTGTGTCCTCTTTTTCCTCCTTTTCTTGACTTTTTCATTCTCTCTGACCGTCGTTGATGCTCTTCAACAGTCCCTGATTCGTTCTCCTCCTCGAGATGGTCGGTCAACCGCCCCTCTCTCCTGCATGATCCATCCATCCATGTGGTCACTTCTCCCCATGACTGGCTGTGACCCTGGTTTTCTGATCCGATCTAACCCGTTCGAGGTGGTCGGGGTCGCGTCGAGTCATACTTCGCCTTTCGTCTTTGTCCATAGGGAACCTCCACAATAGTCAACCGTGATGAAATCACCGAACTGTGGCTTGAGCTTTCTCGTGTTGCTGAGGCGCAGTCATCTTTCAGCTCCTTTGTTACCTGCCAAGCTGCCCACGAACTGCACCTCCACCGCTCAACACTCGACTCGGAAACCGGTTCCTCACACATTGCCCGGCTTATTACATGCAGCGACTGAAGAGAGATCGTTGGCTATGAATGAATCTCCCATTCTACCTCCATATTGGAGCCGCACGCGCCCAACACCATCGTCCTGAGACGCGACACCTCCTGGTGCCGTCCAGACGGTAACCCATCAAAATTGGACGATCATTCCCTGGTCTCTATTTTTGGGACGGCGGATTTGCAGGAAGAAACAAAATAAAAATAAAACTAAAAATACACGGTGCGGACACGAGGGCGCCCGTGTAGTCGTCAGCACCAGAATGATAAGAGGTTAAGCGCGCGACGGTTACGGCCTAAGGATCAAGAGTCTCAGCCTCATTGACCACTGCCTCAGCCACAGCACGACTGGTTACGAGCGCTTCTTTGCTTATTCCCTCCTTTTCCGACCAGCGTCATGCAGGCGCCGCCGTCATCATCAATCCTGCCACAGTGGCTCGTCGGAGATGCATCACCACGCCTTTCGATTGTCAATTCCAAGCTTCTGATCCCGGCCCGCTGATCGGCCCGCCGTTAACGCGCGCAATACTCTGTCTGTCTTGCATGGGCCTTTCTCTTCCTATCGAGACATGACGGGCGCCTGGAACCGTTTCTTGTACCAGCTTTATCGACGCTCTCGTCCAGTGCTTTGCACTTTCTGCTGGAACTCGCTACCGATACTTTGGTTCTGCCGTGTCTCCAATACGCGCAGGTGTGTAGTACAATACCAACACCACCTCCCCCCCCCCCCACATTTACCTTTTTGGACTCTACCAGGCGCTGTAGGAGGGGGGAGGGGGTGGGCAAAGAGGGGGCAAACGAGAGAAATATCCGGTACCCCACGGGACACTCACCGTCACAGGGTCACAAGAGGCTCCGCCAGAAAGTTGCCACCCGTACAATGGGTCACCACGGGGGATTCGTACGATCTGTGCACGGGCCAAGGCGAGTATGCCTTGAGATTCTGCCTGGCGGAGGTTAATATTAGATCGTGTTCCCCTCTTCTTCACATGGTGGCCTGCAAACCTAGCCGCGATACGCCGCTGCCTGATTCTGGCTGGAATTCCCGGGGTTCTCTAAGTAGGGATGGCGATGAATGGCATTGGACGAACCGTAGGTAATAGTCTGTAGACCGTAGACTTCTGTCCAGGGTATGTTGGTTGAGGAGGAGGATGGGGGGGAGAAGAGGAGGAGGTATTCGTCCAGCTGTGAGTCGTAGGTCAACGATCCACTCGGATGTCTGAAATTTCTGGCATAGAACCGCGGGTTTTTGCATTTCCGAGGTATTGCACCTCTAATCTGTACATATCTCTCTGCCTAGTTCACTTGAGTCCTGCTCCTGGAAGTCGACACCTCTACATATTGCAGTGGTTAAGGAGACGAGGCTGAAGATAATTGGGGAATCAATCAACGCCCTTCCTGCACTGTTGCCTGAGAGCTGAGCTGTTGCCTGAGCAGCTCTCAGGCAACAGTACTATACTTTTCCTTTGTTGCCTTCGGCTCAAAATTCAAAAGGGTGTTTACAGAAGATCATGTTACCATAAACAATGCTGTTGGCTTTAAAAATCGGCTGGCTATACCTGATAAGTTTTACTTTTACTCTGGGAGCAGGAAATCTTGTGTACCTTACTTTTGAATAGTAAGAAGAACACGCTGGCCAGATTGGTCGTATGTTCAGCCCCTAGCACTCTTCCGCATCCAGTCCTCGGATTCGATGAATCGTCCTTGGTCCGCGTAAGTCGAAGCCAGTCTGGCCATGCTGGTCAAAGTGTCAGGATGTTCAAATGCATCCTTTTGCAAATACGTATGAGCAAGGTGTCTGTATAATATCTTGAACTTGTTATGCTTCCATCGCTAGCAAGTAAATCTGCAACCTCGATCAAAGCAACTCACTCCCCGTACTATGTAATCATTTTCCAATATAAGGGCAAATCATGCGGTGGATATCCGCTCCGAGACTCTCACTTAAGCTAATCATCATCTCAAAACTTGATATATCTAGTCAACCATGCTTGTGATCCAGTGACTGAACCGGACATGCTCTCTAAGCCAGTTGGGGATACGTACATACACTGGTCAGGCAGTGGCCCGCCCGCCGCGGCGGTTCACACTATACCGTATCTAAAATAGCGTAGTGGATCTATCAGCACCTGTCCAGTGACATCCACTCCGCATAACTCTTTCCTCATGTCACGAAATGGATAGTATTCAGTTCCTACACCCAAGACTTGGCCTTATCGCAGGACTTCACGCCGGGCTCGACATTGTGAGACAATAATCACAGTGTTTCAAGAATGTAGGGGGTCATTTGGCAAATAGTAGACATTTAGCAGACGATCGATTTGGATAATAACTAGGAACCGTTTTAGAACTTGCAGCTGGACATGTCAGGCTCGGAGTCATCGAAAAAGTTGAAACTAAAACCCGGGCCTTCAACAACTAGGTCCCACGACACCCACAATTTGTTGTTCCAAGTCCGACGGGAATTGAGAACTTTTTCGCTGCCCTCAAATCCTGTCAAGATGCTGAAGCAAATGGCAAGCATCATGAATTAGGAGTCCGTCTGTTTGATATTGGTGGACATTAGGTACTTACGCGCTCTGGGTCACAGGGTCGTAGAATATGTTCTCAAGTGTTCCAGGGTTGATTGCAATCCCCGCCGCAGCAGCCTTTCTGTTGGGTCAAGATCAGCGCTTATTGATCACATAGTGTATTCAGGATTGAATTCTAGAAAGGCATAAGCGTACTCCCATGCGGACTTTACTGCTTCGCGAACTCTGTCGCGTTCCTGTCGCTTGAAGGCCCAAAAGATTGCTTCGGTCAACTGTATGCCCTGGGCATGCTCAATTAGAAGGTATACGGCAAAACCTCCGGGAACAAGCGGGGAATCCTGGCTCTGTTGTTCAATCTTCTGGGAAAGAAGAGTCGGGGTCGAGACGCAGTGATTGGCGGTCAAGATACGCAGGGCATCCAGTTGCTCTTGGCCAGCCATAGGCAAAGTTTGAGTTGCTTGACGGGCTCTTTCAGCATGAATGGCATGTTCAGACCCTTGATAGGGGACCCTTGGGTACATTAGCTTCAGTTCCCCGTTGGTGAGACTCCCATTCATGAGCCGGGAGGATATAAAATACACGCACTGTAAGAAGATTTTGATGATCGCGACATTGTTCCTGTTATTTCTTTGGGAGCAGATGAACGTGCCATAGGCTCCAGAAGCCTTCTGAAATTCCTCGTAGTTAAGCGCGGTCAGTTGGTCGTTCATCTCACCTATCTTACGTTCGAGAATCCAGGTCGAGACATAATTCTCAAAAAAATGAATTTCTTTGCCGATGATGTCGCTGTGGAAGAAGTAGGTTTCCGTCATTTTGATGGAGACAAGAGGGATGGCGCAGATGCGAGAAAGATGTGTGCTAGAGGACAAGTGGATCGTGGGTAGGTATCTTGGGTAGGTAGCAAGTAGTAGGCAGGTGGTAAGTAGTAGGTAGGTAGAGAGTCTAAAGAGGATTATGAAGAGGAAGATGAGGAAAAAACGATGTGAGAATGAAGAGATAGGTAAAGTACTTAGGAAAACGAAGTGAGGTAATACTTCGGTAAGCCCCGAAGACCTTACCAAGCTTAGGATAATCATTCACAGCAAAGTAATCAGTAACCAAGAATTAGTAGATCTTATTTTCAGGTTTTCTGAATAGGACCCAAGAGCTGCAAGAGCCCTCTCATACTCTTCGATTTGTTGATTCATGATGCTCACCGGCTGGTATCTTCCAAATTCCGTGACTATAGCTGAGTATAATTTTTTGCTTATAAGGGTGTTCAGGGAATTTTGCAATAAAGATGAACAAGAAAATTTCGTTCCAAGGTAGCATCAACAGCTTATATCTGGGGCTTATCTTCTATATAAATTCACACTTGATTAGCAAGAATGCTTTTCACGCCTGTCAGCATGCTTTGGCCAAACAGGATGTCAAATAAAGGCTACTTCCTGGGTATATTTAAGGCACGGACAAGCTCCCCAAGATAGGAAGGAACAGTAACCACTTCACTGAGCAAAATTGGGACTACATCTTCTATACGACTGGAACTTCAACACTAGGATAAATCTAGGATCCTCGGACCCAAAGTTCTTATAAATATAAGCGCATTTGGCAAGGGATTACCCTATGTCGGACTCCTAGGTTAGACTTGTTATTTCCCAGAAACAGAGGCTTTTAGGGGGTACTGCCAGTCCCCTGGTGGTATGGCAAGTCCCATGTATAAGTGTTTCTTTCAGGGGCGCCTGTCACGTTCGGTTCGACGGGATCAAAGGAGACGTGTAGAGACAGGCGTCTGCGTGGTTAAAAGAGAATTACGCTGTGATACTATAAAGCCTTCTACGGTATATAGCGAAAAGTGCGCCACCTACAGGCCATCTCTATGAACAAACCTGCTTTGTTTATATATATCTCTACGTACTGTATGTGTTGTATGATATGGTTAAGTGTGTCTACTATGTTATTATCACACCCTCAAATTTAGTGCAGAATATCATCACTGAGCGGATTTGAGACTACTATGCTATCCTAACCTTTTATCACATGTATTATATTCTTTCTGTGTATAGAAGACTAACACCATGAAAACGCGCACCATACCTGAAACAGTGATCGACAGTCACTGCCAGCTGAATACAGTATAGAACGCACTCTACAGCATCCCCTTTCAACAAGTTAGCCTGGCTAGCTCAATCGGCAGAGCGTGAGACTCTTAATCTCAAGGTTGCGGGTTCGACCCCCGCGTTGGGCTTTTCTTTTTGCATTTTTTCTTTCTGGATGGGGGTTTTTTTTGGTTCCAGGTGTGTGGATAATGTGGGTCGAGATGGTTCTGGTATGGGTCCACTCATTGACCAGTTAACCAATGGGTTTCGGGTAGGGTTGTTTCTGTACAACTACCACTAGATATCTGTATACTTACCTGCTTGATTTACTTGGGTTCTTGTGTTAGATGGAGGGGATGCTATTGTACATGTGGATGGGCAAGGCATAATAATTGTCCACCGAGCCGTTTGACACCCATAAAATATTCAAGGAACAGGTTGTTGATACCGTCTCGACAATATGATACATGAAAATCCGCGAGGTTGAACCATCAGAAGGAGACTAGACTCAGACAATGATCTGATCAATCCGCCAAAGCCTGGGCGACTACCTCTCTCCACTCGTCATCTCCGTCGCCGCCCATCATCCACTCCGCCCACGCAATGGACCGCACGAAGAGTAATAGACAGAGGAGGAGCGTTGATTCCAGAGCCGTCTACCACTATCAATCAGTATAAGTATGTTACGGCTGCCCGCCTCAGTCCGACCAGACCGCGGTAGACATGAGATCGATGTATCTATGAATGGACGGATGAGGATACCCAGGTACCATACCATCGACTGAATCCGATCAACGCGTGCCCTTGGCCTGGGTAGGTTGAATGCTGCTCAAAGATCTGAATACTGGGTGTTAGCTTTTATATTACCATCGCCAGTGTTTGGGCAACTTCTATGCGACGCAAAACAGGGTGGGAGGTCTTACGACGGCAGGTAAAGTTGATACACTTGTTGCAATTCCCCTTGCAGGGAAATTGGCCGTCACAGATCTGACCGCAGGTGTCGGCGTTGAGTTCGCGGAAAGCTTTGTCGAGGAGACTGGTGTCTTGGAGGGGTGCTGCTACTGCCGCTGCTGTGGTGGAGAGAATGACCACGGAGGAGATGGAGACGGAGAGGATGGTGGAGGCCTTCATTGTGTCTGCTGTCCTTTTTTTTTTTTCTTTTCTTTATTCCTTTCTTTTTTTTCTATTTTTCTTCAGCTGGGAAGAGCGAGAGTGGAAAAGGTCAGTGGTGAATGAGGAGAAAATGATGCTACACGGGTGTTTATAAGAAAATCGCTGATGGTTACACGGCTCGGTGAATTGGGCTTCTTTGTTTTGCCTCTCCCCGGTTACTTGCATCTCGGAAATTGAATCTGCGCCCAGGTTAGTTTGTTTTCGTCCAACAAAACCTTCCAAGGACAGGGGGGAAATTGTTGAATACGCGAATCTTTGTCCCAAGGGTTCATACTAGGCCTATTGACCGTCGTCTTTGCTTTCGAACATTATCACTTATTAAGCTCGTGGATACCTAAATAGACGAAGTAATTACGACAGAAGCTCATTATACAGGAATCCGATGTCAAGGCTTCTCTGACACATGGACGACAATCTTTCCCCTCGCTCTCTTTGAACGCAGCTTTTCGAACGCCTGGACCGCATCCTCGAAATCATACACACTATCGAGAATCACCTTCACCTTCCCCTGCTGGATCCATTCGCCCACCTGAACCAGATCCTCTTTCTTGTTCTTAAACAGCAGGATAACGTACTTTCGCTTCCCCCCGCCCAAAAAGCTAGGCCAAGCCATCCGGTTCACGAACGTCAGCATCGACTCCGCACCCACCTGAGCAAACGCCTTCCCTGGCAGTAAGAATGCGTCGCACTCGTGGTACAGCTCACCGGGCAACCCGATATGATCGACCACGTGGGAAAACACCTGACCCTTCTCCCGGAGCACATGCAATACATTTTCCGTCGTATAGTCGATCACCTCATCCGCGCCCAGCTCCTTGCACAGCTCGACATTGCGCGTCGAACACGTCGTCGTCACATGGCAGCCCAGCTGCTTCGCAATCTGGATCGCGAACATGCCGCAGCCGCCTGAACCCCCGTTGATAAACACCTTGTCCCCGGACTGCACGTAAGGCGCCACCGCCTGGTACGCCGTCTGGCCCGCGACGCCCACCGTCGCCGCCAGATCCGGATCTAGTCCCTCCGGCAAGGCCGCCGTGACGCTCGCGTCGCACACGAGGTATTCGCCAAGAGACCCGAACTGCACCGGCCGGCCCATGGTCCCGTACACGAGTTGGCCATCCTCGAGGCCCTTCACGGACGGGCCGGTGATCTCCACGCGGCCGCAAAAGTCCATCCCGGGGGTCGCCGGCGTCCCGGTCAGTACTTTGGTCAGGGCGCCCATCTCGGGCACTTTGTAGTCGGCTGGATTGATTGACGCTGAGATCACCCGGACGAGCACGTCGTTGGCGCGGAGGCTGGTGGGTTTGCGCGCTGCTTGGTCTAGGACGAGGTTCTTCTCTAGGCCGCCGGCTGTGCTGCTGTACAGCCAGGCTTTCATGGTGGGAGGAGTTGAATCGGGTGGCATGATGGTGGATAATTGGAAGCTAGTCTGTTTGATGTCTCTTTGCGCAGTCAAATATTTGTTGCCTTTTTGTTGTTTCCCCTTTGTTGTGACTTCCGCGTATTGCCTGGACGAGAGGCGATAAGTATAGCTGTGGGAGGTAACCGCGGGGACGGAGGCAGGAAAATGTGAATTTCGTTCAATACAACTATGTCCGCTTGAGCTTCTCAATCGCCGTTTGCTGTCGTTGCACTAGCCGTCTGAACACTGATGATGATGCGCCAACAAGCGGGTCTGAAGTGGAGCAGGAGATTGGGAACAGCTGTTGTCCTCTGCTTCCAGTTAGTGTCGTCGGGCGAAGTGCGACAGATGACATCATCACCCCCCTGGCGCTGTTTTGACTGTTTGTCCCCACGGCGTACATCGAGATATCTTGGCCTCGTCAACTCTTCGCCCTCAAGTCTCCCTGCCTCCCTGACCGTCTTTCTTCCACGGGTTCACCATGAATTCAGTTGCTTTTTAGTCTTACCTTTATTCTACATTTGCATACTGTCCCTCGTTTCCTATCCCTTACGCCTGTTCTCCCCAGCCTTCGATTTTTTGGCTCGGTTTCTCTTCGTGCATAGTATACACCCCAACTTCTCCCTTCCCCGTCAAGGGGATGCCCATCGTTGAGCTGCCATTGTCAGCTACAACCTATTCACAATGCCTTTAAATATGGTCGCGTTGAGTGTGGCCCTCACGCCAACTGTCGTATCGACCTTCTTCTCTCATGTGGGTTGCCATTTGCTCGGCCTAAATAGCCTCGGCTGGCGGTGACGCTCCCGATCCCCGCTGACAACACATGTCCCCAGTACATCCATCGCAAGTCGCACCACCACACCCCTTCTGTTCATATTTCCTACGATGAAGGCATTCGGATTATCCGCGAGTTCCTGGTCTATTCCTCCAAACACACCATCGAGGACCTTCAGCGCTTCTGCTCCCAGCGCGTCCCCTCGCCCTATTGGGTCAAGACCGAACGGCTCTCCATTCCGGACAAGTTTCTGTCGACGGCCGCCACCGCGATTATTGATGAGCTCGGTCCCAGAGGCATCGCCCGCGTCGGGGGAAAGGAATGGTGGCAGTGGCGCGGGCCCTCGGAGGACCTGATGTCGGAGTGGATCGAGATGCGCAATGACTACAACGGCAGGACGGAGGGAAATGGTCGCCATCCCAGCGAAAAGCGCATCATGTTGTATCTGCACGGTGGCGCGTATTTTTTCGGGAGTCCGGACTCCCATCGGTACCAGATACAGCGCCACGCTAGAAAGCTGCAGGGCCGGATCTTCACACGGTAAGAAACCCCGCCTTGCTTACGTTGGGCGATTGTACTGATTGGATGTGCGCAGTGAGTTGGCAATTGCTCATCTCTGTCATTTTGGCGAGTAATGCAAGGGGACGAAACTGACATACTATGTAGCACAATATCGCCTGGCCCCGCAATTTCCCTTCCCGTGCGCTCTGCAGGATTGCTTAGCTGCTTATCTCTACCTCCTGGATACGTATAAAGCAAAAGAGATTATCTTTGCTGGAGATTCTGCAGGAGGTGGTCTTGCGTTGTCGTAAGTTAACCCTTCGATACGGTCGATGGTCAACTAATCAGTCGAAGGCTGCTCGTCATCATTCGGGACCAGGGATTGCCTTTGCCCGCAGGGGCAATCTTGTTATCACCATGGGTTGACCTCACCCATTCCTTTCCTAGTATTGTGAAGGAAAACCCCGGCGACTATATCCCCCGCTATGGCTTTAGGCACAAACCATCCGTTGCTTGGCCCCCACCTAATTCCGACGAGATACTGGCTATCCGGAAAGGGGTTAGCAAGTTGCCGGTCTCTGGGGAGGGTGAGAGGCAGGGTCAGAGCGACGCCACCGGTGACCAATCTTCGGAGCTGCCCAGTGGGGAAAAGTGCATGTTCGATGAACCGGAGAGTATCAAAGTCCCCATTGATGGCAAGGTCTACGAGGTCAAAGATCAGGTCCACACATACGCGCCAAATGAACTCTTAGGCCACCCGCTTGTGTCGCCCGCTATGCAGGCCTCCCTCGGCGGTCTGCCCCCACTCCAGATTCTGATTGGCGGGGGCGAAAAGCTACGGGACGAGCAGATCTACCTCGCCCATAAAGCCGCGGATCCAGCGGCTTACCCCCCGAGTGATGCCTGCCTGGATGAGCACGACCCTAACCGGGAAAAGCTCCATAAGTACCCGGGCACATATGTGCAGCTTCAGGTCTGGGATGACCTCTGCCATGTGGCGACGACGTTGAGTTTCACACGTCCCGCCAAATATATGTTCCGTTCGATCGCCCAGTTTGGAGCGTGGGCGCTGGCTTGCGCTCAAGAGTCCGAGATTGACATCCTCGATGATCACGAGGTTTCTCCTGTGTCCTCTACCAACTCAGTCGATCAACAGACCCCATCACGCCAAGGAACCGGCATGAAGAGGACCAACACGCTGCCGGTGTCCTCGGTCGGCAAAGCTGGGGACCCACTACCGGCCTTCAAAGACCATATGATACGCCAGCGGGTGGACAAGAGAGGCAATATCTACCCCCTCGACCCCCCGTCTTCGTTTGAAGCTCTTCAGATGCACAAATCGCAGATCGGCACGTTCAACCCTGAACTCGTCAAGCATTGGATTGCGGAAAAGCTGGAGTGGGACAAGAAGTATGCCAAAGAAAAGCGCCAGGCCCAAGAGCAACAAGCCACAGAGATGGCCTCGTCTCTCGGCGGATTCAAGGGAGAGCGACCTCCAGCGTGCTCCTTGGCAGCAAGAAAGGAAGCCTCGGAGGTCTTACCTACCCTCAACCCTCGCAAGAGCTACCCGATGATGATGTGGAGCAACTGGGCCAGCAAGCACGACGAAAGGACTATAGAACGGGGCAACCAGAAGGACGGTCGCTCGAGACGAACGAGCGTTGACGCCGGACGAGCGGGAGCGTCCATCAAAGGCTCCCGTCCCACATCATCCGCGGTCACAAACCCCGAAAAGGCCGTCCAGAGCAACACACAGCCCCAGAACATCCCACAACGTCTCAACGGCGAGGCCAGCTCCTCGCATCGCCGAGATTTCAGTAACGACAAGCCGCCGAACAGCCCCCTGATCGTGCTGCCAGCATACGAAGACGACAAAAAGTTCTCGGAAGAGAACTCCAGCACGAGAGCCCTATTCCACGCCCCCGGAGTCCTCCCCTGCCAGCACCGACCTACATCTTACGGCGGCTCAGGCACAATCCGCAGTGGCATCACCGCCACCGACATGGCGGACGACACCAGCACCATCGACGACCCGTCCCTAGCCGTCACTGGAACCGGCGTGGACGCAGCAAGCACGCGCGCTGTGCTCCACGCCAAGGGCGTCATCGGAGTCTTGGGTGACGGCGATTCCGCCCGCCACTCGGTCGATGCCCTCTCCGTGCCGCGCAGCTCAGCCGATCTCGACACTTTGTCTACATCCGCTGCACGGACCGCGACTGACGGAGTCACGCCTCCTGCACGGCCGGATATGCCTGAGCGGGAGGTGTTCAAGACCGCCAACGAGTACGTGACTCACTGATATATATATACAACAGTCTTTTCTTTACTCATCTACTGATGACTTGACATTCGTTCAATCTAATACCATGTACTCACGCCTCTCTTTTTGCTCCTTTTTGTTGTCTGCCCTTGCCATTTTTGATATTATCACTATATTTAGGGCACAGCATTGAAGCAGCCCCCTTTTTCTTGTCTATAGTTTCTATCTGTTTTAAATACCCCTTATCAGCCCTAGCCCCTGTGGACACCATTCATTCATTCAGTATATCCATCCATTTGATGACATTTGGAAATGAACTCGGCTAAAGATACCCTACACATACCCACATGTACACATACATATATACCCAATTTACTACTAAGCCACTTACCCTTGGCTGATATCCATAAAATTGAACATACTACATGTCCTAACAACACTATCCCACGATCCACCAACGTTAACACACCATTGTAACAATCAAATAAACAGAAACACAAATCAATTGCCCAACTAAATAACCAACCAACTAACCAACTAATCAAAATCAACTGCTAATCCACCCTCGCGATAAAACACAAACCATTCGTCCTCCCTTAGTGCCCCATACGGCTCCTCCCTGTCCAATAGCTTGCTCGTCATCTCTCCCCCATGTATGTTATAGATAGGATCAGTTGTGGACTCCGCCCGCTTACATGCCCATATTATGAGCAGGTCGTTGGATATTAGGCATAGTGCTGGATTGGGGTCCCGGGGCGATGGCGCTAGATTGAGGCTTTGGGGGGAAGAACGGAGGAGGAGGCGGTGGCGGAGGAGGGGGTGGTGGTGGTGGAGGTGGAGGTGGAGGTGGAGGAGGCAGCGGAGGCAGTGGAGGCAATGGAGGGAGCGGCGGCGGCGGCGGCGGCGGCGGAGGAGGAGGAGGGGGCGGAGGTGGAGGCGGGAACAGAGGAGGAGGAGGAGGCGGAGGCGGCGGCGGGAACAAAGGAGGAGGAGGCGGCGGCGGAGGGGGTGGAGGAGGCGGGAAAAGCGGAGGAGGCGGAGGCGGGAAAAAAGGAGGAGGCGGAGGTGGAGGCGGGAAGAGGGGTGGGGGCGGAAGCGGAGGTGGGAATAGCGGCGGCGGCGGAGGCGGGGGGAATAGCGGGGGTGGAGGTGGTGGAGGGGGCGGGATGGGGAACGGTAGAGGGGGAAATTGTCTCTTTGGTTGGATGGGGTGCTCGAGGTGGTTGCGGTTGTGGTTGATACGGGGGTTGTGTGCGAGGTTGTTGTTGTTGTTGTCCTTGTTGGGGTCGATAATGGGGTGGGCGAAGGCGAGACACAGGATTGTGCTCAGGAAGAGGAGGATGATAGGGATTTGCATATTGGCGGGTTTCTGCCTTTTCTTCTATTCCTTCTTGTTGGATTTCCCCAAAGGCCTTGATTTTGCGGTGGGCGGCCTTGTGTGTTGGGCGATGAGGCTTGGTCTGACCCCAATTCAGTGAGTCGAGTCTATGTTGTGCTTTTATAGTGAACCTGATGAGTGTCTAGCCTTTGTATTTCCATGTGAAGGTCTATGGTGACTCAATATCGGATCTAGATGCGAAGAATCCTGTCATAGACCGTATGCAGTGCGCCGATTCTTCTACTTCCGGCGAGTCATCTGTATCGAGTCGGGATAGGGGACAAGGGGGCAGACAAAACCGAGGAGAACCACGGAAGTATGGGGCCACAATGACCGAGATCGAGGCTTCGTAACACTGGTAGCATGGACGTGTAGAACGGTAGTTCAGTAGGCGCGTTCCACACGGCGTGATGCTTTCCGTGAAAATCATAGTAGGGTCAAGTACCCGATGTCACAGGTCCTGGGGTGTTAAGCACGTATGCGGGCTTAATATACAACAGAAGCAAAAGGCTATATCTACGCGTAGGGGAAGGGGAAAAGGAAGAAGCGTAGATTCCTCTACTTGATGGTCTCTGGCTCAAAATATAGTGTCATAAGGCCTCCAAAAGGTAGGCGCCATATGAGGGTCGTTATATCAGACGACTAGGGTGGTCTAACAACGACGGAAGTACTCGTTCGAGCGGACATTATGGCAGCCTGTGATGCCTCAAGGCCCTATGTTGCAATTCCATTGCTTCACTATGCACCGAAAAGACCCGAAACAAAAGAACCGACGGCGCAACACCGGCTAGACAGTTACAGTACCACAGTATGCTGTAACCAAAGACGCGCCCATCAAGCGAATAAGAGATAACGGCAAGGGCTTGCATGCCCCATCCTCCTCTCGTTGGGCCATCCCACGGAGACAGATTCTGAGGCGCTTGCACCTTCATTCCAGATGAGACAGGCATCATGATATTCAAGCTTGCCACATACAAGGATCGCAAATCTCGACGTCTCGACCCGGCGCTCGACGATGGTGAGACCAATGTGGAGGGCCAGAAAGACGAAAGTGCTTTAGGGAACGAGCCCCGCAGTGCATCTGTTGTCACAGAAGCAGCGATGATATGGACTTCTTTGATTATTGCGAACGTGTTGCTTCTAGGGATTCATATCGGGTTGCTGTTGACCTCACGCTGTTCCGCTCCGGCCAAGCGGAATGCAGTTATGGGAGAGGTGTCGAACTGGTGTAAGCCCAACAGCTGGATAGAAAATTCGGCATTATCTGATCCATTGTATGGCTGCCAGCGCCCGTCTCTGACGAAATCGACATCCCTATACGCCCGAAGATAAGCGGCAGAGCTTTATTTCCAAGCCCGGATGAGTTGAACACACAAGAGAGAACCGGATCAGAAGACAACGCGGCATGGGATTACTTTGACAACGTCAGGACGCATGTCGCGACTCGTGCGGATATCCTCAAACTGGGCAAGGATCCAGATAAGATAGCCCGTTTTGAAGACTGGTACTGGGGTTTGGGGGACGACGCCTACATGTTTCAGCTAGACGTCATGCATGTAAGTCCACTACCACAATTCACAATCTGGAGTCAAGATTCCAACACTCCTAGCAAATCTACTGCCTGAATCTCCTCCGTCAAGCCGCATTTGGCAAAAGGGAAAATGAAACCCACAGCAGCATGTGGTGGACTCGCCTCAGTAGCTGCGTCGATAGTTTGTTGCAAAATCTCCAGTGTCATGCAACCACCGAGGCCTTGTCCATGGTGTGGATGGAAGGGGACGAAACGCCGTCGCCTGATCTCAACGTAAATGGGAAATGTCGCGACTTTGAGGTCATCCGTGAATGGGACGAGATGCATGCGGTTGATAGTGATATGTTTGGGAAGATGCCTGTTCCGAAAGATGCTTTTTTGTGGCCGAACCCAATTCGTCGAGCGACATTTGATGGGATATGAACGGCAGAGACAATGAAGAAGAAATTGTAGGTTGAGGACGAATACTTGGACATAAAGTCAGTCTGTATACTGTGTACCGGGTAATATGTTGGGACTGTGGAAGGAGACGTGTAGGTTAGGTAATGTCGCTCTAGAAATAGGGTGACTTACGAAGCACAAAAGTGTCCTGATATCTTTTGTAGCTGAGTGGCGATTTTTGCAACAGGTGATGAGAAGATCGAACTTTGTTCCTCGCCCCCAGAACTATTGAGCCTTCACCTTCATCATCGCCCCCGAAACCAAAGCATAGAAACACCCTCCCATCAAAAAAGGCAACCCAAACCAGCTCTCTCCCCAATGCAGCCCCACACGAAACGCATAAGCCAACAATGGACCCGCGATGACCATCCCCACGGAGCTAGCCGCCGCCGCCGAGCTGTACAATGTCCCCACATGGTCCGGTCTGACGAGTGTGGTCACGAAACTGCGACAGGTCACTGAGAAGGCGGCGCCGAGGGACAGCAGCACAATACCGAGGATGAGTACTGCGCGAGATGACGCTGTAGCAATAGTGACGAGACCAAGGGCGGAGACTGCGCTGGTAACTTGGGAGAGGCGGAGGTCTATAATGTTATTAGGGAGGTGGAGGGTCTTACTGAGGAGGGAAGAGATGGCCGGCATTAGGAGGAGGAAGCTTGCTAGGGTGATTAGACCACGGAGGGAGATGAGAAGGCTGGACTAGTGTTTTAATCGCGTTAGCGTTTTCAGCTTTTGGAGGACAGAGGGCGGCGGAATATGCATACGTTGCCGATACTCCAATGGAACCGCTTCGACGTATACTGTAGTAGCAGACTCGTTGACTGTTTGCTGAAGCTCGTGATAAACAGCGCAAAGAGACAGATGGTCACGCCTGGATTGTCTGTGATGAACCGGGTTGATTTGTGGAGGTCTCGCAATTTGTCTTTGATATATTGCCTCCGAGAGTTCTTTCCAGCTATTGTCGTCTCCGTCTGCGTTGCGTCTTCGTCGGGATCCGTCGCTGAGACAGCCTTTGATCTGGCGTCGGTCAAAGTCTCCGGTATGAGGAATGCACTAAGCGACCCTAGAATGGAAACCCCCAGGCCTAACATGAACGGTGGCCATGGATTACGGGCCATGAGGTATGCGCTGATGGGGGTGGCTAGCACTTCGGATAGAATGACCGCGCTTGAGAGGCGGAAGAGGGCAGTGGCCCTAGAATTGAGTGAGCAAGAGATCAAGCCCACTAACATTTTGTGCATACATCTCTTCTCTGGGAAACACATCCGCTACCATAACCAGGGAAATCGACGAGAGCGCCATGTCGCCGCCGCCAATAAGCCTCCACATCCCTGACAGCCAGACCAGTCGCAGGGGGAGGAGGGTAGAGTATAAGCCTGTATCAGTATAAGTTATGGGGTTTGAAGTGCACCGGGTGATACTACTTACACACCACACGCACCCAAATCTCCCCCAGCATGATGCCCAATATCCCCAAGAGGAGAACCGGTTTGCGCCCCCAACGGTCCGCCGCCACACCGTAGGGGATGGCCAGAAGGATACCTTGGTCAATGTTATTCTCAGCGCGTAGTGGCAGGGTTTAAAAAAAAACAACGATATGCTCATACCAGGTAACACATCACTCGTCTCCTTCCACCCATTCACCAGCGCCAGCTCACTCTGCACCGGCTCGGATTTACAGATGGCCTCCGTGGGAATTGTGTCGGAGGATTTTCCCAGAGTTGCCATGTAGTTCCGGCAGATGATATCCTGAAAAATCTCTGTCTGGGGTGCGGTGGTCAGATAGAAGCCGAAATCACAGGCGAGGACGAGCGTGGACGCTGCAATCATGACAATTCGTTTCCGGGAGGCTGATGCCAGTGGATCTGAGACGTGATCGGTACCGAGTAGAGGGGAGTGTTCATTGTGAGTATCGGGGGCACTCATCGTGTTAATTGTTCGTTTGATTGGATTGATAGGATGATGTGGAGGAAAGACGAGCTGTTATGGCCCAAGTCTTTCCATCTGACCGGTAGTATTCAGGCCCCCGAAGTACCTTAGCGTACCGGGTAGGCAAGGGGCTCGTGCCCAACAACAACCGGGACACGGTGGCGGTTCTCAACCCTTACAAACGTACGAGGCATGATGCAATGGTTTCTTTTCTTTCTTCTCTTTTATTTCTGAATTCTAGACTATAAATCTAAATGAATTAATCAAAGTTCCTAGCTCAATATCGTTCCTCATTTCTGCTTTTTTTGATATTTTAAGTTTTGCATATTTTTGTATCAAACAGAAATCACGACAAGATTACCAGGTCATATTTCTGCCGCCGCTTTGTAACCACTTGACGGATCCACCGTGGCTAGTTTGTAAATTGGATACTGGTTGTACTAGTGTCACTAACAAGCTTACTCCAACCCTAGATTACGATGAGAGTGGTCGGGGTTATGGAACTACCAACTTAGCGACACCAACCCCAGCAGATGCGTCACAGCCGGGCGGAACAGAGGGCCAATGAAGCCTGGAAAACGAGGACACAATCAGACAAGGATTAGAAAGATAGATTAGGCTTATTACCTGAGTCGTGTAATATATTTTACTAGCGACTCCGCATTTTCAATATAACTCAAGATGGGAGAACAATGCCAGTGAGAACAATTGCCAACGATCGTCACGTGATCATTTATCGATGGCTTCTAACTGTGTATGTGCCTGCTAGTTCGTTGAGAAAATATATAGTTTTCGCCTTGTATAATCCGCATGGTTGACAAATGATCCTTATTGAAATTGTTCTGGTGATACTTCACCCAGAAGGGATCATCGAACTAGTGTAGCGTTCGTGGTGGATTCAAACGGATGATCGCGTCGGCCCGCATATCCACACAGATCGGCCCCGAGTCCGCAGTAGGGCAGATCTTTCGGGGCAGCATATCTAGTCCGTAGGGGGTCCAAAATGCCTTGCCCTCAAACCTCTAACATATTATATATTCCCGTCATAGTTAAGTTCTTCCTATATAATTCATATGTCTCTACAAGCGCGGATGGCATCACAAACTCGATTCAGTACCAACATGACTACTACCTACACATATATAACCAGCGTAGGATGTAACAAAGCAGGTTGGTCTTGCACGTCCAGGATAATAGATATGGACCACAATCTTGTCACTCGTCTCTCATCTCGCCTTCTCTTCCCAAATAATCCTAAACCCATCCCAGCAGGACCCAAGATCTTCTCGAGACAACTAGACAATCAACATCATTGACATCCTTGCCATATGATATTCTACTTGCCACACGAGGCTTCCGGAGACCACCACAACGCTATCTCTTGCGGGAGGTGTGGTAATGCAGACTGCTTTCCAAGCGATCAGAGGCCAATAACCGAGTCCCAGAGTCACTTCCTCCAATTGAATGGGATGTGCTCACTGTAGATCAGTCAGCAGTTACGTGTATGTTATACTGTGAACAAACGACAGAGAAGATCTAATACCGCTTACCGCAAGCCCAGCCATGTGAGGCCTCGCCCAGACCACAGATGTATAGACTACCCTGCTCGTTGGGTTGCATTGCCTGTAGGCTTTTGTTTGCGATACGCATCCTAGACGCAGTGCGGGGCAGATGCTGGAGCATATCCTAGACTTGACCAGAAACTACATTGGGAAAGAGTCATGTCTCCATTCTGTCTGATTAGGTGGAGGCAATGAGGGGAAGGCATTGGCGCTATAGGCTCAAGAATGTAGAAACAAGGTATACGTCGATGGGAAGCCCCGCGTCAGGTTCTGGTCGAGAAACCAAAGCTAGGAAAAGCAGATATTTAAAGCCACGGCAGACATATCACTCTTCACATAAACAATATCTACTGGTTTCTCTCGTTTGTTGAAACCCATTTTCGCTTCCTCCATGCTTCCTAAACAACTCTTGCATAAGTGCAGCATGAGTGAGAAGGTATGTTATACTCTATAAAACCCTTTCCTTGTTCCATAAAGATGAAAGAATGCTGAGTGGCACCTATCTAGAAGAAAGCACCGGTGGAGAGCAATGGCTGTCACGACACGGACTCAGCCAGCAACGCTTCATATGACAGTCTTCCCATGCAGGACTTCAATGAACAAGATGTGCCGTTCCTAGGCCCGATGAGACAATAAAACCAAGTCCAGAAAGGGAATGATCCTTTTATGGCTGGCAAACGCACTGCTTCTCGATACCTGCGTTGGCCTGGTCATATTATTTGCTCTTCGGACGCCTTCAGAAGCGCGATGCGATCGAGTTCTTTCCCCGTACTGTGCGGATCTCTGTCCCTTTCACGCAGATAGGGCATTTGCTCCATATGAACAGTGGCTGACTTGTACGCTCGAACAGCCCCAGCACTGGTTGCTGTAGAGTACGAAATATACCATTTTCTGAACAACTTCTCGCAGCCGTCCATCTACCGGGGCCCCCCAACCCCCGAGAGAGAGGCTGCCTGGGAAGAGCTCACACATGGTAATTATTCCCCTGCAACACAGGTGTGAAAATGAGCTGGCTGACTCAAAGTCCTCACATACACAGCTCCGGCGGTCAATGTGTTCATGGATAAGCTTCCCCTGCTCAACAAATCGGCCGAAGTCGACTGGGTCCGGTCACCCGAGGAGGCAGGGGGTGGTGCGGCAGCGCTGTTAGAAGTGGTGCACCAGCTGCACTGTTTGGTATGCTATTAGACATGTTCTCTTCTCCGTTCATATAGAGGGTTATTATTGGCTGTGTCTACGTCTATAGAGTATGCTACGCAAATGGTCGTACCGTGAATGGTACGAAGAAGCGCCCCTCGAGTTTGACGGATCCAAAGATCTTATGTGGGATCATATTGGTATGACCAGCCTGGCCAGTCAATCATGATGAAAGAGTGTATTGCTAATGTTATGCACCGCTGTGCTAGATCACTGCATCGAGATCCTCCGCGTGCACCTGATGTGTACAAGCGATGTGACACCATTCCTGGCTATTCGAGATGAGACTGCACCCATTGGGGAGCGGGCTGACTTTAAATTCATGCACAAGTGCCGCAATTTGTCGAAGCTCAAGGATTGGATGTGGGATAACATGGCGTTGCCCTAAAGCACTTTCATTACGTGCTATCTCATGCATTTCGGATCTCTTCCCTGATACTTTGGTGGGGAAATGATACGTGCTGGTACTTGAGTAGTTAAGAGTTATGATAAGTGAACGCCACAAGTGTATTTTGGTTTGGTATCACATGCCCATGCAGAGTTAAATCCATGTTTTCTGGCTCTTAGGCTCTCGATAACACCAGAGACTTTCTCATCCGATTTGGCAGTTGATAGATTAGTTGCAGATTCTTCTGAAAAGGGTAGTTGCCATATAGCGCGGGAAGGGATACCTAATATCCCTATTTACTCGAGCGCTTGACAACAGATCATGAGGAAAGAATGTGGTATGTGTTAAGCGAGATCAGGCCGATGGATTGAACAAGCATCTTGATAGTAACGTTCAGCGTCAAGATTTCGGAGGTGATGACCTTACTGTCTTTTGCCCGCAGGCTCAAGGAAAGAACTTGTTGAATATGGGACAGGGGTCTAGCAAACAAGCACTAAGATGGCAAGACCATGTTAAGCTTCCCCGAGCTCGACCAACGATCCGACTCGGTAACTGTGTCTAGGATACCTCTAGGCCTTGTACGGATTACAGAGGGGCCATACTACTCCACACACAAAGGATACCCTGCATTTTTGTAAGCCGTTCCGTTTCTCTTGCGCCACCATCGATAAGAAACGCAGCCCCCAACTGCAACTAACCGCGCCGATGTTACATCGCTTGGAAACACCTCCAAATATAGTCCGGGAGGAGGATTTCTCAAATGGGGAAATTCTAAATGTTGTTTGAACAGCCTGAACTTCCTGACAGCTGGACGGATGCCGCAGGACATATGCGGAAATGGGATTGATGAGTCGATGGATTGATCGGACCCCACCAGTCGATAATCAGAAAGGACTCAGGAGCGTGCTTCTATTCAAGATGAGGAACTAGATACAGAGCCGTCGCTGAGTCTTAGATTATTTCTAGCGTGTGACTGTCATGATGACCGTGGTCAGGTGCAGCCTGTAATTTCTTTTCCCCTCCTCCTCCCATCATACCTCTTCGTTATTCCTTCCTTTCTGTCAGATGGACTTCTTCTTCCTTTTTTTTTTTTTTTTTTTCGCCTTTTGGGAAGAAAGAAAAACATTCTAGAACAGGGAGAGCAAGCATGTCAGCAATGTGCTATGCTGGCAGTGACCATCAGTTTGGCCCTCGTGTTGCCATCAACTGTCGCAACTTTGATTTCACTCTTCTTTTCGAGGATGCCGTGCTCACCATCTTACCCGCTGGATTGTTCGTCATTTTCTTCCTGGCCCGGCTGGGAATTCTACGAAGGAATCCGGTGAAAGTGATATCTTACAAATTGGCGGCGTATAAAGTGGTAAGGGCAACATCTCTCGTCAAACGGCGAGTGCTAATCGTAGGTAATGACGAGGAAAAAAGGTACTATTAACGACACTCTTTGTGTTGCTTGTGGTCTATACGGTCCTACGGATTAGAACATCAGTCTTGCATACTCCGTTGTCACTAACATCCGACATCCTCAATATCGTTGTCGCCGCCGGCGCAGTAGCCCTCTCTTTCCTAGAAGATCAACGTTCGACCCGGCCATCGGACCTCCTCGTCATCTATTTTTCATTGCTGTCCCTACTGTGGGTCCCGCGACTACGCTCCCTGTGGTTGATATCGGCGTCAGGTCCCTGCAGGGTCTTGTGGACAACAATCTACGTCGTCGCTGTCCTAATTGCCTTCCTCGAATCGACTAGAAAGGTCAAAACCTTACACCCTTCCTACAAGCATGTCACAGTGGAGCAGGCCAGTGGGTTTTGGTCTCGAAGTGTCTTTAAATGGGTTGTGCCCTCCATCCGGCTGGGTTACTCTACTATCCTCTCTGTCGGAGACATGCCCAAGGTCGACGAGAGCCTGCAAGGTGACGTGGCGCGTGAAAAACTAGACCGAGCCTGGGCGCAATCAGAAGGGAAATATCGTCTCATCAAAGCCGTCTTCCGCGCATACCGTGGGACTGCTCTTTCGGGGATTATTCCTCGTCTCATCCTCGCTGGATTCACCTTTTGCCAACCGTTCCTTATCACTTCGACTGTGGATTACTTCGCGGGAGAAGCGGAGAATAAGCCGAAAGAATACGGACGGGCACTGGTTGGGGCTTTTCTGCTCATTTATCTGGGGATTGCAGTATGCCTATAAACTTACTATGAAACCCGTGGATTAAACTACAATGTTCTCGGGGTGTTGGGTTCGCGTATACTGACGATGTCTAGATATCGACGTCCATATACTGGCGCCAAACATACCGACTGGGCACAATGCTGCGAGGAGGCCTCATCTCGTGCCTCTACGGCAAAACTACCGTCCTGGCACAGGAGGATGTGAAAGGAAATGCAGCCCTCACACTTATGGGAACGGACGTGGAACGCATCGTTGCCAGTTCCAGGTCGTTGCATGAAATCTGGGCCTCGATCTTGGAAGTCATTGTGGCCGTCTATCTTTTGCAACGTCAAGTCTTTCTGGCTTGCCTTGTTCCTGCAGTCATTTGCTTGGGTGAGCTTAGTCTTCCACAAGATGATCCTTTATTCATTTGTAGGTAAAAGGTACTGACATGCTTTAGCATGCGTGTTTGGTGTAGGCCCGATATCCGCGCGGAGCGCACCAGCGCAGCGAGCTTGGGTCGAGAGAGTCGAGAAGCGGGTTGCTCTTACGTCCACATTACTGAGAGACATGAAGTCTGTCAAAATGCTGGGTCTGACTGACGTGTTTTTTGGGCTGGTGACCAAGTTGCGTGTGGCAGAACTGGAGACATCTTCGCGGTTCCGCAAGCTGCTAATCTATACAGTACTACTATGTATGCAGACTTTATGACGGCTGGTTGATTGAAGATGTGCTGACTCACAATAGCAAATGTACCAAGGGACGTGGCCCCGTACATGACATTCGCTGTTTATGCAATCATCTCCGTGGTCCGGCATAATCCGTCCCTCATGGCGTCTCAGGCTTTCACTTCACTCTCTTTAATCACGTTGTTGACTATGCCTCTGTTGGATTTTGTGCAAGCAGTCCCAGCATTGATTCAGTGCGTCGGTTGTTTTGAAAGAATCGAGGAGTATCTGGAGAGATCGCCGATTACATACCCTACTCCGACGTCTGCACTGACAGACGTAAAGATCCAGCAGACTGAGGATGCAGAGAAGCTCTCTGATATTTCTGCTGTAGTATCATTCAAAGATGCAGAAATTACCTGGCCATCTGACTCAGAAGGCGTGTTCCAGAAACTTACCCTGGAGATTGGCAAAGGGATTACGATGATTACCGGGCCGGTGGGCTCTGGAAAGTCGGCTTTGATCAAAAGCATACTTGGTGAGATGACTGTGAGCAAAGGTTCTATTCACATAATCTCTGGAAATATTGCGTACTGCCCTCAGGTACCGTGGATTGTAGACGACACTATCCGGCAAAACATCACTGGGGGCGCACAGTTCGACGCAGAATGGTATGACTTTGCGGTTTCTGCTTGTGGGCTGAAGGATGATTTCAGGTATATTTCTGCTGGGGACATGCATGTCGCAGGGAGCAACGGCGCCTCCTTGAGTGGAGGCCAGAAACAAAGGGTGGTAGGTTGTGTCCAGGTGGATGCCATCGAGGACACTGTCGACGTAGCTAACATGGAAGTAACAGGCGCTTGCACGGGCCATCTACTCTAGACTCCCTGTCATTCTAATTGACGATATTTTCAATGGCTTGGATTCCAAGCGTGTAAGTAGCCTAGCTGCAGCTCTATTCGCCGAGGACGGACACTTCCGCAAAGCCGGCATAACAGTTATCCTGGCCACTCACACCGGTATAGCCTTATCTGTACTCTACGAGAGCTGGAAAACAGGAATAATGTTTTACAGATAGCCTTCTTCTATACGCAGATAGGATTGTTGTCGTGGATCACGGAGCAGCTGTTTATGCAAGCTCACATGGAGACCATACAGACCGGACGCCAGATGCTATATCGGAGGATTCGATCGTGTCCCACGAGGAAATACCCAACCCTGATACTAACAAACCTCCTACAGAAGAAAATAAACGCCTTGCAGTCGAGGACGATGCAAGTAACACCAGGTCCAGAGTAGACGAAGTCGACTTCTCTCGGCGCGATGGCACTTGGGATGTGTATACATACTACACTAGAAGTGCAGGGCCCTGGATTGCCGTGGCGTTCGTTGCCTCGATATTTGTTTGGACCTTTTTCAATACCTTCTCTAGTGAGCTTGCCCTAGGTTAATTCTCTTTGTCAGTGCTTAATTCACCACTCACGACCTCATGCAGTTCTGTGGATCCAATGGTGGTCTGAGTCGAATGCGAGAGACCCCAACAGCAAGGTTGGCTGGTACCTGGGGTTCTACACCGGATTTACAGTTGTCGGGATTGTGGCTTGCTTCGTGGGCTGCGTGTGAGTCTCGATTCTACAAAAATGAGAGAGTGAGGTAACGAGTTCTAATATCTCCAGGCTCTTGTTTATCCACATCATCAACGACACGGCATTAAATCTACACACGGACCTACTAAAAGCCACCTTAAAAGCGCCGTGGAGCTTCTTCCAAACAACCGACGTCGGGATCATGACCAACCGGTTCAGCCAGGACATGGATCTTATCGACATGAAGCTTCCAGTCTGGGTGGTTAACACAGTAGCCTGTGAGTGACCTCGACTTCCCATCCCACTCTTGAACCGGTTACTCACCCCACGCCAACAGATGTTGCACTCTCTTTGATGAGTTTGATTATACTTTGTGTTGTTGGCAAGTACATGGCCATCACTTTCCCTTTCCTGATAATCGCATTCGTCATAATTCAGCGCATCTACCTCCGAACCTCTCGACAGGTGCGGCTGCTCGACATCGAAGCCAAAGCGCCACTCTACGCCCATTTCGCAGAGACAATCGACGGGATTAGCTCGCTGCGAGCCTTTGGCTGGCGCGAGGTCTTTCAAAACGAATGTAACAGGCGGATCAATCAATCCCAGCGACCATTCTACACGCTGCTCTGTCTGCAGCAATGGCTGACCCTGGTTCTGAATCTGGTCATTACAGCCATGGCAGTTATACTAATTGCAATCGCCACGCACCTGAGAGATCAATTCAGTGCTGGTGGTATAGGTGTCGCGCTAAATATGGTGCTAAGTCTAAATCAGATTCTAGTAGAAGCAATTCAGGCGTGGACACAGCTGGAAACGTCCATTGGTGCCGTTTCTCGCGTGCACAGCTTCCAAAAAGATACACCTTGCGAGGACAGAGCTCTCGAGACCCAGGCACTACCGCTCATGTCTCAAAAATGGCCATCGGAGGGCGCTATTGACTTTGAGAATCTTACGGTCGCGTACCAGTAGGCGACAACTCACCTCTGCTTACGGTCTAGATATGGCTGACTCCGCATAGAAGTACCGATCGTCAACCTGTCATCAGAGATCTAACGTTGAAGATCCAGCCTGGGGAAAAGATTGCCCTCTGCGGCCCGTCGGGGAGCGGTAAGAGCTCGCTGATTATGACCCTCTTGCAGATGACGGAAGTCAGAAGCGGTCATGTCTCCATCGACAGGCGGGACCTGGCACTCATCCAGCCATCTGAGATACGCCAGCGGCTCAACGTCATCCCCCAGGACCCGTACTTTGTGCCTGACACAATACGGTTCAACCTAAACCCCCATGCTGTCGCCTCCGACGAGGAGATCATAAGCGCCGTAAAGAAAGTGGGTCTGGGCCTATGGGAGAAGGTCCAGCTGAATGGCGGACTTGATGGAGATCTCGACGCTTCTCAGTGGTCTATGGGAGAGAAGCAATTGCTGGCATTGGCGAGAGCGTTGACTTCACGAAGCCCTATTTTGATTCTTGATGAGGCGACAAGCAAGTGAGTACTGATTGCTGCCTATCACATCCACATCCCTTCCTTTCCCTATCTCGTAGTACAACGGCAGCAGATCATGAGTATTCACGAGCAAGAGCTGACGAATGAAACCTCCCTCCCTAGCGTTGACTCCGAAACGGAATCAATCATGCAAAAAGTGATCGAGACAGAGTTCGCCAGTCAGACAGTTATCATGGTCATGCATCGACTTCGCTATGTCACCCGCTTTGATCGCGTGTGTCTTGTGAAGGAGGGAGAGCTCGTTGAATGTGATAGTCCGTCTACATTGCTTGCAGGGGACTCGGAGTTTGCGCAGTTCTTCACTGCTTTTATGAAGGAGCATTGATCAAATATTGTTCTGTTTCTCTGACAGAGATTAAGAGTAGGAAGAACCAAGATAGGCAAAGTTAGCAGATCTAAAAATGAGCTATTATGGTAAGAAGCCATGTGCAACTTTAATTCAGGGTACTCAGGGCAGTATCAGTTTTTCTTGATGGCCAGAAGTAGCAAAATTGAGCATTCAGCAAACAGAGAAAGACTTCGACCTGTGTAAAGAAGTTTTTACGCCTGTAGTATTGAAGGCACGGATGTGTGTAGTTGAAGGATCGGCGTGATTGACAACTCGATATAGAGCGACGATATTGCCGGTTTATACTTCACCGCCGGAATAACCAACCGTATTGAACTAGCACTCCGCCTTTAAAAGAAAGTAGATTATCCGACACCGCCTTCGGAGTTTCCGCGGCAGAAAAGAATAATAAAAAAAAAAAAAGAAAAAAAGACAAATGAAGAAAAAAAGCTCCCGCAATACAAGACTTTTCTCAAATTCCATACTCAGAACAATGGCTCCTAAATCTTTGGCAGAACAGATCGCGGAGCTCGACGATCCGACACCGAAGGGTGAGTTTCCATTGCCACGCGATTATCGATTACTTACATCCCGAATATCGTGAGCTGACTTGAATTTTCGCGACTAGATTTCGATCCTGAGGATTTGGAACATGGGCACCAGGATAGCTCCGATGAGGAGGGTGGACAGGATGCCGATGCCCATGCTGGGAGGGAACATTATCAGGCTGTAGGGTTCGTATTTCGCTTTCTTTATGTTCTCGTTGGATGCGACGTAGCCTGCTGACACACTGCAGAAAAGGGAAACTTCGCAAACAGGACCCTATCAACTTAGGCAAGCAATACGCCGGATCGAAAGTCAGTAGAGACGCTCTTGAGGCGGAGAGTGACGATGATCCGTTCGCGGCGCGTTCCAGCGACGACGACGACGACGCCAGTGACGATGATGAGAACGAGGAGGGGTCGGGCAGTGACGAGGAGGACGTCTCTGATGAGGAAGAAGTGATGGAAAAGAAGCGCTCCAAGGGTGTGCAGAAGAAGGGGAAATCGAATGCACATGAAGATATGGAGACCGATGGGTCGGATGATGAGAGCGAGGGTTTCTCTGGCGAAGATGACGAAGACATGGAAATTCCGTCTGACGAGGACGACGATGAGGATGATGACGAAGAGGATGAAGATGAGGAGGACGAGGATGAAGATGAAGACGAAGACGAACCCCCTAAACGCAAAGCCTCATCCGACGACCGCGAGGAACTCCGCAAACTGATGGCCTCCGACCAAAAATCCATCGCGGCTACCATCTCGCAAGCTACCAAAGCCGACGCCGTCAAAGGCAAAGCCGTCAAGCAGCAGCGCGCGACCTTCGACGCCCTGCTCAACTCTCGCATCAAGCTCCAAAAGGGTCTAGCTGCCATCAACCAGCTCTCCGGCACGACCAAGAACGCAGACGAAGTCGACGGCGAGGCCGTCAAGTCTGCCGAGTCTGCCGCTCTCACCCTCTGGTCGACCCTCGAAGATCTCCGCGTTGCCTTAGCCGACGCGCACACGCCCGGCGAGAAGCGCAAGCGTGCGAGCCCCGCCACGTCCTCGACCTCGTCCGCCTCGCTGTGGAAGCGCATGACCGACCTCGAGGCCTCCTCCCTCTCGCACCGACGCGCCGTCCTCGACAAATGGTCGCACAAGGTGCGCGGCTCCAACGCCACGATCCCCAACACGCGCGGCAAACTCCTCGGCGCCAGCGCAGCCGGCCAGCAGAACGTCAGCGCCGTCCTGGACGCCTACGTCGCCACCGAAACGGGCGACCGCGCCGCCAAGCGAGCGCGCAAATCAGCAGCCGGCGACTCCTCCGCCAATGCCGATGACGAGCCCATCTACGACGACACCATCTTCTACCAGTCTCTGCTCCGGGAGCTCGTCGAGCAGCGCCTGTCGTCGTCGGATGCTATCACGAACGGCATCGACACCCTGCACATCCAGCTGCCGTCGCGGGCGGTGCACCATGTCACGGGCATGCGCAAGGACAAGATCAAGCGGGACATCGACACGCGGGCGTCCAAGGGCCGCAAGATGCGGTTCGACGTCCATGAGAAGTTGCAAAATTTCATGGCGCCTGAAGACCGGACTTCGTGGACTGGTCACTCCCGGAATGAGTTCTTTGCGTCGTTGCTGGGCCGGACGGCTAGTGGGCTGTTGGGTGAAGGTGATGATGACGAGGAGGCGAGCAGTGGTGGTGAGGAGAGCGAGGAAGATGTGGAGGAGGGTGGACTGCGTCTCTTCCGCAGTTAGATCGGTTGATTGTATAGACTGTTGATAGTATAGTTGTATAAATGGTTTTAGAGCGATTGCCTTTTTCATTTAAAATTGCTCACATTCATCTACAATCACTTTTAGAGGTGACTCTAACATGGTGCAACTCTTCGTTCCTCAATATGCCATAAACCCCATCTTGGTGATCTAGATTCATTCATTTATTGAATAAGCGTAGCTCAACTATATACGAAGCGAAACTTGTCTATATCAATGCCTACCTATAACCTACCGCATTAAGCTAGATGTTGAGAAAAGAGCCAAGGTGTACACTGGAATAGTGATATTGGTCCTATGCAGGTCATCAAGCATAGTCGCATTTCGTCTCTCATTCTTTTCGTCGTCGTCGTCATCATCATCATCGTCATGATGGTCGTCGTCAGGGTCGCCGTCAACATCATTGCAAATGGTTCGCATATCACCACCGTCCCAAAACGCTAAATCAAAAAAGCCAACCGTCCATCGGATTTGTCTCTGCCCAAGCTCGGACTGATTCCATGCCCAGAGTCCAGTCCAAGTAGTCAATCAATTCACAAAGGAAATTTCAAGCGAGGGAATGTGGGAGAATGCGAGTAATATATACAACTTTTCTTCTACTCTAGCATCCAGAAAGTAGAAAAAACAGACACGAAAGAAAATAGAGGGAAAAGGAGAGAAGGGAAAGTCATCAAGTCATGGAAACGGAACATCATCATCGCCTGTATCAACCCGCCAAGAATCTAATCCCACGAGCCTCGCTTGGCTCTTCTTCTCCGTTCTTGGGTCGGCGAGTATTGCGGCAGGCCGGTACCCTGGTAGGGTCGTTCCCAGGTGAAATCCGTGCGGGTGGAATGGCCCAGCATGCGCTCACGGACAGCACGCTCAAGCTGGATCTTTCGATCTTCTTCTTCCTGCGGCGATAGGAAATGGGGGAGGCCGTTCCAGTCAACGATGACGGCGCCGCTGACATCGTTGTAGCCGGGGAGGGTACTGGCCATGTTGGTGCTGGTGCTCATGGAGGAGGGGGAAGTGGAGAGCATTTCGGTATGGTCTTGGAGGAGCGGGGTGGGTTCGTCTAGAGACGGAAGATACTCGTACTCGTCTGGGGGGTCGATGTCTTCGTAGATGAATGTTGTTTGTTGAGTGGGAAGAAGTTGCTCTTGTTCTTCTTGTTCTTCTTCTTGTTGGGCATTGGCTGGTGGATCGAGAAAGTCTCGTGTGGACTGATTTCGCTGGGAGGAGAAGAAGGGGTCTTCGGTCGCATTGGGACCGCTCTCGCGCGGGGATGGCGGTGCAGAAGTACTGCGGTCTTTGGGGGACGGTGAAGAACGTGCTTTCCACAGACGCCAGAGCGACATTGAGACGGTGGCTGACTCGTAATCGAGGCGCGTTGATTGAAAAAAAGTGATAGGTATGGTCTAGGTCTACCAGGAAACGAGGCTCTCCCACATTCTTCTGGACCGATCGAACTGATAATGGGATAAAAATAGGTATACCTCGACTGGCTTTAGCATTGCTCTTTAATGAGAAACGGCTTCTGTGCCACAATGGGTGGGGTGATGTGGCAGCGATGCTTCATCGGGTTGACTTTGGATCGTGCATCGAGCTGCTCATTCTGGCATCGCAGATTGGCTTGGCTGAAAGATCACAGGACGATTGGCCGCGAATGCTTGACATATCAGGCCGCTACACGTAGAGAAGCACAGTCATTTGCGGATGCAACAAATATTCACAGGTTAGGCAAAAGAGCAGTAAGGCCGTTGCTGCCCAGACCTTCCATAGAAAGGAGATCTCCGAGGGGTCGACGCGGCCCCATACACCGGCAGTTCTAGTGATAAGGGTTGTGGAATGGTTGTAAAGTCGTCTCTGGAGTCAAGTGATCGAGACTGTCTATCGGCTTGCATCGTGCAGCGTCTTTGGCTGATATGATAGGTCATCTAACTGGTAGGGTTTTGAGGTTATGCACGATGGTTTGTAGGGTCTGCTTCTACACCGGTTACACCGCTCTAATTGGTGCCTGTGAGATACCTGAGCATGAGTAGACATGGAATATCTAGAAGAAGAAGAAGAAGGTAACCATGGATTGTAACGTGAGGATGAGAATACAGTTGTTACTGTCTAGACCATAACCCTAATTCCAGATCCGGATAGGATAGGAGAACATCACCTAGGGAAGAGAATGGGGTGTCTACAATATGGACAACAAACTTAACTAAAATACAACACAATAAATCAAATCAAATGCAATTAATAATAAATAACACAAAGAACAGTTCTTCGTGTGTTTTTTCTGGGGGTTACCATCAAGTAGGCGAAGGAATCTGGGGATCTCAACAGCCACCAAAGCAAGGAGAACGACTCATGTTGTGTACACTTCATACTATGAGATAATTAGATTAGATGTGCCAGCACTGAATCTCGAGCATGGAGCTCCAGAGGACCGATCCACAGCCCATGCAAAGGGATTTGTTGGGCTGGCTATACGGGCCATTGATCCTGAATCTAGCTTTGAAATAACTAGTGACTTCTAGATTACTACAATATTTGATCAATTGTCATCCCCACAATAAAATTAAACAAAATAAAAAAGATACGAGTATATAAAAGACTAGAAACAACTCAGCAAGAGATAATAAACGGCGTATGAATTGCGTCCGAGAGGGATCTACATCACTCATCTACGCCTCAGAGAGGCCTAAGGATCGGATGGTCAATTGCGTCTGGGATCATCTAGGGCTATATCTATCACTAAGGCTAGACCTATCACTATATTAGCATGGTTGCAACTGTCAAAACCTGTCCTTGGGATTAGCCGGTGTTAAAATAAGAAGTACCATTGCTACAAGCATTCTATCTGAATAGGCTCCCTCGTGCATAGCGACACAACCGTTCATCACCTCCCACCATCATAGTGAATCCCCAAGGCCAAATCCCCACTTCTTGAAAGCCTCATCAATCTCCCTCTCGCTATCATACCCATAACACCACATCTGTGTCGCCGGATCACTCCACTGATTTGGGCTATGAGAGAAAGTCACGCCCTGAGTCTCCGGAACCATAGCCGCATCGCGCGCTTGCTGAAGTGGTCCATCCGGGAAATGCCAAAGTTGTCCGTTCAAGAGACTGGCCTCCTGCATCTGGCTCGTGCGCTCGATGCGAACCGTCTCGAAGATCGAGAGTACTCCAGGAAGATCTGCACGCGACGCCAGATGCGTCAGTGCCTGGGCCAGTGCGACGCCGTCTTCCACGGCCATCGCAGCGCCTGGGATCGTCAGCTATCTGTTTACCAAATGAGTTCCATTGTTTTTCCTCGGGGACCATACCTTGCGACATGTATGGCAGCATTGCGTGAGCGGCGTCTCCTAGAATGACGGTCTTCCCGCTGGCCCAGCGCGACATAGGCGCTCCGGTGAGGAGCGGCCATTTGATGGTTTTGTCAATAAACCCGATGATCTTCGTCAGTCTGGACATTTTTTACTATCAGCACTGTGCTAGCCTCGTGAGATCAGCTCGACAGACCTTGGATCCCAGCCCCCAAACTCAGCCCTCATATCGCGTAGCGCCGTTGACTGGTCCCATGTGGATGGATCACTCTCATCCGGGTGCGATAACACCATGTTGAAGGCCTTCCCTGCGCCAATTGTATACGTCATGACGTGGCGTTTGTCTCCGATCCTGGGGAGAAGGCCGTCAGGGTGGTACTTACTGCTTGGTGTAGGTGATGGTACTTACCAGATATTTAGGGCTGGTTTCTCCAGGAGCCACGCGGTATCAGGATCGTCTTTCATGAGATTTACATCTACTGTGGCTCTGTAGGCGGCAAATCCTGGTCTCTCTAGTGGTTTCTCGATGGATCCATGCAAGATCCCTCTTGCGATGGACTTGATCCCTGGTTATGGTTAGTTAGAGTACATCCAATGATAGAATCTAAATAACTCACCATCTGCCGCAACGATCAGGTCCGCTTTGACCAATGATCCATTCTCTAGGGTTATTGATGGACTTTCCGAGTCATAATCAACAACTTTAGAACCTAGAGTTATGTCGATCCCCAGATCAAGCGCCCTTCGGTACAAGGCGGAGTGGAAATCTGTCCGATGGATGACATGATACGGAGCACCAAACAGCTCGCAAAACTTTTGAGTCAGCTCCGTGAACCCAATAGTCTTTCCGTTGCTCCAGCGGCGAAACGAGATAGAATCTGGCTCTGTCACGTAGGGCTTTAAGTAGGGCCCAAGCCCTAACTTGAGGAGAAGCTTGGTCGAGTTGGGCGGAATTTGGATTCCCGCACCGACCTAGAAAAGTAAGTCTATCCATCTGGAGATAAAAGAGGTGCTTCTCTTACCTCTCCAAGTTCAGGCGTTTGCTCATAGATTGTGACGCTGTGGCCATGGGTTTTGAGCGCAACTGCGGTTGCTAGTCCTCCGAGTCCTGCGCCAACCACGATAATTTCTAATTTGGGTCTGTCTGTGGGGCATGATGTCCCCTTCTCTCTGAACTGTTTTATAAATTCTAGACAGTTGCTTGGATATGTCGGGTCCTATCTTCAGCCTGTGAGAAGATGACCTGTCTTTCTTACTGTCATCGTACTGACCTTTAGAGAGGCAGTCGCATACTGGTTAGCCATGGATGCCATGACGGTATTTGATGCTGGATATCAAGTCTGACCCGCTTTTACGACGAGATGATGGAGGAAGTCATCTAGATAACCGATCTAGGCTTATACATATATAGTCTCGCCTCTAGTTACTGCCCCCATCATACATCCGATCTTTCCCCGCCTCCCCCGCTATCCTGGGGTATCCTGGGGTATCCCCAGATATATCTTGCAAAGGTTATCCCTACCGACGTATTCTAGCTCAAGCTCAAGACAACTACCCTTCATCGAAGCTAACTCACTCCAAAATGACCAGAGACATGCAAGCAGTCGCGACCAACGACACCCAAGAGCAACTGCTCCAAGATCTCGAGAAGAGTAAAACCCTCCCACTATGGAAGCAAATGACGCGGTTAAATCCGCCAGCGCCAAACCCCACCTGCATCCCCTTCCTGTGGAAATACAGCTCGATACGGCCTAACTTGCTGCGCGCTGGTCAGCTCGTCACTGAGAAGGAGGCTGAGAGGAGGGTGCTCATGTTGATCAACCCAGCACGAGGTCTGTCTTTATCCCCTTTACCTTTTTTTTCTTTCCCCAATAACAACCATCCTACACACTCAACGAAAGCCAAGCTAAACCGAATAGACGCACCCTACACAACAGACACCCTCTACGCCGGGCTCCAACTCGTCATGCCCAACGAGGTAGCCCCGGCCCACAGACACACCGCATTCGCCATGCGCTTCATCATCGAAGGCAACGGCGGCTTTACGGCCGTGCACGGCAAGCGGATCAAAATGGAGCAGGGCGACGTCATCCTAACCCCAACCTGGAACTACCATGACCACGGCAAAGACGGATCGGGCCCAATGATCTGGCTCGACGGATTGGATCTACCCAATTTTCAGCACTTCCCGGTGCATTTTGTGCAGCATTTCGCGCAGTCGCGGTATCCGGCTGAGGATGTTGACAGCGGGACGTCCCCGATTGTGTTTCCGTGGGCGCGCATGAAGGGGCTGCTGGACGGGGATATTGCCGAACACTGGGTGTCTCGGCGGTATTTGAGAGCGGATGGTCGTGAAGGTGGGTATTCCTATGGAATTCTAAAGTAGGGCATCTGCTGATTCTCACAGTGAGTCGCATCCTCGGTGGTTGCGCGGAAAGGTTGGAAGGAGGTCATTCGTCGCCGTGGTGTCGCGAGACGACCTCTGCCGTGTACCATGTTATCTCTGGGAGTGGATATTCTATGATTGGAGAGCAGAAATTCGCGTGGGAAAAGGGGGATACGTTCTGTGTTCCGTCGTGGTATCGATATCAGCACAGTGCAGGCTCGGGGCAGACGGTTTACCTTTATCGGTTTGATGACAAGCCGATGATAGAGGCTTTGGGATTTTATCGCACGGAGAATACGGATGTAGAGACTCTTGTGAAGGACTAGATTTGCTATGGGCCTAACCCTAACTTCTAAGTAGGGCAATAGTAAATCCATAGTGAATTGATCATCATGACATGGTATATTTTTCAGTAACTTTAAACCCATCTATCACAAAAATATTCTAGAATACAATTCTGCTGTCTCAGCAAATGCAAGTCGATCCCCAGACAATGTACTAATCCAGCAACATGTTGACTTGTGCCTGAAGCGCAAGGCATGAACATATCCCGACCACTCCCCGATCCTCCCGACGGTTCCCCGCTTCCCCATGACTTCCATCCTTTCCTCGGAACATACACACTAACCTACCCTCTCACCTCACCAGACCACTCTGCAATGAATAATACAAGCGGCAGTCGCTCTCCAGAGCCACATCCGGTAAAACGGCGCCGGGTAGCTTTGGCCTGCGACCCCTGCAGGACTCGGAAGTCTCGAGTTCGTATCTACTCCTCTCTCCACACTCTAGCAGCGTACAAGCACTGAAGGCTGGACTCACTAACGGCACTATAGTGTGATGGAAATCGCCCAAAGTGCTCCTTGTGCAGTGATTTGGGCTTTGACTGTGCTTATACGCCGTCATCGACGGCGACTAATGTCATCGTTCAGAAAGAGTATGTATGGCACTATTTCAGCGGTACAAGTGGTTGACAGCCATTGCTTAGCTATTTGAGTGGTCTCGAAGGACGTGTCAAAGCTTTGGAGGACTCGCTGTTAGTAATCCGAGATGACCTCAGTGGGCTGTCCCATCGTGTGGACCAGGGACACGACCCTAAAGACGGACACGATGAAGATGTTCCACCAGGCTCTGCGATGCCAGATCTCACGGGGACGGAAGATTCCGTTGATGGAATGGGCACTGTGAAGCTGGCTGAAGAGGAGGACTCGGGGTTTTTCGGTGTGTCTATCCCATAGTGTACTGGTTGACAACTGGCAATCAACTGTGTTAACCAGACCAGGTCCATCGTCGAATGTCGCCTTTCTGCGACACCTGACGCGAGGAATCGTCAACTCCGGGACCCTGGGCGGAGGCCTGACAAACCGTATGCTCAAAACGGGCGTTTACGAAGGCGGATTTGTCAACGCTTCTCGTCCGCCTAGCCCGAGAATACGCTCAAGCAATCAATCGTCCAAACGTGGCGGAAAGAATAACATCTTTGTGGTCCCCGCTGAGTCGGAAACGCTGGAGCTCATCCATCGGTTCTTCTCGGACACAGGGCTGTTGTTCCCGTACATATACCCGCCTGCCTTTCTCGAAACGTATCACCAGGTAGCAAGGGAGAACTTTAGCAAAGTAAGGCGGACGTGGCTGGGCTTATTGAATATGGTGCTCGCCATGTCCACGATTACGACCAGTCCTGGGGTGGCTGATGCCGATGCGCGGATTGCCGAATCAGATGTCTTTTACCAACGGGGTCTCGGGCTCTGCGGTAGTGAGATTCTTCGGGGCACCACTGTGGAAGTTGGTGAGATTTTCCTGTGGAGAGTTGCCGTACACGGTTTACTAATGTGATGCTCAGTCCAGTTTCTTCTCCTGATGGGCCAGTACCTTCAAGGGACGCAGAAGTCTGTGCAAGCATGGACCATTCATGGGCTGGCTGTTAAAGCTGCCCTTCAACTTGGGTTGCATTCCCGGGATGCCTCTAGGGCTTTCTCTCCTGTTGAACAAGAAACGAGGAAGAGGACGTGGTATGGTTGTGTTGTACTAGACCGGTGCGTTAAACCCCGAAATTTCTCTATGACCTTTCCAACTGAGTGTATATCAGGACGTTAAGTATGACTTTCGGACGCCCTGCAGCCATCCCAGATAGCTATGTCAAGCTTGAACTACCAGCAGCCCACCCTGACCTGGACATCTCCGCGGTGATAGAGTCTGAAACGAGTAGTCTTTCTCTGTCATTCTTTAACTCATCCATGTATGTTCCGTTCCCGCTAGCTAGCCCTCATCGCTCACATTCCACCCAGTGAGCTATACAAGCAAATGTGGACCATCCTTGACCTCCTCTACGGCCAAAACCTAGGCTGCGACATCCCCCTCAGCGTTAGCCAAACTGTCTCCCAGGTCTTCTCCATAGAGCAACACCTGTTCATCTGGGAGAAGTCCCTCCCGGACGGACTACGCTTAATTAACATCGCAGGCTTGAGAAACGCAGCCCAAGAGCCCTCTTCAAACACGGCGCACTTTTCCTGGAAATTCCGCACCATTCTCACTCTCCGACATTTGAACCTCCGCGTTCTCCTGCACCGTCCGATACTCGTCAAATTCATCGACGCCTGTGGGGGCCTACAGTCTGATCTTCAGGAGCTGAAACTTCTTCAGCAGATGGGGCCGAATAGTCTGCGCGTATGTGCGGACTGTGCCATGGAGATTATTGATATCATCTACGATATTGTCTATGACCCTGGATGGCGACGTAGCCTTTTGGGAGCGTGGTGGTTCTCGCTCTACTATAGTACGTTTCATTCCGTCGTGTCACTACCTTATTTAATGACGATCCGTTACTCATTAACTCCTTCTTTCAACTCCAGCATTCAACGCGGCTTTTGTCATTCTGGGTCTGCTTTGGGTCTGTCGAAACGAGGTTGTAACAGGTCAATCGATGGCTGAGTTGCTCGACCGCGCGCAGTCATACCCTTGTCGGGCGATTGCCGCCCTTCTTAAACTCGACGGCGGAAACCGGATGGTTGACCGCTGTCGGGTGTATCTAGAGCATTTCAGTAGTGCTTTGAATGCGCGAGGTAAATTCTGTCTTCCCCTCCCCCCCATCTCTCTCGCCTGTTGCTCTTCGTAGACATCCTTTCTGGATCTGAATTAGGCACATACTAACATGGCCGACTTCGAAGAAAAAGCAACCTCAGACCCAACTCTCGGCCCCAGCTCTGGTCTTTATAACACGGCATCGCTAGCTCCGCCAAGCGACTTCCATTTCTCGCCGTTGGGTATGGAGTTTGGCGAGTTCATGGTGGACGGTGATCTCCTGGCTTTGCTTAATCGGGAGTAGATGGTATATAACGTCAGGCGTCGCACTGGCCCCATTAATCTGCACTGTCCTTGCTGGACGACACTTTATAAGCAAGTGTTGTAGATTATGTGAAGTTCTTCTGACGCAGAAAAGGATCAGGGCGAGGAGATAAACTGCGCCCCGCGAGGAGATTTGACTGGTAATTGTCTAGCATCCCATGACGTTAGAATAGGATTCTCGGGGAATTTTGGACAGAGATCATACCCTAACATCCATCAAAATCAAATAATTAAGGTCTTTCGGACCAGTTTCAGGCGCAGCTAGGTTGCCCACTGAACCCCAATATGAGCTCGTTCATTTCTGGAGTTGTCGGCGTGGGGGCAATCATCCTGACCAGGCATAAATAAGTCAATAGATGTAGATAGCCACGTACTGTTATCCCCCACCGAGGAGCCTATAAAGCCCAGAAGACTCCAATACCAGCATTCGTTTTAGATCCCGATCATCCCCACCCTCAACTGCAGACCATCGCGTAAGATCTCTTTCTACTCCGGTCCACACCCGGTCTTTCCCCGCCCCTCATTCATATACCTATAGTAGTACCCAGTGTCCTCCACACTCTCCTCACCCTCCCCAACACCCCCAATAGAAATATGGAACTTCCTTGGAAACGCCTAATCCGCTTCGAAGCCACCGACGGTCGGATCCTCCGCGGTGAACCCCTCGTGGAAGACAGCGTCGACCTCGGCTTCGTGACAGCAGCCGACCAGATCCAGGCGCGCGTCATCTCCGGCGACGATATCTACGACACAACCGGCAAGACGACCTTAACGGAGGAAGTGGTAACTGTGAAGACGATTTTGGGCCCGCTGGCGCAGCATGAGGTGCCAATTGTTCGCTGTGTGGGGTTGAATTATATGAACCATAGTTAGTTGGTTTCTGTCCCACGGAAGGACCTGGACGCATTGAAGAGATGTACTGACAAGCTTATCACACGCACGACAGTCAAAGAAGCAGGACGCACGCCTCCCCCGTTCCCGTCTATCTTTTTCAAACCCAACACTACGGTTCATGACCATGGCGCTCCTGTTGAGATCCCTTCCATCGCGCAGGACGAGCAGGCGGACTATGAAGGAGAACTGGTACGTCCCCTGCTTTTCTTCTTCCTCGCGGTCTCCATATCACAGACTCGAATATCCCCATCCCTCCACCATGTCTATGTCCTAACGCCAAATAGTGCATCGTAATCGGCAAAGACGCCAAGAACGTCCCCCGCGATCAAGCCCTCTCCTGCATCGGCGCCTACACCGTCGGCAACGACATCTCGTCGCGCAAACTGCAGCGCGACCCCGCGCTGGCAGGCCGCGTACCGCAGTGGTGTTTCTCCAAGGGCTTCGACACGTATGCGCCGCTGGGCCCCTGTCTGGTTGCTGGGTCGCAGGTCGCCGATCCGGCGGCGCTGCATCTGCGCACGGTGGTCGATGGCGAGGTGCGCCAGGATGAACATGTCGCGGATATGCTGTTTGACTGTGCCTATATTGTGTCGTATTTGTCGCAGGGGACGACGTTGCAGAAGGGGAGTGTTATTATGACGGGGACGCCGTCTGGTATGTTTCTCTCTATCCTTCCCGGTGTGGCTTATCACTAACGCTGTGGGTTTGATATAGGGGTTGGGTCTGGATTGAAACCTCCGAAATATCTGACGCCTGGGACGCAGATGGACGTGAGTGTGACGGGGATTGGGACGCTGAGGAATAGTGTGGTTTTTGCTTGATCTGTAGAATGTTGAGAATTAGATGGTGACTGGTTGAACCGTGGTTGAGTTTGACCAGCTGTTATAGTAGGAGGAACAGCACTTCTTTCGAATGCTTACATTCCACCGTGTTTGACACCCACTGGAGCAATTCAAGATATAGAGATCATATTCCTATTTCACTGTTCACCCCACATTCTATCAACTCTTGGCGCTGGGGAGTCTGGACTCTGGACGCGCGGATGACGCAACGATCGACGGTTGATATCCTGCTAATAATAAACCACCTCCGCCTTCTCCTCTTTCTCCATTCCTCTACTTCCCACTTCCTGTTTCACATCCAATACCTCCTCCCCATCTCTCTACATGGCCACTCAAATATGTATCTCGACTTCCACAATCGCCTGGGACTGGGTTCCCTCCTTACGATGGCCCTCTCGCTCGTCTCCCCGCGCGAGCGCACCCTCGTGAAGCATGAGCCCGCCCTGCCTCCCTCATACCCACTAGCCGTGCGCAATCCCTACCTCTCAGCCTGGATGCCCAGCGATCAGGTCCAGACGCTTCCCTACGCCGAGCCCCAGTTCTGGGCCGGCCAGAGCTTGACCTGGTCGGTCATGGCCCGTGTCGATGGCCAGGCGTATAGCTTGATGAGCGTTAAGAACCCGGGCGACGGGATTCGTCCTGCTGTTGTGCGCTCCGCGGAGTATACCGCATCGCATTCGGTTTTTACATTGTCGGCTGGTCCGGTTGTCTTCACGCTGGACTTCTTTTCGCCGGTTTCGCCGGCGAATTATTTGAGGCAGTCGCTGCCTTTTAGTGCGATTTGACGCCCTTCTTGATTCTGGGTTGATGCTGATGTTTGCTGTATAGGCTACTTGACTGTTACCGTTTCGGAGACATTGGGCAATGACATCCAGATATTCTCCGCTATAGATGGCAGGTGGGCGGGAAGACCGCAACGGACAGCCCGCGGGTTTCAACACGCCAATTCAACCGCCATATACTCTTTGGGCGTCAAGAATGCGGTCCCATACTCAGAGCACAACGATATGGCGACCTGGGGAGATGCTATCTTCGCCGCGCGCCCAAGCCGCACATCCGAACTCTCCTTCTCGTCCGGAAACCGTGGCGACGTGCGCTCCGAATTCGTTCGGTCTGGAAAACTGTCCGGAAAAAACGATGCTTGGGTCCCCGGTGGCATCGTGGCGCTGTCGCATGTTCTCGGCACCGTCACGGGGAGCAAATCAGTGAATTTCGCGGTCGGTTATGTGAGAGAAGCGGCTATCAATTATCTGGGGAAACCCTATACCGGATACTATCGAGCTGCGTATCCCACCACGGCGGAGGCTCTCAACCACTTCCTGGACGACTACACGGATGCGCTCTTGGAATCGCGCGCACTCGACACGGAGATGGCCACCCGAGCGGCGGCTGCGGCCGGTCCCAAGTATGCGGACATTGTCACGCTCTCCGCACGCCAGGCCTATGGCGGCATTGATGTCACGATTCCCGATGACACGAAAGACCCTAGTGATGTCCTGGCGTTTATCAAGGAATTGTCGAGTAACGGCAATCTCAACACGGTGGACGTGATCATGCCCGCCTTCCCCATCTACTACGTGATGGACCCCAACTACATCCGACTACTCCTCGAACCCATGATGCGGTATCTCGCGGCGGGCCGCTGGCGGCAGCCGTACGTGATCCACGACATGGGCTCACACTATCCCAACGCAATCGGCCACGACAACCAAGTCGCCGAACCGATGCCCATCGAAGAGTGCGGCAACCTAATGGTCCTGGCTCTGGCCTACGTGCGCGCCACGGGCGACACGGCGTGGGTCGAGCAATACGGCGACCTCCTGCGGCCCTACGCAGACTACCTAGTCGACAACGGCGTCGACATTGCCCTGCAGCTGTCATCCAACGATGCGGCGGGCCCCCTAGCCAACGAAACAAACCTAGCCATCAAGGCAACCGTCGGTCTAAAGGCCTACGGTGCCCTAACCGGAGAGACAGAGTACTCTCGCATCGCCGACGAACGGGCCAACCTCTTCTTCCACCAGGGACTAGGCACAGATGACGCCCAGACGCATTTCGTCCTGCAGTACCCCGACAGCCCGGACTCCTGGAAGACGCCGTACAATATCTTCCCCGACGTGCTGTTCGACCTGCGCACCTTCCCAGACGCAGCTCACCAGATGAACGGCGCCTTCTTCCGCACCGTGCGCGCCGAGTACGGCGTGGCACTCGACCACCGCCAGGACTGGGCCAAGTCCGACTGGAACATGTGGCTGGCGGCAACCCTGGATGCGACGACACGCGATGAGTTTGTGCATGACCTGTGGGCGTACATGACGAACGGCAAGCACACCTGGCCCTTCTCGGACCGCTATGTGTCCACCTCGGCCAAGGGGGCTACCCCTGGCGTGCCGGTTCTATGCCGGGCACGGCCCACGGTCGGGGGGCATTTTGCTCTAATGGCACTCCAGGGACCCAAATCTCTCCAGTTGGCTGTCGCGAAGGCGCTGGATGAGACGCCAGCAGCGACGGAGGTGTTGGTGGGGATGGACGGAGACGAACTATGACGGATGATGTATATACGTGGACCACAGGAATGGTGTATTAACGTAGCCCTTGATATGGTCACATAGATCGACATTACTCAAACAATAAACAGATCAATATAGAACTCCTTGCGCCGTCGCCAGTTGGCGATGGGCAGTTGCCCCTGGAGCGGCTGACATAAGCGGTCGCTCCCCTCCCAGGGCGCTAAACCCGAACGGGACGAATCCAAACTTCCCCAACTGCGTCTCTCTCTCTCTCTCTCTCTCTCTCTCGACCTCACCTTCTTCTTCTTCCTCTTCCTCTTCCTCTTCCACTTCTTCCCCTTCATCCAGTTTAAACTCCCTTCTCTTTTCCACGTCCCATTCCCCTCCTTCTCCTCTTCTGCTTTCTGCCCTTCCCTTGATTCTTTTTCTCCCCCTCTTTCCTCTTTTCACACCGCTTCCTCAGGTCGACAACTCTCCATATCAAATCCGCCTCCTGATCTTTGATCGCCCTGTTCCCATCACGGTCATTCTATTTCGTCGATCTCTCCCTCACTCATGGCTTCTGTAAGTCCGCCGGTGCCTTAGCTACTACCCTTTCAAACCCCTCCCCCGGTGATACGCATCCCCAGATGCGCGCCCCGATCTAACGTGTTGCCATCAATAGCCCCGTCCGCCTCACAACTTCGGTGCGCAAGGCTACTCGTCCCTCCCCAACGGTGCCACCAACCCTGTCCCCGGAGCGGTCCCTCTTCTTCCCAACAATGGCCGGATTATTCAGAACGGCCCAACTAGAGTTTTGTGTATTGCCGATGTTCGCGGTGAGTTCCCCCGGTGGGTTGGATTCTGGCGTTCCATGTGGCTAACGGATGTTGATGTGTCCTTCTGTGTGACGTAGGGAACCTGAAGTCTTTGAATGAGTTGGCCAAGCAGGCCCGTGCTGATCATATTATTCACACTGGTGACTTTGGTTTCTATGATGATACCTCGCTGGATCGGATTGCGGACAAGTAAGTCCCCCCTCCCCTCCCACTCGGGTTGACCCGAACGCGGTCATCCCCCAAATCAGCAAACCGGCCACTCCACCCCCACTGTCCCATCCCCGCGTACCTGCCTATCGGCCTCGTGTCAAGGATGACTCCCGGATCATCCAGCTAACCCGTAATTTTCCCAGGACCCTCAAACATGTGGCCCAGTACTCTCCGCTGCTTCCTGAAAACGTGAAGCGCGCGATTGCTCAGACCCCTCCCCAGCAGTCCATCAAGCAACGGTTCACGCCGGACCAACTTCCCCTCTCGGAGCTTTCCATGCTTCTCGACAAGCGGCTGACCCTCGACGTGCCCGTATACACCGTGTGGGGTGCTTGTGAGGATGTCAGAGTGTTGGAGAAGTTCCGCTCCGGGGAGTACAAGGTGGACAAGTTGCACATCATCGACGAGGCGAACTCGCGGTTGCTAGACATCGGGGGTGTCAAGTTGCGCCTTCTCGGGTTGGGAGGTGCCGTCGTGATGCACAAGCTCTTCGACAACGGTGAGGGGAAGACGACGATCGCCGGTGGCCAGGGTACCATGTGGACGACATTACTGCAGATGGGCGAGTTGATCGATACGGCGAACCGCGTCTACGACCCGTCCGAGACCCGCATCTTCGTGACCCATGCCTCGCCCGCGCGGGAAGGCATGCTGAACCAGCTGTCGGTGACGCTCAAGGCCGATTTCTCCGTCTCGGCCGGTCTGCATTTCCGATACGGCTCCTCCTACAACGAATTCTCGGTCAACCCCTCGCTTGACCATTACCGTGGCAAGCTCGCCGCGTCCAAGGCCTCTTTCCACGACGTGTGGGAGACGGTCCGGGGCGAGGTCGAGGCGGCCATCTCTTCCAACGAAGCCCAGAAGACGCTCCTGGATAACGCCCTCGACGTGGTCCACAAGATGCCCACCGTCGCCAATGGCGGGAACCCCTTCGGCGGTCCGTCGGCCGCTGGCAACGGCGCCGGCCAGGTCGACGAGAGCGCCTTCAAGAACATGTGGAACTTCAACCTGGCGGATGCCGCGTTTGGCTTCCTGGTGCTGGAGATCGAGGGCGGTCGCATCGCTACGGAGATGCGCGCCCAGGGGTTCAACTTCTCCCACCGCAGCGGCAAGCCCTTGGCCCCCGGCGTCCCGGCCCCCGTGACGGGTGGTCCCCCGGCCGGCGTCTCGTCCCCCGCCAGCACCACGCGTGGGCCCCCGCAATTTGGCCAAGCCCAGCCAGCCCGGGTCGCCCCGCCGGCCCAGCAGCCGCCCAAGGGTCAGGCCGGTGCCTCTCCCGCCCCCGTGATCCCGAAGCCCGCCACGCCGCAGCCCGCGGCATCATCCGCCGCTCCCGGCTCCCCTGCCAAGTCCGCCGACGCCAACGGCACCGCCCAACAACCGGACAAGTCCGCCGAGTCTCCCGCATCTCGCGGGGAGAAGAAGCTGACGAACGGTCTGTTTGTGTCCAACGTCGACAACGAGCAAGCCGTCCGGGATATCTTCCCCGAGGAGGATCGGTCGAAGGTGGTGAAGGTGGAGAAATGGGGCAAGTACAACCACGTTGTCACGTTCAATACGGTCGAGGAGGCCAAGGCTGCGCTCGACCGCCAACCCACCGAGCATAAAAAGCCGACGCCGCAGGGTCAGCCCCGCAAGCCCAACGTCAAGTTCTTCGAGGACCGGGGCGGCCACCGCGGCAACGCCGGCACCTGGCAAGGCAGCAACCGCGGCCCCAACCCGCAGCGCGGATATCAGAGCGGCGGTGCCAGTGACAGCGAGGGTGGCCGTGGGCGCGGTGGATTTAGCGGACGCGGTCGGGGTCGCGGAGACCGGGGTGGTCGCGGCGGCGGGCGCGGGGGTCGCGGGGGATTCACCAAGGGGTCCTCCGACTCCCCGGCACCGACGTCGACATCCTCCGGCGGCGACAAGCCGGGTCCTTCGGGCGGCGACGCAGCCTGAGCCGGTGACTATGACAGATGGCATGCTTGCTTCTTGTTGATTTTCCCCCCGCCGTTTCTCCTTTCTTAAAACGCCCTATCTTCTTCGTTTTCCCTTCTATTTTTGTATCGAAATCTCTCTTTCTCTTTTCTTACAGGGCTTCGTTAAATTCCCAGCACGTGTTTCAATTACCACGAATATTCTAATTTTTATTTGTTGTGCTATTTCCAACACCGTATCTTCTGTGTCTCTTTTCTCTGACCCTCTGTCTAACTACTACTCCGTTGTTCTTTTTTTTTTATCTTGCAGCGAGATTTATGCTTTTGTTCTCCGCAGTAGTCAGTGAGTCAGTCTTCTTGGGACTGTCTATCGGACGGTCGACAGACGGGTACGCCTTACACCTTACACTTCTTTGTATGGTATGATATGGGATGAAGTGAGATGAGACGAGCATCAGATGGCTCGAAGGGGGGAAGAAGAAGATGAGACGGATTAAGAAAATAAACTGAAAAGAATAAAACAAACTTAAAAATAAGCTTGAAAGAACTGAAGTTGTAGTTTCCACGATTCTCCTCCTTGTCGACTCCTTCGATCTATCCTTCTATCCTTCCATTCTTCTAAACTTCTTCCTCTCTTCTGTGTAGATTCTGGCGTTTACTTTTCTACCTCGTTCGTTTCTTCTCTCCTTCGCTCCTTCTTTCTTTCTTTCCTTCCTTCCTTCTTCCTTTTAGTCCTAAAAGGTAAGAACAAGATGATATCAATACGCCTTTCACATTTTAGCTTCCTTTCTTCTTCACTTTCACTTCCGCTGTCTGGTCTTTCCCTCTTTCCCTCTTTCCCTCTTTCTTTCTATACCTAACTCCACTCGGTTCAATCAGTGGCGAACCAATGGATCAATAGATCATTGATCAAATAAATCGACGATGGTGTTATCATGGTACTACTATTATTACTACTACTACCACTACTACTACCTAGGATACGGTTAATGTCTTGTCCAAGATGGAGAAGATTGTCGTCATGATGCAGATTAGATATAGTATTCCGTTGGATATTAGAGATGAAAAAGATAGTCAGTCCACGAGGAAAACCATAATATTCAAAAGGTAATCAAATCATTATCGTCGTCATAAGTACATTCAATAAAGTACCTAGTAATCAATCCTGTGGTGCACGACCAACCAAAGTAGAGATAAAATGTAATCACTCCGAGAAGCAGACATAAGAAATTATAATGAAAACACCATCCAAAGAGTCCAACGACTACGCCAACCGGACGAACGTTCCTGGCGAAACATTCCTTGCAAACGCATGCCGTAAAGGGCGATACGCTTGTACTAGGTCATGTCAAACCAGGTCCATCCGTCCTCCATCCTCCATCAGAGCGCCGAGCAAGTCAAAGCGTGGTGTACATTCTTTCTTTCCCATTCTTTTCATTCATTCCGATAGCTCGCCATGTATTAGATGATCACTCCCTTCGCAAGACAAAAACCAACCCAGACGAAAGGGAAACCCAACGAGTGTGCAAAGCTGGCAAGTAAGACAGGAGAAAAGAAATAAAGTAAGACAAAAGATAAGGTTAAATGTCAATTATGAAGCAGTGTGGTCGAACGTAGTCGGGTTTGCTGTCCTGCAGATGAAACTTGGTGAGAGCATATGCTCCATCCTCGTATTAATCTGTGTTGATATCTTTCTTTTCTTGTTGTGAAGGTGCACTGTCCTTCTCAGATTCGTCATTTCGTATCGACCCATGGGGGTGTGGTCGGCAAGGGTATTGGCGCGACAGCCGTGATATTAAGGTCATGCGGATATTCCCTCCCGCAACTACTTGGCACGACCCATGATGTCCTCCACATCCTGCTGGTTGACAACCACGCCTCCTTCGGAACACCGCGCCTTGTTCCGCAGCTCCGAACAGAGGTTGTCCACGTCGATCTCGCCGTTGCGGAACCTCTCCATCGATTGCAAACGATCCCTGCGATTACCGTCAGTAGGGTGCCCGATGCGTCGGATGGGTGCTTGAAATGAAGAGACTACATACCAGATCTTAGTGCAGGACAGCATCTGAGCCTTGTCCTCGCCCGGAACGACCTCATCCTCCTCCAACCTGCTGTCAATCTGGGCAAGCAGGCCCTTCTTGGGCGCCGTTTGATTGCCCGGGCCCAGCTCGGAGAAATTGTGCGACGGACTGCCCAGGTCCGGCAACGGGAAGGCGTCGTCAAAGAAGGTGCCGAAATCCTGGGACAGGATGCTATCTTGCGGTTCCCGCCAGTCCCCGAACAGCACGGGGTCGAACTGGCCGCCGTTCTGCTGGGCCATCCAATCAAGCCCGGGGGTCTGGTCGGCGGAGGGATCGGCCGGTTCGGTCCAGTGGTGGGCACTGGGAGGTTCGCTAGTGCCCTGGGCCGGGGTATTGGTGGCACTCTCACTGTTGGACCGCACCGCGGGGATGGGGTTTCGGATGTTGCCGCAAGCCAGCCCCAACTGGGCGCAGAAGGACTCCTCCCCGTTGATGGAGTGGTAGGTGCAAGCCTCGTGGTGGCCCGGGGCCTTCGCGGCCGGGGAGTGAGTGTTGGGCTCGGGGGACGTGCCACTCGACGAGAGCAGGTGGCTCTGATGGGAGTCGGATGAGGAGGATGGCGAATCGGAGTTGGAGAGGTCGATCACATGCGGCGGTTTAGAGTCGCGAGCCGACCGGGCGGGGGGCTTCGCGGGCGCCGAAGCGGATGCCGGGGTGGTGCCGGCGGACGACGGGGCGGTCGGGCTGCGACCGGTGGGGGACTGGCGGCTCACGACACCGGGCACGTTGGCGTTGCGGCGCGAAGCCTCCTGGTCCTTGTGGGGTTGAGGTGCAGCCTTGGCCCACGGGCCGTTGTTGAAAAGGTGCGTGCTGGGCAGGTCGCCAAACTTGGGAAAGTCGAACAGGAACTCGCTGTTATTCAAGCCCTGCAGGCCACGGGAAGGCGCGTTGGTGGCGGAGCTCATGGCCAGGAGGCCGTTTCCGCTGCTCGCCGCGACGCTCAAACGCTTGCGATACTCGCGGAGTTCGACATTCAGGCGCTCGACCTGTGCGCGCAGTAGGCCGTTTTCCTGGTTGGCGTTCTCCGAGGCCTTCTGCAGCTCTTCGACTTTGGTCTCTAGGTCCTTCAAGTGCTTTTCCTTGCGCTCCCGGAACGCGCGCTGGGCGGCTCGATTCTGGGCCTTGCGCTTCTACAAGTGGGGTCAGTCAAAGACAAGGTCCCAGTCACCCAACCGATTGGAGAGGGTTGCATACCGAGGTCGGCTCCGAGGTCAGGGGCTTTCTGCCGGGCTTTCTGGCCCCCTCGCTTTCCCTCCGCTTCTTGCCCGATTCCTCTGCCTCGTCGTCGGACAAGTCCTTCCGCTTTTCCCCGGACTCCACCTCATCAGGGGGGAGGCTCCCGGGAAGATCACCGATCAGGCTGTCGTCATGGAAGTCAAACTCGGGGTCGTTGGGAAAGTCGAGGAACGGGCTCTCGTCCAGGCCGCCGGACAGGGCGGAACGATCGAAGCCGGGCGACATGGTGAAGCTATCTAAGGAGTGTCGAGCGGGGGTGGCGTCGGGGTCGGGCTTGAGTTGGGGATGGTGGGCCGGGGGACTTTCCTTCGATGAAGACTTGTTCTCGGGCCTCTGGCTGGGGCCTTTGTTGGAGGATAGGGCGGCCAAGAGGAGGTCTTGCTGATCTGGGGTGAGGTAGAGGCCTTGCTGGTAGAGGGCGTTATGATCGGTCATGGTGGGGCTGGCGACAGTGACGTTTAGGCCAGGGATGAACCGTGATGGTGCAGGGTCGGGCTTCCCGCCCGCTGTTCGAACGATGGAGACCGTCGCGCGATCACCGGATCAAGGTTGTTGCACACGAGGGCGCAGGCCGAGTCAGCAAGGCTTTGTCTGTTGGGCAGTGGCGTATTTCCGCGGGTAAGGTTTCCTCGGGTCCCCACTTGAGATATCGCCGCAGAGCACCCTGTTTTCCGATCGATATCCACGAGGATATCGGGGGGGCGAAAGGAGGATGGTCAGAATCTGCAGAAGAGGCAGAAACGATCAAGATAGTGACCGGAGATGACGGGGGGGAGGGGGTTGGATGAGGCGTGATCTGGACCACGACGTTCCGGTCGATCAATGGAAGTGGGGAGAAGCCAATCGAAGGAAGTCGGTAGTTGAGAGTGGGGTCAGAGGGGGGATCCACGAGCCAAGATGAACGATCGAGTAGAATGGGTTAGTAGAGAGGGGGATGAAGGGATAGATGGATGAAAAGTCGAGAGATGAAGATGGAAAGAGAAAGAGGGGAAAGTGAGAAAGAGTTGGAGCCTGAGTCAAGAACGAGAAACGTGACGGGGGATTCCCCAGGCAGCAGCTGCGCGTTCTGATTGGTCGGTGGGCGGGCCGAGACCACATCCGAGAATTATGCTGCTTAGAAATCATATTCTGGCCTGAAGATTTATCCTGTATACTCCTGGTTTATTGGTGGATGACAGGATATCACAGTTTCCCTACTCTTCTAAGTTCCTGTCATTTGGTTTCCTTTGTTTCCTGGTTGAACTGGGATGGCTATAATAACCATGAAGATGTCTTGATCTCTTATCGATCAGGATCTCTCCAGATCTGACGTAATTGGGAAAAGTCTCCGAGTCGGTCTTTTCTCCCCGACTGCCTGGTTGGGATGCCTGATCGTCACCGTCTAATACTTGGATCTCTACTCCTCCACTACGTTGTATATAGTTTATATCCCAGGTAGTATACTGTCCACTGCTCTATACAATCAGTGCCGTCCATTCTATGACGTGAGGATCGACCGTTGATCCCGCTCACGTGATATACTGCATAATGCCCGCATAAGTAGATGAGTCATTGTGGAAGTGTATCGCACGTGACCTGTCCCAACGCCGCGGCGATCGAAATCCGTCGCAACAACATCATTCCTGGGCAGATCACTTCTCGCCTCCCAACCATCCCATCTCACTTGAATTAGGTTAATTAGGTCCTGTCATTCTATCTTACATTTCACAATGTCCGACGTCACCGCCCTCGAGGCTGAGGTCAAAGAATTCAAAATCCAGGTATGTCACCGCATCCTTCGGCGGTCCCATCCATCGCTAACCTCCATCAGCTGGAAACCGTCCAGTCCAGCTTGCAGGTAGACCCAGACAATACGGAACTTCAGAGTCTCAAAGCTGAGCTGGAAGAACTGATCTCCTTGACCGAAACCTCCATCGCCGAACTACGACCCGCCAAACCCTCTGCCCCACCCAAGACGTCCACCTCGTCCTCCTCCGCCTCCCACCACAACCACAGCGCCAGCCACCATCACCATCCTCCCCAATCCGACTCCCGGACCCCGACGGCGGAACCCCGCCCCGAGGAGCAAGCTCCCGTCTCCTTCTCCGTCAATGACCACGTGCTGGCGCGATGGGTCTCCGGCGACGGCGCCTTCTATCCGGCCCGCATCACCTCCATCACAGGCTCCTCTAGCAACCCCGTCTATCTGGTGTCGTTCAAGTCGTATGCGACGGTCGAGTCTCTGACCGCCCGCGACATCCGGCCCGTGACCGGTCCGGACTCGCGCAAGCGCAAGGCCGACGGGAGCGCCAGCAGTGCGACGTCGTCGCAGTCGTCTACGCCGCAACCGTCCCACGCCGGTGTCATCTCGGCGGCCGCCGACATCAACCCGGCGCTGGCGACTCAGGCGCGCAAGGAGCCCAGTAAGGTGAGCGATGGGCCCGCGCGGCCGGCCAAGGTGCCGCGCAAGGTCAAGGCCACGCGCGAGCTAGAGGAGGGCAAGAATAAGTGGAAGGACTTCGCCAGTAAGGGGAAGATTGGTCGGAAGCAGAGCATGTTCCGGACTGGCGAGGGGGTTAACGCACGAGGTACCTTTTTTCCCTTTCTCTTCCCTCTTCCTTTTATCTTTCTCCTTTCATTCCTTCTACATATATTTCTTTTTGTACAGCTGCTAACATATGACAGTCGGCTTCACCGGCTCCGGCCAGCAGATGCGCAAAGATCCCACCCGAACCCGCCATGTATATCAGCAAGGCGAAGAAGAAGGCTACTAGAGACGAGGGCATAGGCATGACCGATAACGAAACGACCCTGGCTTGGTGACGAACTGCTTATTTACACATTTTTCATCTCTTTTTTCGTTTTCATAATCCCATCTCGGACGGTCTGTTCTCGTTGCTAACTGCACCCGATGGCAGATTTACTTTCATTTCTTCCCTGGCTTGGTACATAGACTTGGTGGTATGATATCCTTTATTCAACTGGGGGAGTTTCGTCTGTCGTATTTCCGGTCTGTTAAGGAAGGCGGTAGTGAACTGATTGTAGTTGTAGATAGAATACCGTTTCGGGCAATGAAGACACGGAATGACGATATCTTGAACGAGCAGATGACCAGAATGACGGATACCTTCGATCATGAAGTCTATCTCGTATGTCAGTATTGCTCATGTAGTAAGCTTAATTTGTCTACCTTGTTCTCGACAGCGTCCATCTTTAGAAGTCATTCATCTCATTCCAAACTCATCAATCTCATCAAGAATAGCAGAAAGAAGCACATCAAAAACATCATCCCTATATATCACACTCTCAAAAGAAAGGAAAGAAAGAAAGAAAGAAAGAAAAACAAAAATGCCATCCATCCTAAAGAAAACATGCCATCCGTGCACCTCGCCTCCCCAACCAGCCAAAAAAGTCCGATTCTCAGACGTAGTGGAACATCTGCCCGATATCTGCTGGGAGGCGGCTGATCTGAATGGGTGAGATCTCTTACTCGTCTTCTCATCATATACAGTATCTATAGCTCGATGGATGGATAGACAAGGCTAATGCCATTTCACAACAGCGAAACCGAACAAGCTGCTAATCCTGAAACTACCTTCATGGAGACTTTGCAGACGATTTTCTCTGATGAGATAACTCAGCAGGGTGAAGACGTGGTTATGACTGCTGTCTGTTGAGGCCTGCGTTGGCGGGGCTGGTTTGTGGGTGATGTCTTTCGTCCTATTTGATTTTGAGCTACGGTGTTCTCTGGTGCTCTCTAGTGGTCAATTGTTTATTTTTCATTGTTTGGAGTTGCTGGGGTTAAATGTGTGGGACGGTGGTATTTATGTTATGGTGGCTATAGTATTTGTTTAGTATGGGACTGGAATAGTAGTGTGTTTTGATACCATATGGGTGTGGGATGCTCTGGGATACTATAGGATCTAGGCTAGTATATGATATACTGGTATCTACTACCTATATAACCGAACATTCCAGAAAGAATATATATATATTATCATACATAGACCTTGTCCATCCTTGGCTATTATTAGTCTGGGCTGGACTCGCCGAGACACGGCGCTTGCCTATAGTGACTGATATATGCGATCAAGTGAGGAGGGGACTGACATATCAACGAGAAACTCAACCTCCTCAAAACATAAACTTGAGCATGGACCAGGATGGTGGGTTTGGGCTGGCAGGGGTCTCGTTTAAAGCGGTGTCGGATTCTGTTAGGGGCTGTGTTAATATTTTTATGAATATCAACTATTCAGGTCCCTCTTCGGTTATATATATATCGAATCAAACTGTATTGTTTGACAGTGACAGTATAGTGTTGATACTGGAATTATATAGTACATGTTAACTCGATAAGAAGTGGTCTGTATGTTACTGACAGATCCCACAGAGAATAGGCTAATATGTAGTATACTACCTGGTGGTAGTATATCCATAAGCCCACTAATATACAACGAACCCTAGGAAAAAATCAAGACTCCCCCTCGTGCTCCGCCGTCTCACTCTCCGTCTCCGTTATTCCTGTCGTCGATTTCACTGTCTTCAGTTTCACTGTCTTCGATTTTGTCTGCGATTGCTCTGAATCGGTCTCAACCTCGGGATCCGATTGCACCTCCCTATGTATATCACGTTAATAGACCCCAGGATTGACAGCCAGGAGACATACGTGGTAGTCCGGTGTTTTTCATAATCGCCATACCATTCCATCTCCTCCTCGTCTTCGATGAGGAGGTCCTGGAGAGATTTGGGGAGAGGACTGGTTTGTCGGGAGGGCATTTTCTTGGTTGTGTGTGGTGTGTGGTTGATGGGGAAAGTGTAGTGTAGTATGGAGGATATAGATAGATTTATGACCTCATCACTTTGCCTCTTGTGTCTGTACTTGAATCTCTAAAGAATTGCATTAATCAACCAACAAGGTCCTATAACTCAGTTGGTTAGAGTGTAGAGCTAATAACTCTAAAGTCGTGAGTTCGAGCCTCACTGGGACCACTTCTTTTTTCTTTCCTCAGTCCACGCTCTGTTTGGAAGGATCATGTTTTTTTTTTTTGTATTTCCATCTTTATTTATATTGTGTATTTATTATATCTTTATATCTTTATATCTTCATATATATATGTGTACATCTCTATCCTTTATATGGCAAATTAAGCAAAACACACCCCTGTATAGCAAGCATCATCCTGCCACAACTTCTGCTTCTTCCCATCCTTCACCCGATACACACACCCTCCCAGATCCACCACATACACCGCATCCCCGGACGCATCGCGCTTCAACCCAATAGGCTCATGGAACTGTCGCGCCAGAATCTCCTTCTTCCCCCGTCGACCCTCCACGCCACCATCCCCACCAACAACCACCCGGTTCAGCGAACACCCCACAGGATGCTCCCCCCGATCCGTCCAGTATAACGTCTCCCCCGCAGCATCCAACTCCAAATCAATCGGCTCAGGCAACCCATCCAGCACAAGCTCGATATCATCACGATCCTCAGCCGTCCGTCCAGCAGGCACATCAACCGGCGCACGGAAGATCCGGCCCTGACCACCCTTGCTGGGCCCCTTCTGCGTCCAGTAAACCAGCCCGCGCTCCGCATCCAGCGCAATCCCCACACACCACCGCGTCATCTCGCCCTTATGCTGCGTCGCGCACCCGGTCTTCACGATCGTCTCGTGCTCCGTCCCGTCGAACCGCACCCGGTGCACCCCCATCCCTTCCCGATCGCAGAAGTACACCCGCGACGTCGTCTCGTCCACCACCAGCTGCTTCGGCGTGTGCACCGCCGCGGGCGGGATGACCGTCTGCACGTCGCTGCCGTCTAGGCGCGCCGAGTACACGCTGCCGTCGCATGTGGACGTCGACCGCCCCATGTTCGTCCAGAACATCCGCCCGGCTTCCCGCGCTACATCGATCCCGTCGGGGAGGGACTGGCCTGTCACGACGGGGGTCATGGTGCGCGAGGCGGTGTCAAAGCGCAGGATGCGACCTGCTGTCGGGATGGCGCTGAGGTCGGCGTTGTTGGAGCCCAGACCGACGTCCAGCACGAGCAATTCTTTCTTTCCCTCGTTCTCGGGGGTAGACGACGCAGTCGAGGGGCGAGTCGAAGCCCCAGCTGATTCAGAAGAGGAGGAAGAAGAAGCAGGAGAAGAAGCAGGATACAATCCTCCCAACTCACTCTTCTTACCCAGCTTTCCCGGCTTGATATACTTCTCGCGCAGCCAATCCACCGTCAACGTGGTATCCAACCCCCTCTCACCAACGTAGTTATCCTCAATGAACGCCACCGTGTCCAGACCGATCTGGTCCATCAACTTACACGGCGGCAAGCTCGTCGGGAGCTGGAACATGTTCTCCCACAGGAGATCGATCTCCGCCGCCGAGCTGACATCTTCAGCCAAGATCATCATAATCTCGCGCTTAATCGCCGCCCACAGCCGGTTGAAGATAAAACCAGTCGACTCGCGCCGCGCCGTCACAGGCAGCACGCCACAGCTGGCCAACACATCCGTCAACAACGGGAACAAGGCCTCGTCCGTCTCGCCAGAAGTCATAAGCTCGACCGTGCGAATCGCCGGCGGCATGGTGAAATGCATATTGAGCACACGCTGAGCGCGCTCACGCGGCAGCTCCGTGATCATCAACCGCGACTTGAACGAGCTGCTGTTGCTGGCGATGATGCAGTCTGCGGGAGCAGCGGCGTGCACTTCCGCGAACGTGGCGATCTTCAGCGGGAGCTGCTCGGGGACAGCCTCAACGACGAGCCACGCATCTTGCACGGCGGATGCGATGTCCGTGTACACGCGGTGTGTGCCCGGTTGCGGCTTCGGCTGGGCGGGTGTGAGCGCCGTGAAGGAGCCGATGTTCTCGGCGACGTACTCCTTGGCTGCTGTCAGGGCTGCTTCGCTGGGATCTCTCGTGTGGACGTCGTAGCCACCTGCTAGGAAGACAGAGGCGATGCGTCGGCCGAGGACGCCTGCGCCGAGGACGACGACTGGACGGGTCATATTAAGCGTAAGTAGATATAAGTAAACGTATATAAGTGTAGGTATAATAAGTATATGCAAGTAGTAGGTAGGCGATGCGTAGTCAGATTATACAGGCATCACATATATAATACTAATAGAAGGTACATATAATATATATAGATAAACCAGAATACCGCCTCCCTCTCCGAGTCTCCAGAAAAGCAATGCCGATACCCGAATCCATCCACCCATCCCTCCAGGAGAAACCGACCCATCCGTGGAGCACTGGAGCCCACTGGAGAAAGCAAGGAAAGGGAAAGGAATCGGGACGGACTCGGAGCGGAGACGTTCGGATGTATTTCGGAGTGAACCACGTTGGGAACTTGGAACTCGGCACGTTTTGATAGTTCTCCACTGTGGGTCTGACAGTTTGGTAGGAGGAAAGCTAGGAGGATAAGAGTGGTTAGTGTTGGGTAGTTTGGAGAGCTTGTTTGGATGCCGATTCTGAGAGGTTTAATAGTGGAGTATGGAGGACAGAGTACGAAGTCAGTATATTGGTGGATCTTCATAACACTACTTTTTATAGCGAGGTTGTTTTTATAATGGAGTTGATGTAAATCAAAGTAGATGTAAAGTATAACATTGTATGAAACCTACATCTTTAGCATGAATCCTAGGTATAGAAGTGTCTATACTATCATACATCTGTTATCGATATGCAGTCATGTTCAGATATAGGCCTCCTTTCAACCCCCAACCAAGCAAAAAATTATTCCCGAACCCTCAATGCTATATCAAGCGTACGCAGGATCTGCTCACACTTCTATGTCCGTAATCAGCTGCCAAAGTTTAATAGCCTTCAATAGCCAGGAAAATTCTTATTGTAGCCCACTTCTATGGAATGTCATATTCTCTTTCATCATCTCCCCCTTCCTCTGAATCTAGCCCGCTTCGAGAAAAACGGGGCGAAGTCATCGAAGATATCCTCTTCATCATCTGCACCTGTATCTTGAGAAACTCCA